TTCCAGGAGGAACCACGTGGAAGTCGACATTTCTAGCAATGGGGCTGTTAGACCCCATCGCTAACAATCTCTTTTCCCCCGAAAACACATAGTATGTACTTTTTTCTTCCCATCGCTAAGGTTAGTTAGATAGGTAAAAGTTACTATTACAGGTTAAAATAAGAACCGATCTAGATCAACTTCCTTGAAAAGTAGGCAGAGAGATCTAAGTACCTTTGCCTCTAATGTTGCATAAATGCATGAAGCAAGAGGCTTCATCCACTTTTTAATTTGTCTCATGCAAACTCGTCGGTTCGTAAGACTTAAATCATTATTATGATCTCTAGTGATAATAGAAAGGCAATCTTGTTCGTGACAATGGTATGGGAAAAATAGGTGAAGATGTTATCAGGTCAGTTGGTCTATTGTGAGGAATTCATTTAGAATTACAACAATAGTTTCTAAATGGGACACAGCGTGGAGATGAAGCTGACAGAATATATTGGTAACAATGTGGTATTGGTAAACCCCATTACACTTACTCACCCCCACTCCCTCCACCATTGTTCCCTTTAAATTTTGTAAATCTGTAACCTTTTGATACATTAATACCAGGGCACAAGAAAATCATAGGATATTTATCAATCGTACGTCAGATCAAACACGAATCGCCGCACATCACAGTGTAGATAAATCATCTCTGTAAGTAATGTGTACAAGCGGAATACTTGTTTGGTATTGGAACCATGAAAAAAGCTAATTTTGAAACGTTGAAACAGATTTTTTTTTAATAATATTAAAAATGACGTATTTCATTTTAATTAAAAAAAAAACGAAAATTCATTCAGCCGAACATCAAAATAGCTAAATTTTGACCTATTTTTTACTCTAAATCCTCTATATAATACTATATAATTTAAGCATCCAGATACTTTTTAATTAATCTATTTCAAGGGAATAATGATCCTAATAATTATCATCATTTCAGCCGTTATCTGTCCACTGCTGGACATACACATCCCCCATACATTGCCATAAGGAACGGTCCTGAGCCACCTGCATCCACTGACTGCATTGCAGGGCATGTTTATTACTCATATTTAAATGGCTAAATGGATTTAAATTAATACATTTCACAGACGGACCTGAATTAACACAAAATGTAAATTTAATCCAAACATGAGCAAATCCACGGATCACTAATAGTATTGGATGCCTATAAAGATAAATATTCACTAAGGTACATGAGATTAAAAGATAGAGCCCTATACTTATTAGACATTACCCTTAATACGGTACTTTATTAAAATGAATTTATATACCGCTCGCTGTTATCACCGCCACCTTTCTAGCCCACCAGGGACAAGTAAATGATGTTCGTGTTCATACATATTCAATAGATAACCACATTTGCTTATGTTGCCTTAGTACCTACCTATCAAAGGTTGGAAAAATATGTGAACTAGCTTTAGCCGTGTACCTGCCATGTTTTAAGATACTATATTTTTATTTATAGACGGTAGTTAAATGGAATGCTTGTTTACAACTGCTTGTCTACCATTTTCAACTGCATAAAAAAACCCTCACTGGTAACCCACTAGCGCAAGCGGGGTTACCATTACATTATTATCCATTAGAAATAGTACATTACTGCAGCGGCCAGCAATTAAGGTATTGATGGATGAACATCCAAATGTGGGCCGAGGCGTAGCCGAGGCACAGATACGTGAGTGCATCAATGCCTAGTTGTGGCCAAGGCTTATATAGTAGTTTTCTCAAACAATGCGCGAAAATCAAAAACACTATTTTATTTTTTAAGTTCAATGACGAATAACGAAAAATAATAATTTTTCACGCGCCATAACCTTACTTTGTTTTTTTTACAATAAACAGCTTTCTATTTGCAAGCTAGTTCGAAATTTAAATAAAACCTTTTATTAGTTACCTCCTTGGTAGCCATGTTTCGAAGTAAAAGGTCATTCCATTTTTAAATTACAGGACAGATATGAGTATACATAGTAATTTATCTGGCCGCTAAACACGACAGATATGGACTTTCATACAACTTTTGCCGGCCGCTGCCCGCGTGTATCTGGCCAGTAAGGCAATTTTGATTTATCTCGAAGAAGATTGTCAAAATAATGCTCACATTTCCAAGCATGTTTGAGAAAAAAATATTATATATAATACACATCTAATTGTATTAAAAAATAGCTATGATAAGAATGTAACAAATTCAAACAAATATTTGCCTGTAATTAGTTAATTTATCAATTACATCTAACATTATTTGCGAAGGTACATAAATCACTATGAACTAAGTGGGTACTAAATAATAGTAGGTAGTCGCCGAATATACATCTCGGAGATACGGGAAATGTTTATTTTAATAGCTCCTGCGAAACATGTTACCCGTGGTGCTATAAATTGGAATTTATACTGAAATTTGCATACATCGATACCTTTGTCACAAAGGCAATAAATATATTAAAAAAAAAAGCTGCATTAATACTTTCCCGCCTTTTCCTGCCTACTCAAGAGCCGTGAGCGCCGCCATAAATTTCTGACACGTACTCGCTTAGTTGCCGAGCATACATCACGGAAGATAAACCGAATCATAACGGGGCTGGGTGACGTTTATTTTATGGTGTCATCGAAACACCAACGTAGCCCATAATACGGAGGGAAAATCCTAAACGATTATGGTTATGGCATAGATATAATAACAGCAATAGATCTACGATTTCTAATATCTAGTATTTCTTCTTAGTTGTTATTTAAAGTTAATTACTTAATGTGGTTGGTCCTTAAACAAAAACAGACACGACATACTAGATGGCGTTAGAATCTAGATTTGTAGTTCTTATTGATTATTTTGTAATTAAAGATAATTTGAAGCAAAATATATAAATTTGCGGACGGTTATATTAATTTTTTACCCATATAGTAATAACTTATCATCTTTTTTAATCTTATTCTCCTGTGTTGTACATTTAAAAAAATACACACTAGTATGGAATATTAGGTCGTGTATTATCTTTATACTACAATACTATAAAGCTTATATACATTTTGATCAGACCAACAAACAATAAATACTTTTAAAATCTAATATAAATATCAAATAATCCTTTAAATATTCATCTCATCATCATCATCACATCAGCCATTAACTGTCCAGTTTTGTACGGTTTTGCCAGTAGTTGGCATGCTTGGCAGGCGGGTTTGTAACTGCAGTTAGGCTGTGACGATGTTTTAAGAACGAGCATCCTACCAGTTTCTCGACTATTAAGTTATTACAACACAACACCCACAGAAAGTAAAAGGTGGCCTATTCTATACCGGGACCATATGGCAAAAATATTCATCTACAGTACATAAAATCATCATCGTCATTATCATTTCAGTATCTATCCGTCCACTGCTGGACATAGGCCTCCCCCATAGACTACCATAAAGAACGGTGCTGAGCCACCTGCATCCACTGACTCCCTACAATGCATTTAAAGTCGTCTCCATGTAATGGGGGATCGTCGATCTGCGTTTGCCCGTACGGGATCGTCACTTATGAACCTATCTTCCCCATCGTTTGTCGGTTCTTCGAGCTATGTGACCAGCCCATTGCCACTTCACCTTCGGTTATTTCGGTTCTTCCTTGCTTATCATTATCTTTATTTTGCTTATCCTTCCTTCCTTTCTCCTTAATACATCATCTTTAGTACATTAGATACGACTTTTAAATTAGAATACTACTAATTCTCCATTCTTATATATTACATATTTCAAAAATTTGTTATAGCTTTTTTTTGGCATGACAGGCATATCCTACATGACTACTTAGATAAGTACAGAACTAAGTATTTGTAATTTTGAAGTTATTTGTACTAAATTACTTTTATAACAGGATTCATAACATGTTTATATTATAATTTCAAAATTTGTATATTTATTGCGCGTTTCCAACTGAACGTGTTAGGAATTTATTTAATTTCAAATACATACATAATATGTAGCAACATTACAGCACCATGAAATAATACCATGAAATAAAATTCCAAAATTTCGGACTCAATTTCGTGTTTTTGTTTATACCAAAATCGGACCAATGAATGGAGTTTAACATTTCATTCGTCATACATCCTATCGTAAAAGTCCAAAAGAATAATATTTTAACATTTTTAATATTTCTAAACGGCATGTATTATGTAATTTTAACATCAAATTTGTGTTTGGTTTGGCTCCGAAATTTCGGAAAACATTTCATGGTAGGCCCTCAGATTCTTATTGATCTCTTGCGAACGTTATTTATTGAAAATCATCCAGCAAATGTCAGTGACGCTGCAGTATCGTCTGTACCATTCATCATTCGCTTATCAAAATATATTACTACATTTTACCGATTTCTGAGACCTCTGTAATTTATTTGTCATCAAAGGACATTTGATAGTCGTAATGAAAGTAAAATAGACATAAACAAATAGTAATAAATCATCATTGCGCGATTAGTAACTTTCTTGTCTATCGATTTTGAACACAGTATTACTGTTTAAAACATAAAATTCAAACTACGAACATATTTTCTGTGTTACCTTGCATATATACAGTAGAATATTAGTGTCTTTTGTCATCGTTTATCATCATTTCAGCCGTTAACTATCCACTGCTAAACATAAGCCCTTCCCATAAGGGGGTTTTATCTGACTTGCTTTCATCTTCACCTGTCATCTTACACTGGTGCCCCATCAGCGTATACCGTAAGCGCAGGCAGACTTACCATTCTCACATGTTAAAAAAAGTAATAATTATTGGGTATAAAAGTACTATATCTATAATATTAAACTAAGCCTAATTCATCCTCAAATTTAAAATTAATTAATCCAAAATAAAGAACTGAATTTAAGATAAAAAAAAATCTAAAAATAATCTGTTTAAAATTGACCAAGATGAGAAAGTTGATGAAGTCTAACCTTAAAGAAACAAAGAAAAAAAATTGATTACTTATTTTTTTTTTATTGTTACAGACCATCAGGATGGGACATCTGCGTATAGCAAGTTACTTGGTTCTAGTACTGATTTCTGTGACTGTTTGTGCTCAAACTGGTAAGTAAACTACATATTTATTATCTCACCTCAATAATTGTTATAATTTATTTGTTTAATTATAAGACTTCATTGTACAGTAAAGTCTTAAATTATAGGATACACAGTCCTTAAGAAAAGAATGAGTATAATGGCGGAGCTCTTAAAAAGGAATAAAATGAACTATTTTTTTTACAACACAGGTGGCAAACGAGCATGCGGCTCACCTGATGGTAAGTGACTACCGCCGCCCATGATCACCCACAACACCAGCGGCATTGCAGGTGTGCTGCCGGCCTTTTAAAAAGGAATATACTCTTTTCTTGAAGGTTATGTTGTCGTATCGGTTCGGAAATACTGCTGCTGGAAGTTGATTCCAAAGAATGGTTGTGCGTGGAAGAAAGTGCCTTGAAAAACGCACGGTGGAAGACCGCCACTCGTCCAGTTTGTTTATCATATTCTCTTAAATATGATAAACGAACCACCAATGGTCACACACCGAATGGTAACGGCTCAGTATTGTCGAACTGAGCTTAAAAGTCTAGAAATCCAAGATCGAATCTCAATTTAAACTATAAAAGTCCAAATGGAAAACTTTCAGCTTTCCTTTTCGACTTAAATTTTTCAAAAAGAAACTCTTAACACCAGAAGGCAACACCATCACACGGGTATTTCTAGTTTTAAGGTTCCTTCATAAACTACAACTTCCTTTATTTAAGTTAATATACGCAGAACATTCCAAGATCTAAAGAAATCCATTATATGCAGTTAAATAAACTTCACAAATAAATAAAACAATCTAACATTCCCCGAGCCCTAATTTAGCGGCGCTGAGTCTCTGCATTATACATCGAGGCTGTCTTAGTCTTATAGCTTTGTATAACACTCTATTCTCACAAACAATGCCCAGAGGTCCAATGCTGTACCTACCAGACACCTAGTTACAATACTATTTTCAAATAAAACTCACAATTATAAGCCAATACTCGTATATCTTGATAGTATAACGATTTGCCACACTGTCTAACCTTCCAGGTCGGGAGGAAAGAGATTGTTGGCAATGGAGTTTGACAACCACATTGCTAGCAATATGCCCTATTAGGTCGACCTCCACGTGGTTCCCCATGAATACCATCGTGAACAATTCTTCTTGAATTCATCACGATGGGCTAACTGACCTGCTTCATCCTCACCTATCATCCTTCACTGGTGCCTCGCTAGTGTATACCGAGAACGCAGGTGGGGTTACCATTCCATTATCACCCATGAAAAAAAAACCTTCCAGATTCCGATTCTGATTCGATTCCTGGGCAATATTGTTTCTATATTTTAGAAAATATTATGGTGAGTAGATTAATTCAGTATATGTTTATTGGCAATCTTCAAGCGGGTCTTGATTAAAGTACTGAGTTTAGTTCACTATGCTGATTTTTGGGTTGAAGGGTATTTTCTCTTTTCTGTAAACATAAAACGTTATTGTAGGAAGCTATATATTTTATCATCATCATATCAGTCGTCAACCATCCACTGCTGAACATATGTCACACCCTATTGGGCAGACTTTGCCAGTCTCTTTATCTCCTAAAAAGTAAAATTCAGAAACTTTCTTTATCTGTGCTTCAGAAACGGAAGCGCCGACGACCGCAACCACCAAGCCTGCGCCGACCACCACAGTGGTGCCTTCCACGTCCACCATCGTTTGGGAGGAGACACTGAACGAGGGTCAGGCGATACAGAAGGCGCTCCAATATCTGCTGCAGCACCGCCAGCCTGATTGGGGCTGGGGAAACGATACTCATCATGTCATGCTTACTCTGCAGGTGAGAAAATACAAAGCCATCTGCTTAGTGAGACAGAAGTGTCTGTCTCATTTATTTACACTTTATCGCACCATTTTAAAAAAAAATACAGCAATTATTAAAGTGATAAAAAAGGCAGACTTATCACTAAGCAATCTCTTCCAAACAACCTTTGGGTAGAGGACATTGAGAAAAAAGACAAAGGATAGGTGGCGCACTGTTATATAGATACTAATTAACATACACATACAACTAGTACACATACAACAGGGCAGAATGACAGAGGAAGATGAAGAGTGAGCATAGGAAAATAGTGCTAAAGGGAGAGGTAATAGGATTTAACAGAGGGAGACTTTGTACAAAAGTCGTTTGCTTGGACACCTCTGTTCCATTCGTGTTTCTAGCGTGAAGCAGTTGTGTTTGCATGGCTGTATTTCGGTTTGACGGGTAGGATATATCAGTAAATTTACAGGGTACAGAGGAATAACACCTGAATCCTTAGAATTAGCAACGCATGAATGGTATAATGGGCGAAACAGTATAATCTGTTATCATGGTACTGCTCATGTCTATAGGTGACAGTTACCACTTTCCATCAGGTGGGCCGTCAGCTTATTTGCTATTTTAAGTTGCATAAAAAAATTAACAGAGGTTTTGAAGGTATTTAGAGTTTAAGCGCACCGAATAGAGGCAAGTAGCGAATTCTTTATTGAAGTTTCCTAAGCGGATATGCTTGCACTACTTGCTTTGGTTTGGAGGATAGAAGATGGCAATGAAATTACAGAGTACGCAATACGAATAACAGTTTAATATTTAGGAATGGCTTGAGAGCTACCATGGATGTCTTTTTTGTATACTGCAAACGAGCATACGGACGTCTGTATATCAGGTATAACATATACTGTCTGTAATACCATGATATCATAGACGCATTATCAACCCTAAAGAATCTTAATTAGGTACAGTTTTATATGATGCCCATGGTACTGCATATCAACGGTTAATCTATAGGCGACGATTATCATTTTCCTTCAAATGGGTCATTGGTTTGATTGTCTTTCTAAGTTATATACAAAAAAAAAACTAATGCTACATATTATATTTTGGTTACAGCTAGCAAACAACACTGGCAAGGAAATAGAACAGCAAGGACTAGAAATGCAGCTGTCAGCCAAACAAATGGAAATTGAAATATTGCTTATGATATCCAAGTGAGTCACTTCCATATCCAGTGAAATAACATTATATTTTCTTGTATTTGTAATAGATATAAAAAAGATGTCATCTATATATCAAACAAATAGAATCCAAGGATTATTGGCAATGGCATAGTAACGGAAACTAATACAAGGAATTCCATTGCTAGCGATATATCCTGTCAGGTCGACCTCTAAGCTTTTTCGTTGGAAACTATCCTAGTTGATTTCTGATGAATTTATTAATTGACCAAAATTCTTTCCCTTCTATCAGCAATAATTTTTTACATAAAAACAAATCAGTTTAATAACAGTTTCAAAAACAAACTTTTATAATGTAATCAATCATCTTGTAGCAGCGGCCATATTGAATTCAGTGAGATGTTACTAACTTTACTGTCTTTTACTCTTCAATACTTTTCATTTAATATCCAAATTGAGGGGGTAAAAAAAACATGATCTGCATCTGATGACAATGGCCGTTTTAAAATATACATTGTTGGGTATACAATAGTATTAACAAATATAATATTATTTACCAGAACTAAAGGTGTTTCAGCTCGATCAGATATTAAAAAATGGTTCCAATTTGCTGCCAACAAATAGTTTTTTAACGGGTGAAGATGAAATTGTAACCCTGCCTCCGCTATCTATATACGCTGACGATGCACCAGTAAGAGATAATAGGTGAAGATAAAAGCAGGTTAGTTGGCCCATCATGACGCATTCATCGAGAAATAATTATAATAGTTTTTAAGGGGAACCGCGTGGAAGTTAACCTGTTGGGGTACATTGCTTGCAATGGGGCTGTTAAATCCCATTATCTATAAACTTAGTAATTGTACTAATAATCCCTTTCCCCCCGCCAATCAAATAGTTAATCACACATAAAATTTATCGAAGGCACCACGAGTCCCCGCCGCCCCTGGGCCGGCTCGCCGCCTACACGCTGGCGCTAGGCGCTCTGTGCAAGGACCCTCGCTCGTTCCACGGGAGGGACTTGGTGACCGCGCTGCTGCACCGCGAGCCGCCCCACGACCTGGAATTCGCGTACGCGACCCTCGCTGCCTGCTCCTCGGCCGCGCATGTCCGCCGCCGACATATCCGACGGTTGCTGGACATTGCTAATGCTGCAGCTGACCATAGCCTTGGTAAGTGAAACAAAAACAAATAACCCCTTGAATTATTATTTTTATTTTATTTATTTTATTATTATACTAAATCTACTTATCTTTAAATTAGTATAAGATTCAAACGTAGTTTTTGCCAAAATCTGTTTTAATCATAATTTAAAGATAGTAATTGCGGGCCTAAATAAATAAGACACGCAATGACAGTAATAGTTAAAACGAGGCACCATTATAAGCAAAACACGGAAGTGTGAGTAAGATCGGAGTTTTTTTCGTACCATAATTGCTGTTGGCCACAGAAGGCCTTTACAGCTTTACCGAGCACGTGTACAGCTTTACCGGGCGAGTGCGGAAGGCACTCTAAGCCCGCGAGAGGAGAGCGACCAATCTCTTACTAATGGACTGAGGTGTGCGCCCGAGAATGCCATAGTTATTCGGATCTCGACTCAAGCTACCGCATTTCGACCCCCATCGAGGGACGGGGATCGAAGGACAAGATCAGAAATTTTTTTCGACATACCGTTAAATTAAACAATTAAGACTAATCTCCTAACTGTTAAAACGCTTTCTCGGCCATTAAAACTCTAAAAAAAACTTGCAAATAAGTAAGTAGAAGTAATTATCCATGGATTGATCTATCAATCTACTAAGATTGAACTGGATGAAACTAAAAAAATATACCCTGGATTCACATATGGATCGTAGTTTTTTTTTTATATAACTTAGAATGGCAAACAAGCTGACGGCCCACCTGATGGATAGTGGTAACCGTCGCCTATAGACATGAGCAGTACCATGGACATAATAGAGTATACTGTTTCGCCCATGATACCCCCCATGCGTTGCCATTCCTGAGGACTCAGGTATTATTCCTCTGTACCCAGTAAATTCACGCCATATCCCACCCTTCAGACTGAAACACAGTCATGCAAACACAACTGCTTCACGGTTGAAACACGAATGGGACAGAGGTACCCAAGCAATCGATTTTAGTACAAAGTCTCCCTCTGGTATGGTAGTGAACGAAAATCCAACGAGCTGATAACAAATATGACTGAAGCTAGTAATCATCGCCTACATGATATAGATATGGACAGTGTTATAGACGTAATAGAAAACACTATAATGCTGAATGTCCCATCATACATAAATATTCCTGAAGACTATTATGTTATGGCCATGTAGTCCCAGCATAGAAAAGGCCACCGCTTCCTTTCCTGTGGGTGTCGTAAGAGGCAACTGAGGGAGATCGAAAGATGGGCTTCAGCGTCCCTCTTAAAACATCTCTAAAGTTCAACTGCGGTAGCCAATTCACCTGCCAAGCGTGACAAATTCTGAAAAATCCCCCAGTGGGGGTATACGTTCAGTAGTGGGCAGTTAAAGGCTGATATAATGATGATGATGCTGTTATGTCTCCGTACCCTTTAATTTCATTGCCGTATCCCAGGCTTTAAAACCGAAACATAGTTATGCAAGTACTACTGCTTGATAGAGACATGAGTAAGACAATGGTACGTGGTCATGTGGTCATATATGATAATCTTAACAATGTCCTATTTATTTGCAGACACGATATCAATGGTAATATTGGCGCTCCGCTGCGTGGTACAAGACCACCGCCACCGCAGCTTGATCCACTTCGTGCGTCGTCCAATGGCCGGCCTCGCGCGTCAGCAGCACCCTGATGGTAGCTTTGGAAGTCTCACCACCACCGCTCTCGCTATACAAGTACGTACTATTGTACACCAGAGAAAAGATATCTTTATTTTACTCACGGCGCTAAACAGTTGTATTTGGTTGGCGGTATCTTGAATTAAATAGTGAGAGATGGCAATAAAATTACAGAGTATGAAGACAAAAGATCTTAGTCTTCAGAAATGGTAATGTATGAAAGGTATCGTGGATGTTGTGGACGTACTATATTAGATATATTAGATAGATAAGGATATAGGTTACACTTTATCCTGGTTAGTATATCTATCCTAGCCACAAGGATGAAGTCGCGGATTATAAAAGAATTAATAAAAAACTTAGGATTACAGTATTAACAAAACAGAAACGCACAAAAAAAATACTTCATTATAAAAGTAATGGTAAAAATACAAGCTTATCAAAATAAGTGAATTAAAGAAATAATGCAATAAAAATACTAATATTATTTGTAGGCTCTCGAAGATTCCGACAGTGGACCTGGAGCTCACCAGCATTGGAGCCTGCCAGCTGCCAGGAAATGGCTACTGGAGCGACAGAACCCTGACGGAGGCTGGGGAGACGTGGCGAAGACCGCTGCAGCAGTTACAGCGCTGACTCCAGCATCTTTAGCCGCTGTACGGCCACCGCACTGTAGCGACAAGCTACTTGATAGTCGCCACGAGCCCTTAGGTAAACAACTCATCATAATTCAATTCAATAACAACCTATTAACCTCCTATTAATGGGCATAAGTCTATCCCATTTTTCGTACACTTGACATTGTCGAAGTAGACATATTGCTTTTCGTAAATGGGATCTCGAATTTAATTTTAGTCGGGCCAATTTAGAAAAAGATATTTTCTGAAATGGCTCGGCTCTGGATTCTGGGTTCTGATTTGTGCCTCTAGATAATTATTGTCTAGTTCCACATAAGACAATATTTCTCCGAGAACTAAGCAATTGGTATACTTGTAAGGCATTTATCATTTTGTTTTATTGTTGACAGACAGCAACAGCGGCGATGGCAGCGTGAAGCTGGCATACCAATCGGGACAGGCCAGCAACGAGTCGGACGCGCGCAACGTGTCCTTCACGTACACGCTGTGGCTCGGCACCAACGTCACTGATAACTTCACGCTGCAGATGGTCGCGCCCAGGTCTCCCGCCATATTTGTTACTAGTATTACTAGCTGTTTCCTACAACTTTGCCCGCATACATCAGTATAAACTATCCTATGTGTTAAAATATAAATAACTTACCTGTGTACATAAATTCATACAAATGCATCCAATCGTTTAAGAGTGATTTACAATCATTACCTTCACAAACTTTCACATTTGTAATCATAGTAGGATCAGTCTTTATAAATTTTACAAATTATCAGATCTCTTTCATTCCTTTTAACTCTTAACGTTGATGACAAATGATGTAAAGTCCATGCAACCACTTAATAGATAGATAGATAGATATATAGGCTTTATTGTTTCGTCCAAAAGATTACATTTGTAAATTTATATAATAAATTACAAAAAATAATCACAAATAATCTTAATACAATTCCAAAGCAGTAAACCTAACCCATTGCATATCCTAAGCGATTTTAAGACAGATCAGGATGTTTTAAATGCTATTTGTACTAAAGACATGCCATAAAGAAAGCAGGCTATTATCTAGTTATTAATATACAGAAGTGCACTTGTAAACAAAAGGCGCTCGGTTGAAATAAGTGGCAATTAATTTTCATTCATCACTATCAATGGAGATAGGTAGAATAAATTCCACTCTTACCTCCCAATGAGGAAACGTTGGTAGAGACAAGAGAACTTAGCCACTATTATGCCTGTACATGTCATACGTTGCCATTCCTGAGAATTATGGTCTTTTACAACTGCTTCATAGTAGAAACATGAGTGGGACCGAGGTTTTAGTAGAAACTTTGTTCAAAAGTCATCCCTTAACAGCAAGATGAGATGTAGCAGTGAAATTACTGGGTATGGGGACATCACACCAGGACTGGTATGCGGGGAATACCATGGATGTCACAATGTATTTTATGATTTCCATAAAAATCAGAACGTGGTAAGATTCTGACATAAGTTTTTTTTTGTGTGAAAGATGATGATTAATTCATGATGAAGATGATGATCTCATGATTAATTTCGATCTCATCTAATAGGATGTGATAACGTTGAAGTTAAATACATATACAGCTCGTGAATCCATAAACAAACGATCCATTTTTGCCTTAAAAAAGTCCAAGTTGTATGAGTTCGGAAACAAACGCAGGAAAATAGGTCTATTCCATAGTTATACGCATGATGTAAGAAGGCGCAAAACGCTTTGTGCTTGTAATTAAGGAAGTACTATCTGAATAAAATGTAAACCGATGATTTATTTTCAGAAACGTATCATTCTACCACGTTATGCAAATGGCTGCAGACCAGAATCCAAAATTCAAATTCGAAGCAAGCGAATGGCCAAACGGTCACTACGTGCACACACTAGCTGGGCATAAGGAAGAACCAATGGGCTACCACTACTGGTTGCTGTACCGTCTGCCAGAAATACCAGACCCCGCCAGCCCGCCTGGTAACCAACTCGTCGCACCAGTCGGTAAGTCATCAAATGGAACTAGCTTTGTCAAAAACGTCCAAATAATGTGGATGTATTCTACATAATTAGCTCCAAATATGCCCTATGTCAAATTATCAGATATTACTGTGATAATATTTTTTTATTTATACCATTGAGGTGGCAAACAAGCATACGACCCACCAGATAGTAAGCGGTTACTGCAGCCTATGAACGCCTGCAATACCAGGGGTATTACACGCATGTTGTCGACCGATGTTAACGAGATGAATTTTTTGCAGGTAATTGGTACCTACATATCTGCTTCTTTATTGCCGACGTGTCAATGTGGCTTGCACCACGTCGTAGTAACGACAGAACTATCATAACCACATAGTGTATTTAAAATATTACACATATTATAAAAGTTTAAAATTTAATAACGCGAATGTTTAAAATCCTGATGATTTTTTAAAAATCCTGTACTAAAGAACTACTGTGTAATTTTATACTCCAAGAACATTAACGGTTTACACTTTAGGTTTTGATTAACCTTATATTTTCTTTTCAGGTGTCGACGATCTGTTAGTAGAAGACGGAGAACATTACCTTTTCTGGTATAAGAAGCTGTAAACCAAACGGACTGATCCTCCAGCAACATCCGTTTGAATTCCTTTCTTTTCATTACTAAAATTAAAAATTACAATTTCAAATAAAAGCTCAGACACTTGCAGATATACTGATGTTGTTAAGTATGGTCTTAATTATAATAAAAGTCTGCGCAAATGAATACCAATCCTAAGGTATAGGTTTTATCTGCCCAAAATAGGACCTTTACAATTGAATCATATAACATAACAGAGACTTTACCGCGGATCCTAGAGGATTTTACTTTCATTTACGCAATCTCAAAAGTATTCTCATAAATTCTAACCTATATCGTCACAGTCGTAGAATACTGACGGATCTGACAAATATTACATATAAAGATCCGTCAGTATTCTACGACTATGACGATATGTTGTAAAATAGTGTCAGCACAGACAGTCATAATATAGGAAAAGAGAGTCGCTATCACTTACAATTCGATTATAATTATCATTTATCAGTAAAATATAAAATGATTAAGTTGGAGTATGCACAAATGTGTGTATGGTGCGTTCCGTTTGCGTACAGTCTATTTGAAACAGTGTGTGTGAAGTCAACTCGAAAAAGGATCAGGGCTAAACAGTATTTATTTTAATGTTATTAAGTATGCATGTATACAAATAAAAATGAATATTTTATGTAACTATACCTTCATTAAAATGGTTGCTTAGTCCTTACACAATTCATGTTGAAGCTATACCCCTAATACTAATACCCTTAATATTGTTTCTCCTTTTTATTTAAGAGTTTCCTCCTGTTGGGGCAACTAATTCATGCATTCTTTTCCAGCCAGCTCTATTCCGAACTATATATTTGACCTCCCTATACGACATGACATCTAGTGTTGCCTTTATCTGTCCTATGTAGTTATTTCTCGGTATTCCCCTTCCTCTTTTCCCCTCTATTTTTCCTTCTAGTATGCTCTTTAAAAAATCGTCATGTCGTATAAGGTGGCCTAGTATTTTACCTCTTCTATTCTCTATAATATAATAATATTGTTACAACATGGAAATGTAATAAACCATTGATTTGAATTGTATAAAACTATTATTTTTTTTTATTTTATTTGTATTTTCTGTAGTATTGTACTGAAATTGTGTTATAGCTACTTGAAAATACAGCTGAAATTTGTATGATGAAACAAACGGCGGCGCGTATTATTCTAGTTATTCAGTGTCTCTTGCAAGTTTGCGACCGTAAAAAGACTTGGCTGACATTTTAATCAGCATCAAGCGCGAATTCAGCCCACAAAAAAGTTTGTGGTCACAACCATCCAAAAATCGGCCAAGTGTGAGTCGGAATACGAACTCGCTCATGATTGATATAATACATTCCTACAGCTATGTTTACAAAATATATGACACCCTGACCAAGATTTTGTACAGTGTTCCAAGTGGGCAAATCTGTAAGGCGAACACTAGTAGTAAATTCATAAACTTTTAAACTGTTAGTTTGTTCACTCACAAAACCCATATAATGAAACTTTCATAACATACATTTTAACTATACATATCCACAACTATTGTTCTGTATTAAATTTGACCTTATGGCATCCACATAAGGCTCAGTTTAATAATGTTATACAAACCAAAATTGACTAGTGACCAATATGAACAAGTTGTCTCTTACGGTAGTCCCCAATAACATCTTCACATTAAGTTATACGCCTGGATGCAAACATCGTAAGACTAGGATTGCATAAGTTGGAGGGTATTGAGAGAGGCCTATAACCAGCAATGAATAGGAACAGAAAAATAATGAGATGAAAATTATGTTGAAAAAGTTATAGAGCTGTCAAATATTAACTAATTTTTTATAATACCTATCTATATCTCATATTTCTACTATTAACTAGACGTACCATATTAGTATACATAGAGGAGGCCATCGACATTGTACGAAGGACTCTAAATTTTTTGTCACTTTTATACCCATGTTTCACTGTGAAAACTGTTCAGTTTAACTGGTAGGACACTATCTTAAAAGGATACTAACAAATTATAATTAACTTTGTATGTGGGAACTTCCATGAAGTTGCGATAGAGCGAGTCAGGGTTGCCAGATGCAATTTTTATTTTTTACCCTAATGTCAAATATTTTCTCTCCAAATCTATATGATTACCTTTATCCAATTTCAAACGTGTATCGTTTTACATTACGTTTTGCAATGTATCACAAAGCGAACGACTAAAAAACTCCGCTTCTGTATGTTTCTAATTTTAACTTCCTTGTCTTATTCCAACTTCATTTTTGTTACCTTCATTCACAAATTTTATACACACTTCTCTTCAAAATTTCGTGGACAGAAAAATAATGGACCCAAAACTGCGAAATAATACCCAATCTGGCAACGCTGGTGTGAGTTTTCGAGTCCCAGTAACCTCTCTTTTATTCAATTTAATGAAGTCAAAAACTAGTAACTTTTAGTGACAGTAGTCAGTTTACATCGTATATAGCTGTGAAATGTACCAAAGACATTTGTGATTCCACGTTTTCCATAGCATTTCTTCTTGAAAGACTACGTTCAGTATATTCTATGTAAATAATTCTAAAGGTGTTGTAGCATGAAAGTCAAATCACGAAAAGAATGTGTACACCAGAAGACTTAACGGTATTGTACCCGAATCATTACTAATTTTATTAATGCAATATATATATTTAGTAATGCTAAAATCTGGAAACTAGGACAAGATTAGATTTAGTAATTTAGTAGAGTGGTCAATAATTTAGCACATAATCGTTAATCTATACAAAATGTTATTCGAGTTGTGCATACTTTTACTAAATTACTCACCACTCTAGTAAATCACTAAAGCAGAGGAATGTGTCTCCTATTATTGTACTAACAAAATTTAAATTTACGTAACAGTAGACAGTAGGATCAATTCTGAGATGCCATTTCTCTAAGACTATCTGTAAAATTAAAATTACATATTATAAGAATCAATGTAAACTAATTTTTTAATACATTTAAATAAAAAAAAAATATTATAATTTTAGTTCATAATGATCCATTAAACAGTAATTTCACAAAATTATCAAATTAAAATATTTAAGAAATAACTTTAGAGTAATGGCAACACAGAATCGGCCCTTGTTACTCTACAAAAACTAACAGAACATCACTTTAATTGCATTACAACTGCATGCTACAACACCAATATTGTGAAATTAGTTTCATAATTACTTAATGTATATTTCGAAATACAATTATTACATTTTGAAATTGTTAGTATTTTTGGCAAGGCGAAATAATTTATGTATTTATACCACTGTAACATATATTCTTTTTTTTAAATCTATATGTAAGGACTGGTTATCGTTGGAACGCTGAAGACATCCTATACCCGGAGTTTTGTAAAATTCCCACGGGATTAGAATAGAACAGTATTCACTGTGGCAAAGTTAAGGTTATAATATCACATCATGATTATACCAGCCATTAGCTGTCCACTGCTGGACATTAGCCTTCCCTTATAGAGGTTCTTGACAGACTACTGCGTGGTGTGGTGTGGTAACTATACCACGCTTGGCAGGCGAGTTAGCAACCGTTTTAAGAGGAACGCTGATGGCCATCCCTCGACCATTTTAGTCGCTTCTTACGACACCTACGGAAATAAATGGGAGACCCATTCTATGCCGGGATTATAATAATCCTTGTTATTTTTTATACAACTTAGAATTGCAAACAATCTGACGGCCCACCTGATGGAAAGTAGAAACCATCGCCTATAGACATGAACAGTACCATTGACATAACAGAGTATACTGTTTCACTCATGATACCTCCCCCCCCCCCTGCGTTGCCGTTCCTGAGGACTTAGGTGTTTTTTTTATGGGTGAAAATGAAATAGTAACTTCGCCTGCAGTAACGGTATACGCTGACGGAACACCAGTGAAGAGTGATCGATGAGAATGAAAACAGGCCAGTTAGACCATCATGACGAATTCACAAGAAATTAACCATGATAGTTTCCAGGGAGAACCGCGAGGAGGTCGACCTGGTTGGCTATATTGCTAGCAATGAGATTCTCAGTCTCCATTACTAACAATCCTTTTCCCCCCGAACTCAGGTGTTATTCCTGTGTACTTTTTTTATGTTCTAAATAAACCTTGCCAAAACTACTAATACCTTTTAGCTTCAATATCTTCGCATGCATTAGTTTGGCAGTATGTAAAATAGCTCTTATAAATTATATGGAATTAAGATTCGTGTTAATAAGCAATTCTCAATTTGAAACTCTTTTAATACTCACGTCGTATCAATGGAATTTAAACATATCGACGAAAGTGATGCACAATATTGTATGTCGAAGGGGAGAGAGAGAGACAAGGATAGATTATCATAAGGACGAGTATTGACTGCCAACGTTCTTACGTAACATTACATTACAATGTTACATTATGGATATTTTCACACGATTAAATATTAAGATGATAACAAATGTAAAATGAAGACTCGCTTACCGTATTTAAAGTCTAAAATCCATCGGATAATTAAAAATCCGGATAATTATAAAGGTAGAGAGAACTATTATCGCTAGCGTACGGTTAACTCTTTCTGATGTTGGCATTATTTTAATTATCTATCTATGATTAAAACATAATGCAAGGTGGTTATTTAGAACCATAAAAACAAACCTTTGTAATTAAAATTGAATAAGTACAAATTAAATTTTAATATAAGAGGCGCACAGTCAGAGTCGCGCTCGCGTCACTACTGCTTCTAAGTACCCCGGATAATCCCGAAACTAGTCGAAAATTCTCGACTAAAATACATGTAAGTTAATCCAGTGTTCTTACATTAAAACAAAATGTATTGTATTGCTTAAACATTACTCGCTGTTGGCGATCCGGATAATCGAGAATCCGTATAACTGAAATCCGGATAATCGAGTCTTCACTATGATAATTTTGTTACTGAAATGTGACATTACACGCGAATGGTATTAGTGACTACTCGCCCTAATGTGTACACGTAAAGTTTTCCATTGATATAGCGTTTTATAATAGGTATGTGTAATCTCAAAGATTAGAATTTAATCAATCATTTTAGACGAGACTGAACGACTCAACTGTTATGGAGTGACAAGTGCATTAGTATAACATTTTTATTGTACCTACTGAATGGTTCTTAATAAATATTAAATTAAAACAATTGTTTCTTTTAACTGTTTGTACATTTAACCTTACGTCATGGTTAGTGACCGTGAAAGGTGATAGCTGTTTTTATTTGATGAATGGAAATGAAATGGTAAATCGCCTACGCTATCGGTATACGCTGGTGAAAGACAATAGGTGAGAATGCAGCAAATCAGTTGGCTCATTGCGACGAATTCCACAAAAATTAACCACGATAGTTTTCAACGTAAACTGCGTGAAAATTTACCTGATACAGTATATTGCTAGCAATGGCGCTGTTGGATCCGATTATATATTATAACGATCCCTGGTAAATATAATCTCATCAAATATGCCTAAACGTTTCAACGCAACATCCTTCTAGTTTTCAACGTAAAATCTGGGATCACATTGAAAATTATAATCCAACTGATACAGTATATTGCTAGCAATGGCGCTGTTGGATCCGATTATATATTATAACGATCCCTTTCCCTCCAAAGTGACAACAATTTAGAAGCCGTTGCCCAGCAATAGGAGATGCAGAAATCAACTCATTCTCAATCATTCATTCAATCAACATAATAATTTTACTATATGGTAATGATTTAAATGTAGCATTAATTTACATACCTACTTTCATCGTAGCAAAACCAATTATGTTGATTTAAAAATGAAACTACAGAAACGATTTTCATTAAATTTATAAAAAATCAAACTAAAAGTATAACTTTTCAGTTAAAAAAACAGTTTTCCAAACCAATTTATAACTGACTCCGTCAGTTATCAGTATGAGGTTAAAGTTAAGTTTAAAGTTTCATCCCAATCATCTGGACGAGTGGCAATTTATAACTGACTTCTTTGGAATCAACTTCCAGCAGCAGTATTTCCGAACCGATACGACAACATAACCTTCAAGAAAAGAGTATATTCCTTTTTAAAAGGCCGGCGGTACACCTGCAATGCCGCTGGTGTTGTGGGTGATCATGGGCGGCGGTAAACAAACAAAAAAAAAATACAACTAAATTGAGAACTTTTTAAACTTAACCGATTTATTAAGTCAATCAAAAAGGATCAATAAATAATAAACATAATTTTAGAACCAACATTTATTAAATTTGTACAATGTACACATAACACCAACTTCACCACATTACTAGGTACATCCGAATACCTAAGTACATAAGCAATATAAAACATATACATACATTCCATCCAAAATGGTAAGATACACCCATAAAAATATCCGATAGCATTTGTATGCGTGCTTACATAGGGAGGTATAAACACTGTACAAAACTATACATTGTTCAGGTTAGTACAACCATTATTTTCACAAATTATATTAATCCTATATCTATATACATATATAATAAAAAATTTACGAATTCAACGTATTTTCCGTTTCCGACAATTGTTTCGACTTATTCCGGAAATTCGCCCACTGAAGAAGATTTCCGGATAAAGTCGAAACACAATTGTCGAAAACGGTAAACACGGTGACTTCGTAAATTTCCCGTTATATACGTATATAGACATCGTATTAAAAATGAACATAAATTTTAAAAATAATATATTAATCCTTTTATTCCTAAAAATATCGACCGTCTGTTGTCATGACCAAATGAGTTTTAGTGAAATATCGATCTAAAAACATGAAAATTTCAAAAACCTTGTTAAGAAATAACACCATTTTTATTAGGACTTTTATCTAAACAAAGTTATAAAATATATTCTTGTTTTAGATCAATTTTAAGTATATTTACTAAGAGATCTATTTCAGATATTAAGGCCTATGCACACTCGTCAGTGTTCGACATTTGATGCTCAGTGGCGTACCGGTCAGTCTATGCCATGCTATCTCATCAGTGTTAATTAATATTATTATGCGGCATGATGGAAAAACCCCACTCTGCATAGTCGTTTAGAGATTGTTTTAGAGACAGTTGATGTATCACAACTGTTTATAATCACAAGATGCAAACGGGAGCACAAAATTCAATTCGTGTTTTGCAAATATAAGATTATGGTAAAATATATAATAAAATTCTAAGTAACAGTAATTGTGTAAAAGGTTTCTCTTCTTTATGTACACAATCATTTGCTCTGCCGTCCCTGAAAATATTCTGGGCTAAAAATTCATGTGAGAATATGAAGAACGTAAGCTAAACGTCATATGTCGATACGGATGAGTGCGAATAGTGCTTTAAATGCTCCGTCTCTTTCTTTCGAGGGTAATACTTTATTTGAGAGAGGAGAGAGTGACGATAACAGTTAAAGTACCTTTAGCGGTTTAACATTTTTATGAATAAAAGGTGCATGTTTTCAACCAATGATTAAAACAGTGATAGTATATAATGACAGTCATAAATATATACATATTCGACTAATAATATTATTGCATATTATTGATTATATTGTATAAATTTAATATAACACGAATTAAAATTACATCAAAATTATCATTCTCAATTTATATAGAAAAATTTAACACATTTTATACTTAAAAATAATATAAATTGTGAAGTTATATTACTTTCTATTAGGAAATAAAATCTGTAAGACGTGAAGCAATTGTTTGATGATTACGCCACCAGATGGCGATACGATACAACAAACCCCATTCTAATAACATTATAGATTTATAAACAAAATTACAAATATCGCCCACGTGAAAATTATCTAGCAAATATCATGGTTAAATATTTTTATTGTTCCTTGAACTAAATCAACTTAACAACTCATTTCACAACGACGAATGAATTATGATATTATTTTATAATAAAAGCGTGAAACCAAAATCATTAGCATCCTTTTAAGACAGTTTTTTTTTTATACAACTTAGAATGACAAACAAGCTGACGGCCCACCTGATGGAAAGTGGTAACCGTCGCCTATAGACACGAGCAGTACCATGGACATAACAGAGTATACTGTTTCGCCCATGATACCCCCCATGCGTTGCCATTCTTCAGAGTAATCAGGTGTTATTCCTCCGTACCCAATAAATTCACGCCATATCCCACCCTTCAAACCGAAACACAGCCATGCAAACACAACTGCTTCGCTTGTACTAGAAAAACTCAATATATATATCAAAGATTTACTAGTCGAAATACGATGAAACAATGTTGATCCTACTAACGCAAACTTACAGGGGGAAAAGGATAGTTAGTAGCTTTGTTGTTAGTACTTGATAGTAGCGCAGGCGGAGTTGCCATTCCATTTTCACGCATTAAAAAAAAACCCAAACTAACGAGACACATTTCATATCCTAATGGTATAAACAATTACAGTTTTTTTGTCAATCACATCACAGTCGCCATAATGATCAATTTATGATCATTAATTGGTAAAAAAAGATGAATAAAACTGTTAATTTTTCTTTATTTGATACGATGACAAAACAAGATGAAAGTAAGTAAAATAAAAAAAAAAAATTTAATATACGGATAGAGACGAACTTATCCCATAAAGGGATCTCTTACAGTTAGCCTTTGGGAAGCTTGTTTGTTGTGGATTTCTTAAGTTAGTTTCAAAGAATAAAAAATAAAACAAAGAATAATAAAGAGTCTTTGAAGATTTGTTTTGTCTTAAAACATGCTAATGATTTTACTATCACCTTCTTGTATAGATTTATATAAAGACCGGTACACACCTAACGAAGCGCATCACAGAATTTTTTAGTACCAACTCTGTCATAATATAGAAAATTAATTAACAAAGAAACTTGTCCCCTTGCTGATTCGCGTAGGCAAACTCTTAGGGGGCGTATGCTTGTAAACAAAACACAAGGAAGACTTGTGTTGCATCTTGTTAAATATAAACCAGCCCTTAAACTTTGTAGTTTTACACGCACGTTACAAAATAAGAAAAAAACAAATAAAAGAGAATATTCACGATTATATGTATATATTAATTAATTAAAAAATAATTTATTTAAAATCATCTTTTTAAGCGAGAAAACACAGAAATGGTTCCAAATATATTTATTAAACTATATTTTGTGATCCGACCGGTTTGAATGTATCAAGACAATATTAAATCAATACATATGTATACATATGTATCTACATATACATATATATATATAAACTTTCTCGCTTATAAGGATGAATTCCAATTTGCACCAAGCACCAACAATATCCAAGCATCAATTGAATTATACAAATAAATTAATTATTGCGAATTTTATTTCACTCACTGGATTTACCCAAACGTTCCATTTAATAACCTAATCCTTTATTTTATCACAATCATTTATAGTAAACAAAAAACAATACAAATATATGTATAGGCATTTATATTCTAAAAATACAAAAGAGGAATCAAGCTCTTCACACATTACAGGTTTACTAATTTTGGCAATTAGGATGTTTATTTTATTAAAAAAAAAAAATAAAAAATACTCGCCCAATATTAAATTTGCACATACATCTAATATAACAAAGATATTACCTAATACATATACACAAATGTGCAGAAATGAAAGGACGTGTGCTTATTAATATCTTATATTAACAATATTTCTATGATGAATAAATTAATAATTGCCTGTTATTGAGAGTTCTCTATATTTCTTCAATTAGAATTAAATCCGTTGTAACTTCAAACAATCTACGAGTATATAATCTAACGCCTTTATTCATAAAAACATCATAAACCCATTTTAGCTATTCAACAGTTCTGTCTCTTTCTTTTATGCTAAATTGTCAATTTGCAAGAAAGTGACAAAACAGTGTAATAGTTAAAATATGCTTGTAAAAGGTTTTAGTTTTTATGAATAAAAGTGTATGTATTTACGACATGCAAAACTTTCTAAAAAAATTGCATTTCAAAATGTATTTTCAAATAAATTGTGTCCAATCAAAGCCTTCATCGCATACTCTTTGTATTGTAATATAAAATGTCACAGAATAAAAAACCAAGTTGTAAACACGAGCTAATGCCGTCCTACTGGAAGCTACAGTAAGTAACATATGAAAGAAAAAAACCATACCTTATATCACATGTACACCGCAGAGGTAATAGTTGCCCGAATTTAGAATGTGTCTTATCTAGTACAAAATAGAGTCTAATTCACTACGCAGCGGCGGCCGCAGCCGCCTCCGCCGCGATGCGGTTCATGACGGTGGTGTAAGCGAGCCCCAGCGCCCACGACACCTCGTGACCATTCACCTTCTTGAATAACTGTAAAAAAAAAGTTATATTTGTCATACACATCTGTCTTTATTGTTAGCAACCCAATATTATTAGCAACGTTCCGTTTAAAATTTTAACGCTAATTGCGGTTGTTAAAGTGTCTACCAACCGTGGCAGCTACTGGCAAATCTCACCTCATGGGAAAACCCCATAATAATAAACGGGGAGGGGGGAGGTCACATCCAACGAAATCATCTTAATCCTTTTGTCTTGTTTTTTATGCAACTTAGAATGGCAAACAAGCTGACGGCCCACCTGATGGAAAGTGGTAACCGTCGCCTATAGACATTAGCAGTACCATGGACATAACAGAGTATACTGTTTCGACCATGATACCCCCCGTTTTGTCTGTGAAGTCTCATTCCAATCAATTTGGAACATTACCTCAGACGATTGAGATTCTGATATGGCTTATTCCCGGGAAAGATGCAGAAAGCGATGCTCTTAGACACTTCTTTTTTTTTTTAAATTTTTTACAACACAGGGGGCAAACGAACATGCGGCTCACGTGATGGTAAGTGACTACCGCCGCCCATGATCACCCACTACACTAAAGGCATTGAAGGTGTGCTGCCGTCTATTTAAAAAGGAATATGCTCTCTTCTTGAAGGTTATGATGTCGTATCGGTTCGGAAATACTACAGTTGGAAGTTGATTCCAAAGAGTTCCGTGCACAGTATGTCTATTTCTCTTGTACCCTATTGTACTTCTGCCGGGGATTATTTTGCCGTTTCCTGTCCTTAAGAGGGGAGATGTGAATTGTTTTTTTTTAATAATAATAGTAGTAACCGAGACGGGCTGGTGGTCGCGGATCTTGTAGGCGTCGTGCAGCAGCGCCAGCACGTACACCAGGTCGGTGCACGCCCACGGCTGCTCCACGTTGGACGCCGCGCACGCGCGCAGCGCCGCCGCGCGGAACGCGCCCACCGGCACCGTGCCGCCCACCATCACGTCTGCAACACACCGCCGCTTAGCTCTCTCTGTACACCTCATGCTACCCTAGTACTTGTACATATAATGTTTCATACTATCTCTTTGGGGGAACCCCGCACTCTGTACCGTACTCTCTACGCTGCTTATGCTACCCTGGTACAACATAAAGTTTAATATTGTCCCGGGAGGGGGAAGGGATTATTAGTAATGGGGATCTAACAACTCCATTGCTAGCAGTGACGACCTATCAGGTCGATCTCCACGCGGTTGCCCTTGGAAACCATTCTGGTTATTTTTTTTTATACCACTGAGGTGGCAAACAAGCATACAGCCTGTCTAATGGTAAACAGTCACTATAGACTATAGACGCCTGCTTCAATAGGTATCACGTGCACGTTGACAAACTTGAATATAAACATAATCTTTTTAAATAGTCTCTAGGAAAAACCTTGGCTGGGAACGCACAGCCTGAGCGTTCGCATATACCCAGTTAGATCGTGCTGAATTAATTCCAGGTGTATTCATTAGGATGGGCCATCTGACTTGCCTTTTCATTCTCACTTACCATCCCTCACTGGTGCCCCGCCAACGTATACCGATAGCGCAGGCGGGGTTACTATTCCATTATCATCCATTAAAAATAACGTATTCATCACGTAGCAGCAACCCACCACCACTTCACGCTTCATGACCGCCGTGTACACTCCACACGGAACGAACTACTTACCGATGATGCCGGCGTCCGCTGCGACGTCGTAGAAGTAGGACATGGCGGCGACGTTGCCGCGCGGCGGCTGCGACGGCTCCCAGTCGAGCGTGCGGGCCACGTATCGGGCCACCGCTGCGTGGCAGCGGGCCACCACCGCCTCGCGCTTCATGCCGGCTGGCCGAGCCGCACCGCTGAAATAGTGGAAACGACAAGTTTTATTTTTATTCGATGATAATGGAATGGTAACCCCACCTGCGCTAAGGGTATACGCTGGCGGGACACCAGTGAGGGATGATAGATGAAAATGAAAAAAGCAGGTCGGTTAGCCCATCGTGATGAATAAATACACTTAGAATTCAGCACGATAGTTTCCAAGGGGGACCTCGGGGAGGTCGACCTGGTTGAGTATATTGCTAGCAATAGGGCCCTCAATCTCCATTACTAACAATCCCCTCCTTACCGAGGTGTGGCAACGTCGCAATTGTCTGTCAATATTTAAAAAAATTAATAATTTGCAATATTTTTAATTGATTACTTAATTTTACATACGATGAATTCAACGGTGATATTCCGCTTCTGGATGAGGGATGGGCAACAGCGTCCCTCTTAAAAACATCTCTAAAGCCTGACTGCGGTTGCCAATCCGCCTGCCAAGCGTAGAAACTATTGACAAAACCCCCCCAAGCGGAAAGCTTATGTTCAGCAGTGGACAGTTAAAGGCTGATATGATAATCCCGCTTCTGACACCACTAACTAACGGATTGGAACTCGGTTTTTAAAAAACTAAAATTTAATTAACACTTTTGTTAATTTAAAATAAGTACTAGAAACAGAAAATAGAAATGTTGTGAACCTTTCTATTTTTCCAAGAGTCTAATTAAATCTGATTTTTTTTTGTTAATTCTATATAAAAAAAAAATAGTCCGGCGTTATATTGACGACAATGGTAGCGACGGCAATGTAGGGCGTAAGCTATATAATTATTTTTATGTTCTTAGAATTGCAAACTGACGGCCTACCTGATGGAAAGTGGGTACCGTCGCCTATAAGACATAAACAGTACTATGAACATAAGAGAATCATCTTCCTACCCTTATCCCAATCATTCGGAGTCGGCGTTATATGATTTTATCCATATTACAAAAAGATTTGGTTTTTTAGTTTTACGACCGGCCACCTGCCTGACGTCAACCCTCTTTGGGAATGCATTTGTTGGTGGTTTCCGCCACCTACGGTATGGAGGAAAGAATTGAGGAAAAAAAGAAGGGAACGTTGGAAATGTGTAAAGGAAATTGGTAAATGAGAGGAATAAGAGACTTATGTGGGAAAGGAAAGGAAGGGGGAGGACACTGCAGTTGTGGAAAGGACTGGGACACTGCAGCGGCTCGGGAGGCCGGGGTCACATACCCGTATGCCCTTATTCTAGAATCGGACAGATTTCTCGATTTCTCGTTATTCGTTGCCATTCCTGAAGACTAAGGAGTTATGACTCTATACCCTGTAATTTCATTGCCATATTCCACCCTTCAAACCGAAATACAGCCATGTAACACAACAGGTTGACGGTAGAAACAAGAGTGAGAACCCAATAAGACGACTTTTGTACGAAGCCTCTTTCTAATGATAACGTGTAGAATGTTACACACCTGATGATGTACTGTTTATTTGCGTACGTCCACGGCTCGCGCTGCACGATAGGGTCGACACAGACAGACGTGAACTCATTGGTATTGTTGTCTCCAGCCTCCATGCGGAAAATGCCGTAGCGCGCTGCCAACAGGCCCAAGTTCAGATAGCTGTGAAAAAATTAATAATAACTTCTTTAATACAGTCAGAAAATAAAAGATGTTCATACTTACTACCTGACTAATATTACACATATGAACGTTAGTTTATTTATTTGTCACTTCTTAGCACAGTTCAACTAATCATCTTGAAATTTAGTATACACACTATGTATACTTATGGAAAAAGAGATAGGTTAATATTTATCCATATATTCCGGTCACGTGGATGGACAATACAATATTGACGAAATTAGAATATTGAATAAGAAGGATAGACAACAAAATCGAAAATTGACGATGATATTACACACACCAAAATTTGGCGTGAATTAAAAAATTCCTTTTTTTTTAAGTCGCTTAAGCAACCGTCCCAAACGAGGTCTAAAGAGAAAAAGAGTAAATGTTAAAAAACATCCGACTCGAAGGACCAAAAATATTTTTGAACTTTTCTAGTTTGAAAATATTAAATTCATTTTTTAGTAAATCATATATAATCATAGAATATCTACGTTAACACAGCACGCCTCTGCCAACTTTTTACTTCAATATGTGTGACCATATACAGACATTAGTGCTCTGTTTGTTTGTGAGGAAAGGTCTTCGTATTAATAAATAATTGAAAGTAGGAACAGACCTGTGTGTATACAGGGTGATGTTATTGTTCCCTGCGGGCACGAGGTACCGGTCGCCGGCAGGGTACTGTTTGACGTCTCTGTCGTTCAGCTGGTACGTGATCTGCGTCGACCCGCCACCGAGGTCCAGTGCTGCCATCGTCTCGCCGTCCATTAGGTCTATTCACGAGTAAATTTCAGAGACTCGATATGCTAAGAATCGCTAACTTTTAATTTCCATAAGGGACAGATAAAAGGAAAATTAATTAATTAATGAAACTGTTGCCTTGATTCTATTATTTTTTTTATTTCACTTCCTAATTAGAAAAAAGTCTTTACCGAAATAGTTTAGTTAAAAAGGACTTACTTTATTTTGTACATTTACTTGTAATATAGAAATTACGTTATAACAAAATTCTCGGTTTATAAATGACAGAGTTCTGAGTTAATAAACATAAAAAAAATACAATCGAATTTGGGAAACTTTTTTGAAGTTAGTTAACAAGAAATAAATTATTTCTTCTTTATAACATTACTTTTAAAAAAATCGAAATTATAATCTTTCAGATAAAATTCTAAATTGGTTTATAAATGACAGAGTTCTGAGGTAATAAACATAAAAAAAAAATACAATCGAATTGGAAACCTTTGTTGAAGTTAGTTGACAAGAAATATAATTTATATATTACTTTAAAAGAATTACGAAACATGGTCATACTCACTGTGCAATAAGTTCAACGTGTACCAAATAAAGATGCCCTCGTCTGAGCCGTCCATTATTTCGACACTGTTCGGTCCCACATCATATCCCAATCTGAAAATACAGAAATTATTATTAGAACAAATATTCTTAAAATATCTCAATTTTAATATTGAAATTTGATTCCATGGCATTTGAAAATATACATATACATATATATGTATATGTATATTTGTTGTATATGTATATTAGGCTGTGTGGTCCTAGCATAGAATAGGCCACCCTTTCCTTTCCCGTGGGTGTCGTAAAAGGCGACTAAGGTAGGGCGAGGGATGGGCAGCAGCGTCCCTCTTAGAACATCTCCAAAGCCTAACTGCGGTTGCTAATCCGCCTGCCAAGCGTGGCAACTACTGGCATCCCCCCCTAAGGGGGAGGCTTATGTTCAGCAGTGGACAGTTAAAAGTTGATATGATGATGATTAATACTAGAAGTTTTACAACCTTTTTTTTATACAACTTAGAATGGCAAACAAGCTGACGGCCCACCTGATAGAAAGAGGTAATCGTCGCCTATAGACATGAGCAGTACCATGGACATAACAGAGTATACTGTTTCGCCCATGGTACCCCCTATGCGTTGCCATTCCTGAGGACTCAGGTGTTATTACTCCGTACCCAGTAAATTTACGCCATATCCCACCCTTCAAACCGAAACACAGCCATACAAACACAACTGCTTCACGGTTGAAACACGAAAGGTACAGAGGTACCCAAGCAATCGACTTTTGTACAGTCTCCCTCTGGTGAAACACTTTTGTACAAAACAAAAAAAACATTAAAACTTTGTGTACAATAGAGATACAAGGAGTATTTATACAGAATGTGCATATACAAAAGGCGGTATTATCGCTAAAAGCGATCTCTTACAGACAACCTGGCATATATAGTAGATAAGTACAGAGAGAAAGATAGGTGGCACAAGTCAGACAAAGTAAATACAATAAATAATTAAACAAAATAAATGATTGATTGATTGAACTCACGGCGCTATAGCTTTGGACACGTGTACAAGCAACTGCTGCGCTTTGTCCTTGGGCAGCAGCCGGAGACCGGCCGTCGCGCGGACTATGAGCGGTGTCGACTTCCTCTTCTCTGCAGGTATGAGGAACTCTGCTTTTTTTATAAGTTGAACTATTGTGTCCGCGCCCTATGACAAGAAATAACCTTTAAATTATAATTTAAAATTATGCCCCACAAAAAAACCAACTTCAATTGTGGCAAAAGAAATTAATCAAAAAACAGTTTAGTTTTTGAACGGAACCGATTTTAATCAAAATAGAACTCTCTAAATCAATTTATAACTGTAAGAATTATGAGGTAACAAACTTACAAAAAGAACCCCTTTTTTCGAAGTCGGTTGACAAATACTCTTTGGGTCTCGTTTAGGGATTGTATAACAGTACTGTATTTACTATCCCATAGCCTAATACTTTAGAAATTAAAAGAAAAAAAGAAAGAAATATATATTTAGTGCTAGCTATCATTCAATCATCATCATTTCAGCCATTATTCGTTCACTGCTGGACATAAACCCAGTAAGCTATATTACAGATAAATCCTTCATTACTGATAACTACTTATGTTCTATAAATTTTATCTAATCGAAATTAGACTAAACATACAATTATAAACATTATCTGATTTTCTGTTTGTGAAGTAAACAGACGGGTTAATATTCACATAAGCCGGTGTTCATATTATATTACATTTAGTGTCAAATATTGAGGTCGATTCTTAGGCGCCATTTCTCTAATGCTACCTCTTAAACTAATATTTGAATTTGACAGTTTCACGTTATTACCGTTTTAAATAACATCATAAATTAAATTGATAATAATTTTGAGTTAATTAAATATTTAGTTCACATTAATCCTTAAAATAAAGACTTTGCTGTAATATCGAATTTATATATTTTTATTATATGCCGTTGTTGTATACTTTTCATCACGCTACGATCAATAGGAGCAGAGCAGTGAATGGAAACGTTGGGAAAACGGGAGAAGTTACTCCATTTCTAAGCTTCCGTCGCGTGTGCAGCCTTAATGGCCACTTTTTAAAATGTAAAAATGTCCACCCGTGCGACGCCGGGACGGGCCGCTAGTATGAAATAAATATTTTAACTTAATTTTACTACATTGATGGCAAATTACAAATTCATAATTTGTGGTCAGTTTAGAATCAATATTACATCCCTACATCATTCAAGTGCATAATTCGTATGCATCAATAATCTAATATATAAAATTCTCGTGTCACGGTGTTTGTTACCAAACTCCTCCGAAACGGCTTTACCGATTTTTATGAAATTTTGTGTGCATAGTGGGTAGGTCTGAGAATCGGGCAACATCTATTTTTCATACCCCTCAATGATAGGGGTGACTCACCACTAAATATTTTTTTAAATTTTTTTGTAATTTTTTTTTATTTTTATTTTATTATGATTTAGCATTGAAAAATACATACAAATTCAAATTTTCACGCTTTTACGATCAACCCCTGTTGTTTAATCGCAATTTTTATATGCCACAATAGGTTTGCAAGATGACAATCGAATATAATAATTGTAGTATAATATATTTTCATGTATAATTCTAGAAATAATGTATATGGTAAAACAACGTTAACCGAGTCGGCTAGTTATCATATAATAATATAGTTAAATACGTTATCATAAATACCTTTTCCGGTTCATCGGCAAACGACGACAATCCGGGCTTTGATTGCTCGAAATACTCATCTACTAGGTCCAGATTCGCTTGTCCAAACACTAAAAAACAATTTCACTTATAACTAATTATATCAATTAATTATAACAAATCAAATATTTTTTATATACCACGTGGAACGGTAAAAAATAAGGGGGAAAAGGATTGTTAGCAATGCAGTTTGACAGCCCCATTGCTAGCAATATACTTTATTAGGTCGACCTCCCCCTTAGGTCGCGGTTCCCCCTGGAAACCATCTTGAACAATTCTTGTTGAATTCGTCACGATGGGCAAACTGACCTGCTTCATCCTCACCTATCATCCTTCACTGGTGCCCCGCCAGTGTATACCGATAGCGCGGGTGGGGTTACCATTCCATTATCACCCATTAAAAAAAATACACCTTAGTCCTCAGAAATGGCAACACATTAAGGGAATTATGGGCGACACACTATACTCTGTTATGATCAATGTATCATTCATGTTTACGCACACAGTACAAATGGTACAAACCTGTGAATGGCACCCTGAACCTATACGCCAGCACCCTGGAGCCGGAGGAGCCGGCGTCGATGATCACCGCGTAGTGATGTACGCTCTCGTAGCCTAAACTTTTGGCGATGCCGTCCAACCATTGTGTTTGGCCAGCGAATAATCCTGCAACAAAATATAATACCTATGTATTTACCTAAAAACAATATCTATTATCCATAGAACAAGTTCTGCTTAGTTTGAAACTAGAAAACGCCGTGTAATATGATCAATGGCATTTATTTATTTATTTATATAAGAATCAGGGCGTAAGGATTGTTAGTTATGCCCCCCCCCCCCCCTAACACACGCTCTTATCCATATCCATAATGTGTGCGTACAAAAAATTATATTTCGGGAGACTTAATACCTTGCAGCGAGAACTACCAGTCAACCACATGCAATATTCTTGGTAGTAGCAAAATCGTTTAAAACTCCTTTTTAGGCAGTTATAACTAGCCGTCCCGTGATAAGAGGTAACTATACAGACACGTGGATAGATAAGAAATATAAACATACTTCAGACAAGATTGGAAGCCGTAAGATCGATATGCATGAGAGACCCCATATTAAATACTAGCTCAATCTAAAAAATGAAATCGAAATAATTAAACACAACGACTCACAATAATTTAAAAAAAAATTTGGTTTAACGATCGTTGGTATCGTTTTTCCAAGAGATGAACTGATGGTCTACCATGAAATATTTTCTTAATTTTTAAAGACGTACGAAACACAAATTAAATGTTAAAATTACATAACACATACCATTTAAAAACCTTCAAAAATGTTAAAATATCGTTCTCTTGGACTATTATGGTAGGATTTATGACGAACGAAATATTAAGCTACATTTACTGGGGCGATTTTAATGCGAACAAAAACACGAAATTGAGCCCAAAAGTTCGATTTCCATTTCATGGCCCCCAGAATGTCGCAAAGCAAAAAAAGACCCGCGATTCCACGTTCTAAATTAAAACATACTTTACATACACATTAATATTATATATATATATATATATATATATATATATATATATATATATATATATATATATATATATATATATATATATATATATATATATATATATTCTTTATTGCACTTGTAAGTTACATATAAAATAATGTATTTATAAATGTTGTGAGCAAGGGTGGACTTATCTCTGACAGAGATCTCTTCCAGTCAACCCAGTACAGTAAGAAAGCATTTCGTTAGCGGGCAGATTAGATTTTACTGGAGTAGTTGTAATTTTGCAGAAAACATTATCAACTGATTAATTATAATTAAATAATAAATAACTCTAAGTCATTCTAATTAGAATAATCATCACGTCGTTCATCGGTTTGTGCGTGCGTGCGAGCGTGCGAGCCTGCGTGGGTGCGTGCGTGCGTGAGCTTGTATACGTTTTTCTGCAAAACAAAATTTACTTGTTCCCAACATGGGTAAAAAACAACTGTCATGAGCAGTAAGTTACCTCGAATACCTCATATAAAATACTTATATAAAAACTATGCATAATTTAAAGTTTCTTGAATAGGGTTTAACGTTTCCTGATACCATAGAGTTTAAATTTTACGTGATCTATTAGTGACACAGTGAGACTAATTCTGAAGCGCCATTCTCTAGTTCTGAAATTAACATGTTTGGAAAATTCAACGATATCATTATTTCAAGGTCGAGTATGAACTAAATTTATAACAGATATGAATCCGAGCTTATTGTAATGTAGTTTTATATCGTATAGTATTCCGTGTCAATACACAAGATGGGTCTATCTTCGGACACACTGTGCAGACTGTGCGGGGAAAAATCAGAATCCATGGAACACTTGATGTGCAACTGTGATTCGTTAGCGAGCATGCGCATGAGGCTACTGGGAACGGCTTATCCAGAGCCAGGGGACTACAGATATCTTAAACCGCGGGACATCGTTAAGATAACACAAAGGATCTATGAAATGATGGTATAAGGCAGGGGGAAGCACAAAAGTGTCGACGTGCAACAGCTTAGCTGACCCAATATGCGAATATAAGATTCCGTGTCAATAATCTCGTTTATTTATTCATTTTTTATTGCTAGGGAGGCAAATAAACTAATGGTACATAATGATCTTTTTTTTATGCAACTTAGAATGGCAAACAAGCTGACGGCCCACCTGATGGAAAGTGGTAACCGTCGCCTATAGACATGAGCAGTACCATGGACATAACAGAGTATACTGTTTCGCCCATGATACCCCCCATGCGTTGCCATTCCTGAGGACTCAGGTGTTATTCCTCTGTACCCAGTAAATTCACGCTATATCCCACCCTTCAAACCGAAACACAGCCATGCAAACACAACTGCTTCGCAGTTGAAACACGAATGGGACACAGGTACCCAGGCAATCGACTTTTGTACAAAGTCTCCCTCTGGTGAAATGTCATCATCAAAAAATACAATTGTTAAAAGGCGAGCAGCACACAAAAAATTCATTCGGTGTTTCGGATGCTCACGTTCGGCAGTAGTCACTTACTATCAGGTGAACCGCATACTCGTTTGTCCCCTATGTGTATATATATAAACTATTACTAGTTTGTTTTTACTCTAAATATACATTTATGTTTAATTTTAGCGACTGATCTGAGTTCAAAGAGATATCATTTATCATTTCATTTTAACAGCGTGTCATCAGCAGAGATATTGCGTACGTTTCCTCTACTTATGTCTTCTGATATATATGTAGTAATTTATATAAATAAAATAAATACTTTCGATACCTAGTAGTTTATGCAAATATAAACGTAACTCTTGATAAGAATTTTGTTTGAACTGATGATAAAATTTGTAACATATACAGTACAATCGCCTAATTAATTCTTAACGTATTAAGAAATACATTATTTTCTATCTGCACTAAACATAAACTATCTAATAAAAAAAAAGAATTTATACATCTGTTTATAAATATAAACAGATTAGAAAATTCTTTTTTTTTTTTCTAACAGGATATATTTTCTAATAGATCCCATAGAAATTTCATCGAAATCGATTCAATAGTTCTTTTTTTATTATACCACAAAAGTGGCAAACAAGCATACAGTTTGATGGTAAATGGTCACTGCAGCCTATAGACGCCTGCAACACTACTCGTAGAGGTGTCACGTGCGTGTCGCCGATTCCATTTTTAAATCAATCATGTGCGCGTTGCCGATTCGATTTTTAAATCAATCACGTGCGCGTTTCCGATTCGATTTTTAAATCAATCACGTGCGCGTTGCCGATTCGATTTTTAAATCAAAACAACTGGTTTTGCTACGATTGACGTTGTTTTTGTTTTCAACGGAACCTAATCTAATTGTTCGTATCAGAATAAAAATAGTGATATTACAAATCAATATTAATTTTAAATTGATTAAAGTCACCATTGTTTGCGGGCGAAAATATAAAAAAAAATGTGTAATAACATTGTTTTTTTTATTATATCTTTTAATTCTCTCGTCCTTCTTCCTTTTCTGACGGCCCATAACGTATGTACTGAAATCCTTTTTTTATTATTATTATTGTAGCCGTTAACTGTCCACTGCTAGACATAAGCCTTCCCAATAAGGGGAATTTTGCCAATAGTAGCCACGCTTGGCAAACGGGTTGACCGCAGTTAGACCTTTAAGGATATTTTAAGAGGGACGCTGCTGCCCATCCCTCGCCTCTTACGACACCCACGGAAAAAGAAGGGGTGGCCCATTCTATGCCGAGTCCACACACACTGAAATCCTTAAAATCTTTCCCCCATCAATCCCCCCTCCTATTGCTGATTTGTCCTATCTCCTTAACTTTATGGTACTTTTGGGGAAAAGGGATTATTAGTAATGAAGACTGTGAATCCTCTTGCTAGCAATATACCCAACCAGGTCGACCTCCTCGCGGTTCTCCCTGGAAACTATCATTGATAATTCCTTATGTATTCATCATGATGGGCTAACTGACCTATTTTCATTCTCATCTATCACCCATACCATACCATTTTCACCCATCAAAAAAAAAAACTTTGTGGTACTTAATGATCGTGGCCTATTTTTATATTTGACACTGGCCATATATGATCAACTATGTAAATAATAATAAAAAACCGACAACTATCAATAATGCAGTAAATAGAATTGTACAAAGAAATGAGCACTAAAATATCGACAAATAGTCATACAAATGTACTGTTTACTAACACTCAAGTCACTGCAAACGGAAACAATCGGTACAATAAACAATGGCGTAACCATGAATTATGTATAATCATGTAACTTTAAACTTATTCTATTTTGTGCTGTTTATGTATATTATCAATTACAAAAAAAAAAAAACTAAGTTGTCGCGTATTCATTTTGTTAAAGTTAAACAAGTTTTTTTTAAACATGTTATTTTAGATCGTACTCACGCAGTTTACAACTAAACTTTGATCAGGTGTCGTCAGGTATATCAACAGAAATATGTACTGTTCCTGTTGGCACACCTTCGACAGTTCTACTATCAGGCTATCAGTGGACTTGGTGATAATTGTTCCATTAGTAATACAACTTTTATTTTTTCTTATTTTATTTATTTATCGACCACATTATTATAAAATGTTTGAGAAAAAAAGGTGAACTTAATGCTATATATTATTCTCTACCAGTCCACCTTTGGAAAAACAGAAATGTAATTATGCGGTGAAAAATACTGAAAGTTGTAGTCGAGAAATATATTCCTAAGAAAATTTAAATTTGAACCCACAATCTAGAAACTGAATCTGAAAAAGAAGGAACTGTAACAATAGTTTCTTCTTCTTTAAATAGCAGTAAAAAAAATATGATTGTGTTACACAAAAAAATCCAATTGTGGCAAAATCAGTTATATTAATTTAAAAACTAAACTACTGATCGATTTTGATAAAATTCCTATGGATTTCTATCTGGATGCCTGTCCTTTCGAATAAAAAAAGAATTTTCCAAATTGGTTTATAAGCAACGGATTTATGAGGTAATAAATATAAAAAGGAGCACCGAATTAACAACCTCCTTTTTTGAAGTAAGTTTAAAACAATTTAAAATTAATAAAGAACATTAAACTTTACTTCGCATTAAAAAAAAAGTTTCATTCATGGTAAAGTGGTATATCTAACACGAAAAAAAAACAAAAAGTGACTATGCTAATATTCCTAAAAAAATCCCGAATATTACTGACTTCATATTAAAAAAACAATTAAGTATAATTACTTATTTAAAATATAGTTTACAGCAATGTGATAGGTATAAGATGAAAACAACAAAAAAGTGACTACGCCAATTTTTCTAATAATTCCAGGAATTTCGCTCTAATCACACACTACAAGAATACCTGCAATCAAAAGGGGCAATGTACGCACTACAGCCGTCTCATTGGCCATTTCTCATCCACAATCTGCACACGGGTATCCACTAACCGTACTACTGTAAAGCAATGTGTACACTACACGTCCGATTCTCTACACGGCCGGTTCGACCACTGACCAAGGAGCGACCGGGTTCGTTAGGGTGCGAACACACGAGACTCTATGCGGCAAAATGCGACGCTGACGCAATCTTGGCAAACGGCGTTATTAGGGAATGAGTGATACTATGTTAATGATCGTTGAGCAAATAGGTTTGTTAGATAAAAAGTGACTAATAAAAATGACTGGCCGCAAAGTATTATACTACAAAACTGATTTTGAACATTTTACTCAAAAAAAGACAATAATTTTAATCGTTACAAAATTCACCGACCGATGAACGCCGATATGTTTCGTAGGCACATTATATTGAAAAATATTTGAATTTAGAACGCGGAATCTTGTCCATATCACTTCGCAAACGATAAACGACAACTGCAATGATTATATAAATAATAGAGACCATGCCAGTACATTTTATTGATAGATAAAAAGAATTTATTAAAGTCAGCTCAGAATTGGCCACGTAAACCTGTAACATGGTCACACAAAGAATCCTTACTAATACCATAAATGTGAAACTGAGTTTATTTGCATCCTCTTAGCGCTTTAACGACTTGACCAATCACTATAAAATTTGGTACACACGTATTATGTAGCATTAGAAGAACATAAGGACATACCAGAGGGAGACTTTGTACAAAAGTCGTTTGCACAAAGGGTAGACACCTGTGCCCCATTCGTGTTTCTGCCGTGAAGTAGTTATGTTTGCATAACTGTGTTTCGGTTTGAACGGTGGGATATGGCAGTGAATTAACAGAGTACAAAGGAATAACACCTGAGTCCTTAGGAATGGCAACACATGGGGGGGTATCATGGGCGAAACAGTATACTCTGTTATGTCCATGGTACTACTCATGTCTATAGGCGACGGTTACCACTTTCCATCAGGTGGGCCGTCAGCTTGTTTGCCATTCTAAATTGTATAAAAAAAAACATGGTACTGTGCATGTCTATGGCGACGGTTACCATTTTCCAAGAGATGGGCCGTCAGCTTGTTTGCCATTCTAAGTTACATAAAAAAAGAAACTGCTTCACGGTAGAAACAGTAATGGGACAGAGGTATCCAAGCAAACGACATAGTCTCCCTCTGGTGATCTCATCAAAAATAATTTAAGTAAAAAAGGATATGCAAAACTTGATAGTAAGGTGACTCACAACTCGCAAATTTCGAGTTTTCGGTGGAGGATCTCTTAACAATAATGTTAAAACTCTTTTCGTCTTTTCCTAAATGACTTATTTGGTATGGTTACATTCGCACAAATTTGCCTTTTACTTCTAAACCATGAACCGGATTTTGACACAAGTTTCACTGTTATTTAAATATTTTTTACTGCGGCGCCCGTGTAAATCCGGGTCATGGTGCTAGTTCTGGATCATGACACCGCCATTTTTAATACGTAATACTTACTGCTTGTGTGAAGTTTAATAAACTTATATTCGGTTTAGAATTTCATTATTTTTATATTAAAGCCATAAAATTACCACACTATAACCAATATATGATATTATATTACATTAAAAAATTCCGTCAGCATAATATGTTAAGGTATATTCCCGCCATTTGATTTTTTTTTCGTTCCACATGGTTATAAAATAATTAACAATTCAATTTTCGAACATAAACAGTAATTACTCCAAAAGAACGTATAATTTGAACGTTCCTATTTTGAAAATTTTAATGTCAAAATGAAATCATTGGAATCTGTTGTCGACAATGTCGTAATGAAAACAGGTTTATATCAAATCACATCAAATTCGGCAGAAGCAAGGCAAATAACAAAACGACGGAAACAGGAACACCTGAGTAGTCTATGACAGTCTTGGAACTCCCAAGAAGATTTTATTGAAAAGCTATGCTTCAATTTGAAATTAAAAAAAAAAACAAAAATTTTGTTCGGCTAAAACGATCCAATAAATACATAAAATGAAATATTAAATTTTACTAATATAATTTAATTGTCACTAAACGATGCCAGTAACGAAAGTAAAGAATATATATATATATATAAAGTGTTTTTAGTAACGGCAATAGAAATCTAAAAAATAAATTTTAGAAATTTAATCTGTCTGTATCTTTGTTACACAAAAATTACTACACCTAATTGAGTGCAGTCATGTTCCTGGAACTCTATATAAGGTGTTCTAAAAGTTCAGCACGGTGGAATTACCTTAAAAAGTGCAGGTGTTTTTAATGGCAAGTGGCTACCGTCACTCATGATCACCCGCAACACCAAAGGCATTGTAGGTGCCAAAAAGTTTCACAAAATGCCCTTAGACGTAAAAAGGAGAGCGTATTTAATATTATTCCAGAAGTCAATTAGAAAAAAAAATCAATACGCTTAAGCAAACAAAAAAAAACCGTTCTAATAGATTTCCTTGAATTATTATAACAATATATTGATGAACAATGGTGAAATCTGACATTGAATCATTTCACGCAGCGAGTAGAGCAGCCTTTAACTACATTATATGCTACAACAATATCCACGTATTCTTGTGTAATTTTAAAAAAATATTGTATTTTAAACTTTATTGCTTTGCCACAGAGGTTATTTAGATTTAGAGGAATTAACAAAAGCAACGGAATGAATATAATATTCTATTATTAGTTCCAATAACCTTTTTCTTTGTAATGAAAAATAGTATTTAATATTTGTTTAGTGTTAAAGACCACATCTTTTCTTTAGATTATGGTTACCATTTACTGGTTTTCCATGGATTTTGTCCAGATGCTCTTTAAGTTCGGGAGAGTTAAAAACTTCCCAATTAGCTCCTATAATCTTTTAGGCTTAAAACACTGATGACGTAACAAATTGACATCTGCGAATCTGGGTATTATGCTCAAAAATTCGGGAACTTTGTACTTTTTATATATTACGTTTACTAACTGATCTACATTATCATAAAGTATAATATTGATAATATAATAGTTATAAATTTTTATATAATAGTTAATTATTTGCATAGGTTTATTTATAACTGGTTCAACATACCCATGTTTTTGCATGCATTGCATGTTTTTATATTGTATATGCAAATGATGACAAAAGAACCATGAAATATTTAATACAATGTAAAGGATTAAAATCCGCCATGTGGTCCCGGCATAGAACAAGCCACCCTTACCTATCCCGTGGGTGTCGTAAGAGGCGACTGAGAGAGGGCGAAGAATAGGTAGCAGCAGCCCTCTTAAAACATCTCTAAAGCCTAACTACAGTTGCCAATCCGCCTGTCGAGCATGGCAACATCTGGTAAAACCACCCCAGGGGGAGGCTTATGTTTAGCAGTAGACTGTTAAAGGCTGGTATACCAAATGGATTAAACACAGCTATATATTTGACTAAATAATTGTCAATTGATACTGATTATGTTTTCTTAATGAAAACTGTATCTGCGCTTAATTCATGCTGGCCAGGTGCCAGTGAATAGTGAATGATAGCGTGGATGACGTCGGATCAGATAAATTGTGATGAATTCACCAGGAATTAAGATTAAATCTAATAATTAGATCCTAAAGGTTGACTAACAGAGAATGCCTATAGCATTAAGTCTGCATTTTGTACCACATTTTATGCGTCAATAAAGTTTAAACAAATAAATAGATGGTTTATTAAAGTTGAGATCTGTAGCTTGTATTATAACATTGAACTCAATGCTTATGTGTATTACTGTAACAGAGTATACTGTATGCGAAACAGTATACTCTGTTATGTCCATGGTACTGCTCATGTCTATAGGCGACGGTTACCACTTTCCATCAGGTGGGCCGTCAGCTTGTTCTAAGTTGTATAAAAAAAAAATATTAAACGAGAAGTTGAATAACATTTGGACAATCATGGCTTCATGTCTCAGAAACTAAGCACATAATCTCAAATAATTACAATTATTCTTTAATGACACAGACTAAGGGATAACTATATGGAACAGATAAAGAAAACACTAGGTGTCATGTCATATAGGGAAGTCCAAGATATGGCATGGGATAGAGATGGTTGGAAGAAAATGCATGAATTATTTGTACTGACAAGAGGAAACTGTTAAATGAAAAGAGAGACATAGAATTAAACTTTCAATTATGCAATTTTCAAAATAAATAATTCTTATTAACAAAAAAAATAAACAAATAGAAATAATAGAGTACTCACCTAAAAAGTATGTCACAAAAAGTGCTAAAACTATAAGAAGAATGAATACTTTCTTCAAACGACGAGGTTGCTTTAGTGTTCTAGATCTTACGTTGATATGTGAGGCTGAGGTATCATCTCTTAACTGGAAAAAAGGGGAAAATTATTTAATACATATATATTTAATATATATTTAAACAGCACTTAGTGAGCCAGCATAATGCAGTTAATATTTAAGGGTTAATCATTCTCTTTTCGGTTGATCATATTTATGGACCATATTATCTCTATATTCATTCAAAATGGTATGATCACAATTGTGCAATGTATGTGAATGTGAGAAAGACTCTATTTTCTGCGCTTAGCCTCTCAAATTCGCCATGTATTTCATATATTCAAAGGTATGTAACGGTGAGCTATACACGCTCGGAATGCTAGTGCATTAATAATAAAAAAATCAAAAAAATATATTTAATTTTGAAAATTTGTATTCTCTAGATTTATTTGTATAAATGTTTAAAAAATTATTTAATTTAACATGTAACACAAAACACAAAATTCTGCTGATTTTAGAACCTTCTTCCATCATAAATTTCCCTTTCCATTAACAAATAAGTTCACAAACACATAAATAAAACTAATTAATGGATGATTATTTATCATTCTTAACTTGTCTCTCTAATCCATTATTAGAAGTGAAATAAATAAATATTTTAATTAAAACTAAACATTTATTCTTTTAAAAATAATTTTAATGTGGTAATGAATAGATAGTAAAATATATTAAGGAGTATGTGTTATACTAGGATTTAGTCTATCTGTGAAGCACAGACAGTTCCAAGATTTGGAGGACCACTAGAATTGCCTGGATAATGCATATCTTTAAGGGACCAAGCACCTCCCAGAAAATAATTTTAAACACACCAACGTTTTAGACAACATCAACACACAAAATCCACTCACTTTATTAATACTTCAATATATTAAATATTCTAAATAGGCAGTAATGCAAAAAATATTATTTGAAATTGGTTAAGCACTTTTGAGTTTATCTATTATAAACAATATTACATACTTCTATTATATACTTATATAATATTATATACTTCTACAGATATTTGATATTTTTAAATTATCTATTATTACAATAGAAAACTGACCAATACAAATTTGAAACATTGATTTTTAATGAATTAGATAATTATATAGTATACTTAAGTAATTTGATAATTAAAGTATAATATGTAAGTATAACCTTTTTGCTCCCTGACACATTTATTAAATAACAATATACTATTTATGTTTTAAATTAAATCACAAGAAATATGCTCTTTAAATACTCACCTCTAAATACCTGTAAGTACTGAATTTTCCCATATCGATATAAAATAAACATCACAACCAGAAAATACTTTTTATCTAATACTTAAATTTGTCATAATACTGCAAAATACCAACATATTTTAATTGTAATTAATAATCCAAAACGTTTTTATATAAAATATTACGTTTAAAGAAATAAAAACATTAAATAATATGTCAAAAATTTGTAAAGTCAATGTCAGTCAGAAGGAATCATAGATCAAAACAAAACGGAAGACTTGGAATCATAGAGTAATAAAATATTTTTGTATTATAATCAGTTTTTAAAACAAATTACACTTGTGCAATTGGTGCATAATAGTATTTGGCAACAGATGTTTAGTTTTAGATTGTCAGAACAGTTTTCTTCAAATTGTTCTTAGATTTTCTTATAGAGTATAACCTCCGTACACTAAATAGTAGTATATCTCTCTGCCTCTATTCACGATAGATTAACAAATAGACTTATTATTATCTGTGGATTAACCTTAAAAATAAGAACAAAATCTTGTCCTTAAAATATCACTCGTGTGAATAAGGGCTTCGAATTCTTATTTTCGTACATTTCTACATATTCAAAACTTAATAGTAGTATTTAGACAAAGCAGTATGTTCTGTTCTAAATTTTGTAATAAGGAAAAGACTATTATCGTAAATGTAGCATAATATACTTATTTTAACCCTTTATTTTAATCTAAGGGTAACAGATCGAAGGTTAGACGTAGATATGAAATAAATTTATCCAAATTGATGACTGTCATAGACAACTTATATTAATTTTTTTGGTTCAGTTCACAAGGTCAAGAATCACCTATCCAATTTAAGAAGAACAACTTTGAGGAATCTTGTGCCTAGACAAATTCACTTTTATTGGCAAACTTCACGTCAGGTAGGCAATTTCGTATATATATATACTTATCATGCTACGTAATATTATATAGATATACTCACGCGATACTCATATTATAATTGTATCTAATAGGTTATTTTTATTTATAAAATACTTTGATAATTACCTAAGTGAAATGTAAGATAGAAAAAATACCTTTCTTTGTCGCAAACTCATCTCCGACTGCGTAATTACTCCTTCGTGTTCTATAACAGTGCACTAAACTATAGAAATTGTAAAAATAATTAGTATACTTATATGATTAAACTATACGTATAACTAACGTAACAAAACGTAATAAAATGAAGATCGAACGAATGAGTAATGACGTTATAAAGTCAAGTTGTAGAGATAGTAAATGACTGCCATAGACATATGTACAATACCTAAAGCGGACTTAATTCAGGTGCCAATAAATAGAATGGTTCCGCAGATTTGTTTACGTATACGATAATAATAATATGACGAGATAAGAGATGATCATTACTTTAATGACTTGCATAATAAATCATATTAGTACTTAAATACCTATTATTAGGTATCTATAGGATTGAATTTATTTAATTGAAGGTAGAAGGTACCTGAAAAAAAGACTAACCTACCTTTCTAGTGTCTATATAACTAAGTCGAAATTTAAAATGGATATTTTTATATTTTTTTATATAACTTACAATGGCAAACAATCTTAACGGTCCACATGATGAAAAGTGGTAACTGTCGACTATATTTATAAGTACATTTTATACAGGATTTAACATCAAATAGATACCTAGTAAGAAGGTGCGTTTATACCTAAATATCTAATCGCATATAAGTACCTATATTTTTTATTTATAATACTCATAGAGAGAAACGACTAGTTGTTACTCATATGAAAATACCTAGTTAGTAGAGTATGAAACAGAACCTACTAATAGGCACTAATAGATTTTAGTATACTCGATCTAGGTATGTGTAATTTTCCGGGTTCAATTCTCAATCGGTATAAACGAACCTTTCTAAATTGGCTCAGGTTCAAATATTCGGCATTTTGTTTCTTGATATTAATTGTTTTGAATAATATATTTAGGTGTATTTTTATGAAACGAAATAATAAACAAGATTATTAGAACTTAAGATTGAATTCAAAATTGGAATGCGGAAATTTATTGTCTATATTTAGACATACAATAAGCGTTTTCAGAAAGTCCCATCTCACGATACTATAGAGAAATACCTATCTAATAATATCCGCTTCTATGCAGCCGAAGACACGGGAAACTTCTAGCTAGTTATAAAAATCCGAAACAGCAATTGTGACTTGATGTATATCTACGTTTTTGTGACCTTCAACGCAAAATTGCTACCAGCTGCATGACTATACAAACCTACAGAGTATTGACATAAGCGTGACACAATAAAAATGTATTCTGATATCTTCATAAAGATATATACTTGAATGAAGGCTAAATATAATCATTTGATATAACGCCGGGCCTAGGTTTTTCTTATTAAAATAAATAATGTATAATTTGTTCTACAGAAAAACACCTACTTCAATTGTGGCAAAACCTTTTGTTATTTTGATTAAAAATTAACTTACTGGACCCATTTTAATAAAATTTCTATTAGACCTTTTAAATTAAAAAGAATTTTCCATATCTGTTTTTAAATGAAACAGTTATGAGGTAACAAACTTAAAAAAAATACAATCGAATTTTAAACCTCCTGTTTTTTGGAGATCGTTTGAAAATAATTTTTAGTATTGTTTAATCGTCTTCTTTAGATATAACACATAATGTGCCGCATATTTTACCTATCTCATATGCGTTGTTAATGTTAATGCAATCACCATTAAAAACGCATATGAGATATTATCTGCAATTAATAATCTCTTTCAGAGATATGAATCTTACGGACGTTTATACTTGTGACAATTTCAACAAATACGCCATGGGACGTCGGAAACTAGACGATGAATTGTTCGCGACGGACAAACCGCCACCCAGGCTCGGAGTGTACGACCTCGATGAGGAAAACTTATGCCATGAAGTGTATGTGACGGTATAAATAGTATTATAAAGTAGCTTCGCCCTACATTTATTAAAAAAATCCAGTCTTATGTGTGGAGCCGATAAAGCTTTTGCCACTCCGCGGCTTTCGGCAAATCCCTATTTATTGATTACATTTTTCTTTCATTTACCTGATGTAATGTCTTGTACTGTTTCGGTCTTTCCCTAAGCCTTATTCCTTCTTACTTTTTTTTTTTTTAAATAGTAATGAAATGAAATGAAATGAATTTATTTTGCTAGAATGAAGGTAGTTTTGATGAAAGAGATTTACATTTCATATAAAGTGTAATTTGATGTTGAACTATTATCGGTTGCTCAACAGCGGAGTAGACAATCCTGCAACTCTAAGCCGTTGTTCTTTGTACGCACCCCAACGCTGCATGCGATTGCGTGCTAGTCGACTACTATCGGCACCGCTGGTTCGCACCTGTACTGCTCACTTTGCTCACACTTATCAGACTATTTCTTTGCTCAATTCTCTGATTGCTCAGCAGCCAGATATTGATATATTTAATGACAAAATAGATATATTTTTAAAATGTTGTACAAAATTTGTATGTTTGTAAAATAAACTTATGGCTCACTACACGTTTTGGGAGACTGTAAGTGCGGTGAGTAATTTTCAAATAAATAAAAAAAAAATAAACAATATACATTCTGCCTCTATGTCGGCGTGCAAATTATTAACAATGTCAGAAATTTACATCTATTTTACACTATATTTCTTTTCATTAGTCATATAAATCAAATACATATATAATTTATTACAATAAATAGAAAAAAAAACTTAAGAGCAAAAGTGCCAATTACATCTTTAGTATAGGTTGTAACTTACCTTCTTTACAGAATACACTTCAAATCACACTATCATGGTTAATTCCTGCTGAATTCGTCACGATAAAACTGACTTCATCCTCACCTATCATACCCCCGCAATTTTTGTATTACCAATAGATGTAATAATAGCGTAAGCCATTCCATTTGCATCAATAAAAAAAAATAGCTTGATGAATTATAATAATATGTCATTACAATCGGTTGCATTAGGCTACATGATGACTATAAATACAGTCGACATAAACTATTCAGAACTTAAGTTTTGCTTATTTTTTTATGCAATTTAGAATGGCAAACAAACTGATGGTCTATCTGATGGAAAGTGGTAACCGTCGCCTATAGACATGAGCAGTACCATGGACATAACAGAGTATACTGTTTCGGCCACTATACCTCCCATGCGTTGCCATTCCTGAGAACTCAGGTGTTATTCCTCTGTACCTCGTAAATTCACTGCCATATCCCACCCTTCAAACCGAAAAACAGCCTTTCAAACACAACTGCTTCGCGGTAGAAACACGAATGGGACAGAGGTGCTAAAGAGAACGACTTTTATAAAGTCTTCCTTTGGTACTTATTTATTGAAAATGTTTTTTTCTTTTCAGCATAACAACAACATGCAACATCCCCGGGTGTACCTTCGCCGCGGAGTCCTTACTAGACTTCGAGAACCACTACAATGCGTCACACAGATACGCATGCAGCCAGTGTAAGAAAGTGCTGCCGTCACCACATCTATTGGACTTGCATATACAAGAGTCACACGACTCGTTCTTCGCTGTAATGGCCGAAAAAAAGCCTTCAGTATGTCGCTATTTACTATTTAAAATTACTTAGTCTTAAGATTAGTTTGTGAAATGAACAGGGACAACCTTAACCGCCTTTGATGATGAAAAAGTTCACCAAGTGATCGAGGACACAAACTCTTTAGGATACTGGCCCAGAATTCAATGTAAAATCCTAACATCAATTTTGATGTAACCTTTTACTGATACATATCGTCTGCGGCCACTTCCTTCGACCAGCAGTATCTCTGAACCGATACATCATAATTTTTAAGAAAAGAGCATATTCCTTTTTAAAAGGCCGGCAGCACACAGCACACCTTTGGTGTTGTAGGTGATCATGGGCGGCGATAGTCACTTACCACCAGGTAAGCCGCGTGCTCGTCTACCCGTGTTATAAAAATCTCGGTGCACCTGGGCGCCACCACACCGCGTGCCGCCCCACAAACCTCCATCGCTACTTTTCTGAGACCGATATTGAATAAGGCAAAATTTTGTGAATTTAACTAAAAATATCACATGGGCTCATTTATACTGTTTTGGTAGAGAACCCTAAAAATAATGTTACTGACTTTAATAACCTACTCTAGGTCAAAAGAGATATTAACTTCCTAGCAGGAAAAGAGGTATATTTCCTTAATTTGTTTGCAGTGCATTATCATACCATTTATTCACTAGGAAACAGTTATGGCGTCAAGCATGAAGTTCAACATATATGTTTGGCAATGTTCCACAACAGCACACAATGTTGCCACAGAACGGACAAAAATACGCGCGACATGACTTCTTAAAGAAATCCACATCGTCGCTCAAATTTGATCTACACGTTGTGCAAGCTGCTTATTGTCTAACTGATAATACGTATTTCTTTTATTTACAGTATTGTTGCTACATAGAAGAATGCAAAGAGAAATTCAAGACTGCCGAAGAAAGATTAGACCACTGTGTAAAAGTACACAAACTTCCAAAGAATTTCAGATTCGAACAAAAAGCTAAAACTGTTAGGAAACCAAAAAGTGGCAACACTAAAAATGTAGGAAATAATGAATCAATGGATGTAGATAGACCTTCACAATTCTCATTTACAAATAACAAGAAAAAAGCATTTGCATCTTACACAGGGAGAAAGTTTACAAAAACTAAAAAGGAGACACCATCGCGAGATGTAGATATGGATGGGATTGTTGAAGAATTGAAAAAAACCTTGCCAGATTAAAAAAAAATATTCTTTATCTATAGCACAGATAATATAATACTATGCTAGTATCTATAGTAATTATTATTATTCCACCAAGATCATATTATATTATTAATGAATAATAGATAACAAATGCCGCCATGTCTTGGCAGTGACCTGGTGATAAATATATTACCTACACTATTTACAGATATCCAGCTCATTTTTATTATTCTGTTATAATTTACACTATTACGTTATAAGAGTGATTTTATTTTGAAAGATTATGTATAATCACAATGCTCACCCTCAAAGTACTAGTCAAAGAAAATAGCAAATTATACATATTAAGATCATTCCAAAATCCATTGTTATAAAAAAAAAATCTAATAAATGGCATATTTTTTCCAGGGTGCAACACTTGTTTTCATATTAATATAATCTTAATATATTACTATAAAATATTTTCATTCAATAAACACATCTACTTATGCCTCGTTTACACTACTAAAACACTTACATACCAAGTGATAATGACACTTTAGTAGAAGCATATGAATAGTAGTTTCCAAGTACAAAATTAGTACATTAGTAAGATTCCACTCATAAAATATTCCAATACTACAGAAGCATATTGAAGCAAGTATTTTAGTAATATGAACAAGGCCTTACACTCAATAAATAAATCTACTTGGCTTTGCCCTGTGCAGCAACAGCGGCCATTGCCTTCTTGACAGTCTCCTCATCGCCAAGGAAGACCATAGAGTCCACTGGTTTCAAGTTTTCATCCAATTCATAGACAAATGGTATGCCAGTGGGAAGATTTAATTCCATTATGGCGGCGTCACTGAGTTCTGAAAATAGTGTTAAGAAAATATAGTTTTTAATATTTTTTTTGTTATTATTTAATCTTGACATGTCCTTATTGAAAGTAGTCCATTAAAATATAACACAAAAATAAAAATTACAATTCATAATTAACATAAAACTAATGTTGATATGTTTTATCCATGTTGAATAAAAAAATATTCATAAATATTACAAACATTTAAAAATGATAATGACTGTAACTTTCAATGTTACTTAATTTGGCAAATGCTTCTTTTATATAAAATTACTTGAGAAATTCTTAGCTTCGACTTATTATTCCAGTATTACAAAGCTACTTTTGGTTTGAATAGTAAATAGTATCACTTTATAATAATGATATTTGCATACAAATGGACAGCCCCAATCAAAAGACTAAGTAAATAAACCAACAGCCTAAATTATGGAACCTAGTAATTATAACTTTTAAACATTTGTTTTAAATTTATAATTATGTGTATGTTATAATTTTTTCTTATATCTATGATATAAATATCATAGATATAATAAGATAGGGAGCACTATAACATCCCTTATGTACAATACAGATCTTAGAGGAGGGACCAGTCCAGTAACACCCAAGGATACCAAGGATCCCTGATGACTTTTTTATATTATATAAATAATATAAAAAAATATTTACCATCTAAATGCTTCACAATGCCTCTTAGACTGTTTCCATGAGCAGCAATTATTATTCTTTTACCCTCTTTAATCTGAAATAGAAATATTTTATCATCATAATACTTTCAGGATTTCAATAGACTTGTACCAATATCTATGTGAAAGAGTTCTTTTTTAAATAACCAACTGACTTAAAAAAAAACATTGTACTGTTTAAATTTTTCTTTTGTCCCCAAAAACCTTTAATTAGATTATCGTTTTAAAAAATTAACTAAATAGCACACAGAATAATATAATAATATATAGATTAAAACTAACACATAAAAACAAAAAAAATATCAGGTAATTCTCTTAATTTTATATAGCTATATATAATAAATCTCACCTGAGGCACAATAACTTCATTCCAATATGGCAAAGTTCTTTCAATTGTGAGTTTTAAACTCTCAAACATTGGGAACTCCTCAGGTTTGGGGTCTCCAGCGTAACGGGGGTCCTTAACTATGGTTTCATAGTATGGATGGTCTTTCTCCATAGCTGGTGGTGGAATGTCAAAGCTACGACGCCAAATTTGTACCTATAAAAGTTTTATAAGAAAAATCAAAAAGTGTGTTTTAATTTTGATTTTTATTTAATCTTCATCTTACTTGTAAAAAATGTAACATCATCATCATCTTACCCTTATCCCATTTATTATTTGGGGTTGATATATTATATTGGTATAGTTTTTCTTGTAAAAAATTTATATTTGTAGATAAAAAAATTACCTGGGCCTCCCCATATTTGGCAGCAGTTTCAGCCTTATTTAGACCAGTAAGTCCACCGTAATGTCTTTCGTTTAGACGCCAGGTCTTATTTACAGGTATATCTGGTTGTCCGATCTCCTTTAAGACCGAGTTCAACGTGATTTGAGCCCTCTTTAGAACCGATGTGTGAGCGACATCAAATTGATATCCTTCGGCTTTCAAAGCCTTTCCCGCAGACACTGCTTCCTCGCGACCTGATAAGAATTAAATAATCAGCAATTTCTATAAAAAGATAGAAGTTAACCCACAGTTTAATTTTTGTTTCTGGAGAGATGAGACCACTTACCTTTATCACTTAAATCTGCATCGTACCACCCACAAAATAAATTTTTCTGATTCCATTCACTTTCGCCATGGCGAATCATCACAATTTTATATTTTGCAGGCATAGTTTAAACGTCTTTTAAAAATTTCTTATGACGACCGGTGAAATAACAATACGACCTTTCTCACTTTTCAATAATTTTCAATGACATTTTCAACCTCTATGACCTTTGTTTTACAGTTTTTTTTACAGTTCATTTTAGCAAAGGCATATAGTACATACAGCTTTAACTTAACCCATATTCACACAGATGTATATAACTTCATAGCCTGCAGCGAATATGTTAATACTTTTTGATTTGTCTAAAATTATATATAAGTGAAATCTACTGACAATTCTGCTAATTCATACCACTAACCCTTGAAAAGTTCCCTTACTGTTCAAGGTACAAAGTTTAAGGTACGAATATCTTTAAGTGATTACGGGCCCAGGTTGCTGAAGATGGATCTTGCTAAAATACAGATTACCAAACTTATAAACTATAACTAAATACAATGCAAGTATTTGATGCCTGCTTTCCTAAGGGGTACCGACGAACTTCTCGATATTGTTAAAGGTAAAATACAACGACTTTTTCTGCTGACAGAAGCTGCTACGCAAGTGGCTGGAGCTGCTGCATTAGCTGATGGAAATAGGGTATACACGAGTCTACAGAATTTTCTCAGGTTAGAGAGTACAGCACTACTCTTGTTAACTGATAATATTAGCGACGAAACACTTGACAAGGTGATTAGATTCTCCATTCCTAAAGAAGTATGGGATGAATTACACAGGCTTTATGATGGCATTAATGACAATAAAGCATATGATTTATGTATGGAACTCTTCCGGTACAGTAAAGATCCCTTAGATAATGTTACAACTAAAGTAAAAGAAAGTATAAAAAGAAACAAACTGTTCTAAATGCTTAATTTATTAAAAGAAATGTATTTCGGACACATTACAAAACTGAAGAATATATGGTTCAAACTGGTACAGGAACTTGCAAAAGCAGAAAACAATACTAATTTAAATATTAATTTGTTTTAAAAAAAATATAGTTATGGTGTCCTACAGCAACAAATAATTGAAAAATTTGTACTTTCGCACTATATCTTTCTAAAAAACTTTTCACATAGATCGAAATATTTAGCATTTTGTAATTATTGCCTTAAGGCAATCTTAATTTTATCTTTTAAAAGATAAAATTGTTTATTTTACTAATATATCATTTGTATAATATAGGAAGTATAGTTACGGCGATAGTTGAGTACTAAATAGAGAGAAGAAAACTCAGGCAGTGAGAGAAGCAGCGATGCCAGTGCGTTATTTTTGTAACATTTTGCGTTACTTTTAACTCCGTTCCGCTACTCGCACGTTACAACGATATTTTATTTATTGTAATAAAATGCAATAGGAAAATTCTAAACACCAACTAAGCGATTTTAAAAATTCTATCATTTATACAAATCTACATTATCAGCGAGTAACATTAGCTATATATTATTTTCAAACATTTGTCTTTAAAAGCTATCAACTGATGTAAAAATAAAAAATATTTATTAATACAGTCATTACTTAATTAATGTAACTATTTAGATATTAATTTATTACAAAATAGTTGAATAGGTTTTAAATACCACAAAGGTGACAAACAAGCATACAACTTGTCTGATAATAAACGGTCACTGTATCCTATGGATTCCAGAGGTATCATGTGGGCGTTTCCGATCCTGAAAAAACCTACAGCTATAGTTGAATAGGTGCTTTCATAGAGGCTAAATAACATAACTAATATGATAAAACCATGAGGTCTCATAACTTTTTCTAATAGAAGTACTTATTAAGTCTCATTTACTGATTTTTAAGGTTATTAAATTTGGAATAATCTTATAATTTATGAATCGTTATACAATTGATTCAGATATTCAAATTAATAATTTGCATTTATTAAAATTTCTGATATCGATATGAGAGACAATTGATCATTTATAGCTTAAATATTGATAAATTTGAGTTGAGAAGGCGAATCTTTTATAATTAAAATGTTACTTTTTTAGGAAGTTTCGTGTAATTTTTGATTATCGTATAATGACAACATTTGAGACGAGAGAGAGAAGGAAAGAATGAGAGAGAGAGAGAAAATGATATTTTGTATTTGGTTTTTATATCTTTGGTCGTAACCTCAACAATATAATATCAATGTTAAAAACTTTTTCTTTTCACTAATGTAAAATGTTCCATAGAATTCTGTTTATATACACAATTTTGTGAAAACAACTTTGTAACATAGTAAAAAGTTTAAATAAAAATGCCTCCTAAAAAGAACGCAATTAAAACTTCTAAACCCAAAAATACTCAAAAAAAGGCGACAAGGAAGAGAATAATAAAAGAAAATCCGAAATTCAAGACGCCTAGTTTAATAAGAATTAGATTACCTTCCAGAAGTAAGTTGAAATTTTGCTTATGTTTCAAATTTTGCACGGATCTCATGCTTCTGTCATTAAAATTTAAACAAGCTAACAAAGTTACAACTTTGTTTTTGTCAGTATATTGTAGGGTAATTAAGAAAAAATATACAATTTATAAAGTCACTTGGACAATACATTGAATATATTTTTATAGCAGTTTTAAAAGGTAAGCTGGTAACAACTTCCTTAGCCCTATCCTCATATAATTGAGTTACACTTTATTGTCTAAACTGATCTTATTTTATATATTTTCAAAAAGCATTATTTTTATCTATTTGTAACACTTTGGTTATTTATTTATTTAAATAAATTTTTCTAACAATGTGATAGTGAATATACTGTACTATTAGTCTCAATGAGATAAAAGTTGTTATTGTAATAAAAACATAAGTCTATTATTTATCATTTCTTTTTAATTATTTGTTAAAAGCAAAGGACATTAATCAAATTAATTTTTTGTGTTTATTTTTTTAATGTAATGCAATAATAATAAAAGTAATAATATTTATTAAATTAAATTTAACAAATTTAATATAACAATTATTGTATTACAGAAGAAAGTACTGATAATAATGAAAGTGATGATTTACCAAAAATTATGAAATTCAGTGACACATCTCCAAAAGTCACAACAAGACAGGTGGTGATGCAACAGAAAGCTTCTCCTACTGAAGGTTTTCATAAAATTATTATATTTTGTCCAGTATTCCATAAAACTGTGCTGTAGTGTATTCACACAGGCAAAGCTGCAGAATATCACTAGTAAATTTTGTATATGGCTGTTTGTAAATATATTTGTTAATCACACAAAAATGGCTAAACAGTTTTAATTTTGGTATACAGACGCTCAAGCTCATGCAAGGCCAAGTTTATAATATAATTATATTTCAGAATCCCTTCCTGAAATCAATGTCAACAGTACTTCACCAAAACCTGTCAAGCCAAATGAAACGCCTCCAAAAGTGATAAAGAAAAAAGTGTCTACACAGAATGAAGTTGTAACAGTCAATAAAGGTAACTAATATAATATTTAAATGCATTTTTGGCTCGTTTATAAAATTCCACATTACAATTGACTGTATTTTTGTGTGTGTATGCAAAGTGTCTTTGAGTTGGAATGTCTTTAGAAACACTTCTGTGGAAGGTTTGCTTTACCTAATGTTGTATTTAGATTTGTTTTGTTATTTCCTTTTTTTTTATCTTTAGTTTACTCTTCGTTTGTTAGGTCCAATTTTGGCAAAATGTTGCTCCTCCAGAATCTGAGGGGCTGCCTGAGTTGTGCTCAGGGAGGGATTCTCCAATATGACTCCTGGGGTAGATTCTCTTTTAGCTTTGATTCCAAGGTTGTTTTTTCGGGGTTTTTGCCCTTAACCAGTGGGTCTACCATGAAATGAAATTCTGAAATTTCAGACTCAATTTCGTGTTTTTATTTATACCAAAATCGGACCAATAAATCGAGTTTAACGTTTCTTTCGTCATACATCCTATCATAAAAGTCCTAAGGAACAATATTTTAATATTTCCAAACAGCACGTATTATGTAATTTTAACATCAAATTTGTGTTTCATTTGGCTTCGAAATTTCGAAAAACTTTTCATGGTAGGCCCTCAGGTATTCAGTTTTTTAATGCTGGAGACTCGCTTTCGCCTTTTACAATTGCTATTACAACATATGGTTGGTATGTGATAGTGGAGCACCTAAAACTGTAACATTGCCAGGAGGTGATACAAAACGGTGTTAGAATGTATGTCCAGTCCTAGATTGCAGAGGCAATCTTAAAACTGGCGGGCACGTTTGTATTAGGACTTAACAGTGCACGCATTTTTGTCTAGCTCCAACTAGCTCCGAGACCCACACTGTCTTACCTCCCATATCTCCTCCGGCAAGTAACATAGATTATATACAATATTATTTTCGAAAATTCTATCTATCCGTGCGAAGTCCAGTCAGATTACTAGACTTTTATATACCAAAGTGCATTCACATTCACATTAGAATGTTCGTGCAAAGCTAAACATTACAGCTAGTTTATAATATAATTGTATTTCAGAATCCCTTCCTGAAACCAATGTTAACAGTACTTCACCAAAACCTGTCAAGCCAAATGAAACACCTCCAAAAGTGATAAAGAAAACAGTATCGCCACGGAATAAAGTTGTATCAGTCAATAAAGGTAACTACTGTAATATTTAAATTCATTTTTGGCTCTTTTATAAAATTTCACATAACAATTGACTGTATTTTTGTGTTTGTATGCAGTACACTACATTCCCCATAAGAAATAAATTTCATGATTCGACAGAATTTCTTATTTATTTATTTATGTAAAGGAACACCAATACATACAATACAATATGGTCCTTAAAAAAGATTGTATTGTAACTGGCCATAGTTATTTAATTTTACAAATGTGAAACTCTGTAAGGATGTTTTTTACTCAGTAATGATTAAAGGGCTGAACTGATTTGAATGAAACTTATCCTGACTACATAACACATAGGATACTTTATATGCTGATTTACACGTAACGACGTGGGAAACAGCTAGTTACATATACAGTGTGCAATTGTTTCATTTTCATATTGATATTCATTATTATATTTCAGAATCCCTTCCTGAAATCAATGTCAACGGTACTTCACCAAAACCTGTCAAGCCAAATGAAACACCTCCAAAAGTGATAAAGAAAACAGTATCGCCACGGAATAAAGTTGTATCGGTCAATAAAGGTAACTACTGTAATATCTAAATTCATATTTGGCTCTTTTATAAAATTTCACATAACAAATGACTTTATTTTTGTGTGTGTATGCAGTACACTATATTCCCCATAAGAAACCAATTTTATGCTTCTACATAATCTCTTATAAAAGATTGTATTGTGACTAACTATTTAATTAGCATTGGAACAGCATTTTATGGTGTGGCATAACATATTTCCTAAAGAAACATAGTTTAATTATATGACAAAAACTTTGGGCCTTCCATCCAAAGTGGATGCAGGTGGCTCAGGGTCGTTCTTTATGGTATTATATGGGGGAGGCTTATGTCCAGCAGTGGACGGATAATGGCTGAAATAAATATGTCATACCCAACATGACAAGTGTTTGTCATTAATGTCATAATAATATAAACTCTTTATTGAGCATAAAAGAGATGTGCACAAGGAGTATTTATACAGAATGTGCATATACAAAAGGCGGCCTTATCGCTAAAAGCGATCTCTTACAGACAACCTGGCATATATTGTAGATAAGTACAGAGAGAAAGATAGGTGGCACAAGTCAGACAAAGTAAATACAAAAAAGTTATTTAATAAAATGCATATTATATAATCATCAACATATCGGCCATTAACTGCCCATTGCCCTAAATATAGGCGTCCCCTTACTACCCCCATGCCACATTTGGCAGGCGGATTGGCAACTCAATTAGTGCTTTGGTGTTATTTTTTATTTTTAATTTGGAAATTCTACACAATGGGATTGTTTTCTGCATAAATAATTGCAATTATTATTATTTCAGTTGTAAAATATCATTTAACAAAACAGAAGCCCCGTGAAATAGCAAAATCAATGGTAAATCCATCAACAAGCACTGGGGTAAAGAAAGCGGTGAAACGAAAGGGGAGATCTAAAAAGTTGAATTATTTAGTAGAATCCCCGTCTGTTGATGACAACACCGAGTTGGAAGGTAAGTTTTCTTAATGCATTATGCAATCCGATTTTTTGTCTATGAGTGGATAAGGTAAATATAGATGAATTTATGTTTTTTTTTTTATTTAATATGTATTTATCCATATGTATTTGAAGTACTATTTCTCATTTTCACCTCTCAGAAGTATAATACTCTATCAATATATGCTATATAACTATATATGATATCAATCAATAAATATATATATATATATATATATAATAAAATCGTAACCGGTCGCTGTCTGTACATGGAAGATATATACGAAAAACTATTGTAAGGAGGGGTTTATGAACGCAATAGAATCCAATCCAAATACTTACAAATGTCGCCCCTACGATTTTTGAAAGTTCCCCTTGATTTCTCTGGTCTGCCATCATCGTACTCTGATTTCCTTATAGGACCATCTTTGACATATTTTGTTTCCAACAAAAAAGAATCATCAAAATGGATTCATAAACGACTTATCCGCGAATAAACATAAAAAAGAGCATATATAAGGTCGAATTGAGAAATCTCCTCCTTTTTTTGAAGTCGGTTAAAAATGATGAACTACATCTTCATCTATCATTCTACATCTTTATGTAATGTCATTCAGTTTTAAGGTTATTTTATAATATATACTAGTGGTCCGTCCCGGCGTCGCACGGGTGGACATTTTTAACATTTCCCTTCACTGCTCTACTCCTATTGATCGTAGCGTGATGAAAAGTATACTATAACCTGCCCAGGAGTATGAAGAATAATTGTACCAAGTTTCTTTAAAATTCGTCGAGTAGTTTTTGATTCTATAACGAACATACAGACAGACAAAAATTTTACTGATTGCATTTTTGGCATCAGTATCGATTACTAATCACCCCCTGATAGTTATTTTGGAAATATATTTCATGTACAGAACTGCCCTCTCTATAGATTAATTATAAGTATAGATAAAAAAAACCATGGTCTATATAGGATACGGGTTGACATAGATGTCTAATAACAATAATTACATTACAGAACCAACTGCCGATAAAAATACCAATGGTGATTCACCAGAAAATATAAAAATCAATGAGACATCACCAAAGCCGACGGTCAAACAGATTTTACATCAACGGAAAATAGAATTGGCTAATGAAGGTATCTATATTAGAATAAATAAATATGCCGACCACTATAATACGTAATGGGGGTAGTCAGAGATATTTTGTAACAGTCGACGTTGGGGTGAATGACACTATACTCACTTTTAGCTGAGCATATTGGAATATGACGTGCAGGGGGTGAGCTGGTGAGAGTTCCTGTTATTCGATTACTTTTTATCGGTGTTTTCCATATAGGAAATATAAAACATAGGAAAGTTGAATGGAAATTTTAACCCTTCTTTGTATAATAGTGGAAATTTCCATCATAACATTAAATGCCCAAAAAATATATAAAAGAACAAGTTCACTTTAAGTCGATCGTGTCTGGATACCTTTTTAATGCCCAATAAGAGAATGCTTTTAGCATTAAGTCCGTCTTGTACACATATATGTACTAATGAATAAATAAATAAAAAAAAAATGAAATATAAATAATACATAATAATACTACATATTAATTCTTGTTAATAATGTTTTGCAGTTATTAGACATCATTTTCCGCAACAGAAGACTTTCGAACAAACAATATCAGAGATTCCGACAGCCAACAGTGAGAACAAAGAGGTGGTCAAACGACGAGTGAAGTCTAAGAAAATTCCTGATGATTTAGTGGACTCCTTGACTAATATTGAGAGCACTGAATCAGAAGGTAAGTTTTAACAAAGTTATCGTGATTCAAAAATAGAGATAAATACATACTCTTCATATATTTTTTATTTATGTATACTATATGTTACCGCAAAAGCCAGTCCATTGGTGACACTTAGGATGTATCAACACGATCCAAAACACGTCATTCCTTTTATCCACATGTAGACAAAGATCAATTGAAAATATTTTATTTCAAATAATAAAAAATAACATTTTTTATTTTTTGAAAAAAAATTTACTACATTTAGTTCGTTTTAATAATGTAGTAGGAAATTTAAAATTATCAATCTCATGGCTCCAAGTTCCAATTAGGGAGTAATAGTGAAATTAGAAGCTGGTATGCTGTATAACTGGTTGTAAATTTCAAGGTCGAATTATAAATTTCGAGGTACTCGAAAATAAAGTGTCTCAAAATAGTGTGTATGACTTGATAAAAGCACATACACAGTCGATTGAAATGGAAGAAATTTATTAAAAACATAATTTTTGATGCTTTCACCAAACAAAACTTGACAACCTTTATGACTGCGAGTGTGCACCCACTCATTAGACCTGTCTAAATATTATGTCACTAATAAAACCCCGAATTACGTAAATCTATAATATTCTATGTTTACATAAAAAATTTGCTAAATATCAATACAATATATATAAAATTAATACATATTTAGTTCGCGGTACTCATACTTGTGGTCAATAAGGTAGGTTGGGTTTGGTTTGGTTTGACGAAAGTCCCTGAATAGAATTTTTTATAGTCCTTACATTTGCTAACTCATAGTGGTAAATTCTAAGATTTGCTGATAAAATTTAAGATATAACAATATGTATATATATATATATATATATATATATATATAGTCAATCTCTCAATAGTCTAGCACCCATAAAAGCTGTATTTAATTTGAGGACTAGACGAAGGTTCTCAATTCGGTTGTATTTTATTTGTTTGTTACTTCATAACTCTAACCCCCAAAAAATAATTTTCCAAATCGGTTTCCTAAACCAATTTGGATTTTTTTTTATCTGATAGGATTTATACTATATATTTACAGATTGGTCCCATAGAAATTTTATCAAAATCGGTTATTTTAATTTCGAAAACTATTAGTTTTTGAAATCAAAATAACTGGTTTTATCACTATGGAAATAGATTTTTTTTTTTATTTTTTTCGGGAGACAACCTTTTATTATTATTGTCACTTTTGTATATATTAAGAAAAGACTCTTCGGAACATCAAAATCTGTTCCAAATTGGCAAAAATATTGTGCAACAGACACAAAAAAAAAAATCATTTCAATTGAGAGTCTTTAAAGTTACGTTGCTACTAAATATAATATACAAAAAATATAAACAACTAAACACTATATTACAATTTGTTTACATTACAGAGTTCGTAGTAAAGAAACCAAAAAGGATTTATACCAGGAAAGTGCCCGTAAAGCAAATTGTACAAAAAGCGACGGTACCCACAGAGGATGCTGAAGGTATTGTATTTTAAACAATCCTGTTTAATATATTTTTATATTTGTATGTTATCATTTTTTTTTTGTGTTAAAATAAGTATGTGGGGAAAAATGTAACCAAACTGTACTGGTATCAATGTCAATAGGAGCGCCCAGTAACTATGTAGATTAGTAACTATGCACGTAGACGGCGCTTATTTGATGTGCCATTAAGAAGAACAGAGTTGGTTAAGCAAGCTCCCTTACCTCTTGCATTGAAACTACTCGATGATATTTTGAGCCGGTATCCGCAATTGGACGTATTTGCCTCCAACTTGCTGGAGTTTCGTCTGATGACCACAGAGTGTTTGTGTTTAGAGATTTAGGCTTTAATGTTATTTCTAGTCAAGTTAAATCTTTTTTTTATATTATTAATTTTTTATATAATAATATGTTATTGTACTGATGCTTTCCTGGGTGACTGTAAAGTTCATTCAGTTGATATAATAGATAAATGAATATTTATATTCTTATTTCAGATAACCAACTAGAAACTGCTAACAAAATAGAAAGTAAATCAGTGAAAAAGGCAAAATCCAATTTACAAACAGAAACATCGATGGATGGAAAAGAATCTACTGGGAAAGCTCAGAAGATAAAATCGACAAAACCTAGAATTATAAGAAGAACACCTAGAGGTAAGAAAAATAGTATAAACAACACAGCCATTAGTGAAGCAGCAGTTGTTGATCAAAATAAAGATGACAAAAAACTAAAAGTAAATGATGCAGATGATACGAAACTGTCTAAGACACCTATATTACCTAAAAAGAAAGCTAGACATATCGATTCAAGGAAAACATCAACAGCAAGTAATTCTGAGTGTATGTCATGGACAAAGGATATTTCTAGTTCAAGTACAACTACTTCTGTAACGGTTTGTTCAACAGATATTGTTCGTATCGATAAGAAATTTCCAGTACTTAAAATTCCATATGTGGATTACAAACTAAAAAAACGAATGAAAGAAGTTGACAGAGGTAAAAAGCCAACAACATTATCATCAACTTCATCACCCACATCTAAGTCGGAATCTTCAGATGATTGTTCAAAATGCAAAGCCGGTGAGCAGAGTATAGTAGTGGATGGTCATACTGTAAATTTGAGTACTTCTTCTGTATCAGAAATTAACGCTTCTCAAGAAACGTGTCATGTTAACAAAAATAATAGCATTAGTAAAATTAGTAAGGCTTTAGATAAACTTACGTCGAATTTAAAAAAAATAGATATGGAAATCTTAAATTGGATTGGTTACCAGAACGAAGAGGTAGACATTGACGCTCTAAAGGCCCAAGAACGCATGTTTAGAATACTTAAGGAAGAGAGTGCTGTGATAATGCTATGTAAAAATATAAAACGTGTTTTATCTGATGAAGATGTAGATGCTAATAATATAACTAACATGAAAGCTTTAGAAGCTGTAGTACAAGATGAAAATAACTTTATTAAACCTGATAATGTTAGTTTAACAAAATGTATAGTAAATTTAAAAAATACTCATAATTCTTCAGTAGGGGATATGCATATTGACAACGCCAAAGAAACTTCACAGAAGGAAAAGGGTAATGCTGACGTTAATTATAATAATTGTACAACAGATAATGTTCCACATGTACCACTTGATCATAGCTACGATGATGACGATGCGTTATCATTGTTTGCTGAAAGTATTACTGGTATAGAATCTTCACGATTGAATAGTTCAGTTGGTTCCCCACCTCATAAACGATTGGCTGATGAGGAAGAATACATTCCTCGGCCAGTGATAAAAGAACAGTGTAGTGCACCAGAGAAGTTAGTGTACCATCCCACAAAAATTAAATATAACGAACATAGTGATCATAACATTAAAACTAGGACTATTTGTGAAAAACAAAATGCCGATTCAACTTCTATTAATAAAGAACCTGTCCAAGATAATACTAGTAAATCTCAATGTACAGAAATGCTAAACAAAGTTAATTTAATGAATAATTGTGTCAATCCAATCATTACAAATGTTGCCATGCCAAAAGAAAAGAACAGCTCTTACCTTATGTCCTCTATCTATAAACCATCGCAAGCTATGAAAAGTGTTGTTTTTAAAGGTATATGTTTCTTTCATATAGTATCGAGTTGTAGGCACAATGCCCTGTGTCGGTTCCCACATGTGATACCTAATACGAGGGAAATTAAAGCTAAGCTGTGCACATTGAGTGAAGAGATGTTCATACAGGAATACATGATGATGCGCAATTGGCCGGGCTTACGGCGCCTTTACGGGCTATGTTTCGTCGAAGAGGCCGCCAGGCGGGAGCTTACGTGCTTCCTTGTAGAAATGGCGATGGATTTTGTGACGAAAGTAAACTGTACTTCAAGGGAGGACGGTTTACTCAAAATCGAAGTTGCAGAATTCACTTTGCTGCATCTGAACACAGTCGATTTGGAAACGTGCGATAATTTGTTGAAATACAGCGTACGAGAAGATGCTCTGCTTTGCGATGTATTCATGGAGATCATCGCTGCGACGCAAAACTTCTCTCGGTTCAAATTAGTGTTTCTAAATCTAACCTGGTTTATTGTAAAAATAAATAGATCTTTCAGTTTAAATGTGGCGACACAGATATTAGAGAGGGTATGCATTTTGCCCTACGAGGAACCACTCATCAAAGCTTTGCTTAATATCATCAGGCACACGGACCCAGCTATATTTGAGAATACAGTAATGGGCAAGTTTGAGAAACAACTGTTGAACACAAACAGAGATCTTTATGACCAGTTAATGGTTATTAGAAGGGAAAATATGAACAGAACAGTTATGGAGAACCTGTATGTATCATCGTCGCGGATTATTCGCGAGGTGGAGCCGCCGAACGTAGGGATGTATCCAGAGAGGGAGAAGAGGTACACCTCCCCTGATACGACGTATCTGGATAATTTGGTGAGTGAATATATAGTATAAAATAGTCATTTTCAAACTTCTTTGTACAAAAGTCGTTTGCTTGGACACCTCTGTCCCTATCGTGTTTCTACCGTGAAAACAGTTGCGTTTGCATGGCTGTGTTTCGGTTTGAAGGGTGGGATATGGCAGTAAATTTACAGGGTACAGAGGAATAACACCTGAGTCGACAGGAATGGCAACGCATAGGAGGTATTATGGGCGAAACAGTATACTCTGTTGATGTCCATGGTACTGCTCATGTTTATAGGTGACGATTCCCACTTTCCATCGGGTGAGCCGTCAGCTTGTTTGCCATTCTAAGTTGCATAAAAAAAACTTCCCGTCGTCTGCACACTTAGATCTTTTAAACTACGCAAGCGATTTTAATATGGTTATCATTAATAGAGAGAGTGTTTCAATAGGAAATATTTGATTACTGGATGATAATGAAATGGTAACCCCGCCTGCGCTATCGGTATACCGATACGTATACGCTGGCGGGGCACCAGTAAGAGAAGATAGGTGAGGATGAAGCAAGTCACTTAGTTTATTGCGACGAATTCAACAAAAATTAACCACGATGGTTTCCAGGGAGAATCGCATAGAGGTCGACCTCTCCAGCAGCAGCTCCATTACTAGCAATATACCCCATATTGGTATATTGCTAGTAATGGGGCTGTTAGATCTCATTACTACCCACCCCCCTCCCGCCCCTCTTTTGGGAAAGTTTAAACGTGTAAGTTTGATATAGTAAGAAGTGTTTTTTTTTTAATCAACTTAGAATGGCAAACAAGCTGACGGTCCACCTGATGGAAAGTGATAACCTAGGCGAAGGTAGCCCCCCCCCCCCCCCTGTAGCTGTAGTATTCAATAGTGAAGCTATTGTAACCTGTACATATAAATCTCGTTTTCGTTTACGTAGGATAAGTTAATTTCTCGTAAACTTAAACTAATAGTCGACTAACCATCGAATACTACAAACTACTGTAGAAATTTGGTAGTAATCTGGGGACCAAGAAATTAAATTCCGAATTTTTGGTCTCAATTTTGTGTTTTTGTTCATACCGAAATCTGTCTAGTAAACGGATCTTAAGATTTTCTTCACAAATTCCAAAGAAATGATATTTAAACATTTTTGATATTTTAAATGGTCTGTATTATGTTTTTTTTTTTACATACAACTTAGAATGGCAAACAAGCTGACGGTCCACCTGATGGAAAGTGGTAACCGTCGCCTATAGACGTGAGCAGTACCATGGACATAACAGAGTATACTGTTTCGCCCATGATACTACCCATGCGTTGCCATTCCTGAGGACTCAGGTGTTATTCCTCTGTACCCAGTAAATTCACGCCGTATCCCACCCTTGAAACCGCAGTCCATAAGAAAGAGTCGACACCTCTGTCGCTCCCCTCTCGCGGGCTTGGAGTGCCATCAGCACTCGTCCGGTGAAGCTGTAAAGGCCACACACGGCCAACAGCAAACACATTCAGAAAAAAAAAAAAAAAAAAAAAACCCTTGAAACCGAAACACAATTGTTTTGTATTAATTTCTTGAAATATGATGAACAATAGTTCAAGATGTCTTTGTAATATAGCAAAATAATGTATGTATAATGGAATTATTCCGCTTTATTTAAACAATTCCTCAGAACATGGAATTGTTCCTTTTTATTAAAACTATAAATTAGTTAGTGATAACATATATCTTTTTTTTTTAATGGATGATAATGAAATGGTAACCCCACCCGCGCTATCGGTATACACCGGCGGGGCACCAGTGAAGGATGATAGCTGAGGATGAAGCAGGTCAGTTAGCCCATCGTGACGAATTTAACAAGAATTGTTCACGATGGTTTCCAAGGGACCACGTGGAGGTCGACCTAATAACGCATATTGCTAGCAATGGAACTGTCAAACTCCATTGCTAACAATCCCTTTCCCCCCCTGATATATCTGTATTATACGAATAGCTTTTTATAAACATTTTAATGTTTAAACAAAAATTTATACAAATTATATGGAGTTTGGAAAGCTGTTTAGGAGACAATATTATTAATCACTCCACATTAAAACTACATTAGTTTCTACATTGCACTCGTGCGAAGACAGATCGAGTCGCTCTTTTTTTTAAGTGATGACTATGTCTAAAATTACATTGTCATTCAAACGGCCGTGCATGGTCGACTAACACCATGCACGCTTGTCATACGCATATCTACCTATGTTGTAGCTAATTATGGTATATTGTTCATAAAGATAAATAAAGGAAATATTATAGGAATTTATATAATTTTAACATAAAGTCCACAGGGGGGAAGGGATTGTTAGTAATGGGGAGGTTAGTCTCCATTGCTATCAATGCACCCTATCAGGTCGACCTCCACGCGGTTCCCCCTGGAAACCATCGTGCTGAATTCCAAGTGTATTCATCACGATGGGCTAACTGACCTGCTTTTTCATTCTCACCTATCATCCCTCACTGGTGCCCCGTCAGCGTATACCGTTAGCGCAGGCGGGGTCACCATTCCATTATCATCCATTAAAAAAAAAAACAAAGTCCACACACCAATCCATTCAGATATACTATACACTCATACTTAACGCACACAAACACACTACATGCCGTCACGTAATGTTTTATAATATATAAGTATTAGTAAAAAGGGATTGTTACTTCCGTTCATAATAAAACAATGTAGTAAGAAGACGTGCCATTTGATTTTCTAAAACAGATCAAGCAAAATAATTTTTGAACTTTAAGTGCTACGACAACTTATTATTATTGATTCTTTTTATTCTACCCTCCACAGAATAAAGACGAGCCGGTCATAAAACGGACAATCAACTTCGATCCGTCCAGGTCGTTCAGCGTCGCACAGCGCGGCTCCGCCACCCAGTCCAACGAAGGCTACGACAAATGGCGGTCTCAGCACGCTCCCAACTTCTCGAGTTGGCGGAACAGGAGTTTCTTTAATAAAATCCCCACATTCAACCCCCCACAGAGAACCCTGAGGCCGCCGTTAAAGCGGCCACAGATACACCGCCATGTGACATATGGAGGGAGCCCTTCTGTATGTATTTACGTTATATATATATATATATTGTTCCAGAAAGAAGTGAATTTAGCTCCATAAATTAAAAAAAAAAAAAAAAACTACATTGACTAAAAATAAGTCATCTCAGTAAATTCTCTCACTGCTTTTATGTTGTATAAGGAACCACTGTGATGAAAGTAATGCTTTTAAATCATTTAAGTTATCAAAAATTTTAAGTCCAATTTACAAAGATCTCTGCGTTCTAAGCAACTTCATACAGTGTAGGGGTCAATCTGTAATACGTGAATTTTGCTATTTTTTAAACACTAATTCCATATTAATTATGAATTAACACATTTACATTGTATGCACACTAGTGTAACCATTTTCTGGTCTTGTTTTTATAATTGTGTTGCCAGTCTGTCAATATAGTGTAAATGGCGGACTTAACACAATATGGCGTTATCTGCTATTTGACCGTAAACAGGAATAACAGGAAATATAATTGACGGTGCAACGTGATGAACAAATAAATAAAAAAAACAATATTAAAATAAAATAGTAATTTATAACATACATACAATACTCATATTATGTACATTATATATACATATATATAAAATATCGGACAAAAAATTACTTAGATATATAGGTAATACCAGCATCAGACAAAGCAAAGATTTCTTAAACCAGATTGCGATTCTAGGGATTTTAAATAAAAAGAATGTAGTTTATTCTTGAATGCCAATTTGCTTTGGGCACATCTAATGTCAAAAGGTAAAGCATTCTAATAATTGATAGCCTGAATGGCGAAACAATTAGAGATAAAGTCAGTATAATGGGCAGGTATATTGAGCGGAAAATATTCAGAAGATCGAAGATCTACTTAAAGCTTCCTTAAATTCCAATCTGTCAGTTTCTTATACAAACAAACATTTAGACAAACATACAGTAGAATCTCGATTATCCGAATCAAATAATACCAGGGGTATTCCGTATAATTGAAAATCCGGATAATCGATTCCAAAGGCAAATCAAACAATATTACGTAATTAAATTTTAATATTTTTTCATTATGTAAAGTGTTTTATATACGTAATTTAAACAATACGACATAAAAAAAATACGACTCATAAAGATAAATGGATTACATAATTTATTTACCCTATTTAGAAATAGTGGTTATTAAATATATTTAATTCCGCTACCATTATGTGCGATCGCCAACACACAAAGGTTGACCACCACTATTATGACCTTTCATATTTGCCATCAATATCCGACTACCATTATACCCACGCACGTTTTGCGACACGTGTTCCATTTCTAAAGAAGGCATCTTCAGGCAAAAGTATGTGAATTAAACAAAATAATTCAAATCAAATAACCACTATCACTAAAATTAAAATATCAATTTGATATTACAGCAAAATCTTTATGGACTGTGTGTGTGTGTATGTTGATGATAGCTCATAAAACTTCAATTTCAAGAATTTATCGAATTAAAATATTAGGTAATATAATGTAAATAAATACACATAAGTTTAGAGATATAGAATCGAGCCCACTGTTTCGTACATATGGGCGTACTTACATATTTTTTTACAAATTTATTTAATCACCTTTTACAATCCGGATAATCGCTAGTCCGTATAACTGAGATCCGGATAATAAATATCACAACACAGTAAATTCAGTTGATGACTATATTTTTTTTTTATATCTGATGAGTTATGTTTGTTTCAGAAATTCCCACGACGCTCCGGGCCGGACTTCTTTTAGTTCCTAATAACTTAACTTTTTTGTGTAATCTTAAAACTGTTGGTAGTGTCATAGGCAAAGAATAACGCCAAGCGAACTTGAAGGTACGAAGACGTTATAATTTGTACGAACAACTCATAATATAAAAAAAAAGTGATACAATTGTTACATATAATTGTTAAGGTGAAAAAATATTTTATTACCTAGTTAGATAGCTCGATATAACTAAAATCTATTCTGAAATTTCACTGTCTATAAAATTCACAGTATTCTATAAAATGCGTGTCAAAGTACTGAACTTTAGAGGTAGCTTTAAAATGACATTTTCGAATGGCACGACGCGGTTAAAATTTTCTATTTTTTTTTGTATTTTTTTTTTTTATTATACTTACGTTAACCTATGGTTGTAAAATGGCGTTTTGAAACGAAATGACTTCAGTATTTTGAGAACAGTTTAGATTAGTGTGTCAGGAAAGAAAAGAAATTAATTATATTGGAAACTGTATTTAATTAGTGATTATAAATAAGAATAAATAGTATAGGTTGAAGTTTCACTCAAACAGTTTGTAAATACGCGCCAAATGTACGTCAAAATGTACCCTTCTTCCCTTCAAATCTCGTATAGATTAGTAGGGTTGTCACAAACTTGTTTACATTTAACGATATAATAAGTTTTATGCGACACGTGTAAGTGAACAAGGAATAACACCTGAGTCCTCAGGAATGGCAACGCATGGAGGGTGTCATAGGCGAAACAGTATACTCTGTTATGTCTATGTTACTGCTCATGTCTATAGGCGACGATTACCATTTTCCATCAGGTGGGCCGTCTTTTACAGTACAAAAATGTACGCCTGTAATAGTCCATAAATAGTATATTTCTTAAAGGTTTTAAATTTAGTGAGCTAAATAGAATCGCATTCTAAATATGAAATTGGTATAATAGTGACGAAGTCCCGAGTTTCCATGTACAATTTGATTTGAAATTCTAAATTGCTGCAATCGACAAAAAATTTAATATAGATTTTATTTTTAACTGACTTCAAAAAATGGCTCTCAATTCGGTTGTTTTTTTTATGTTTGTCATATCTCATAACCGATTTGGAATATTTTTTTTTTATCTGAAAGGATATACTTACAGCTTGGTCCCATAGAAGTTTTATCAAAATCGGTTTAATATATATACAAATAAATCATAATGTAATATTCAGTTGTATGAAAGGAATTAATAAAAAAAATCCTTATTTTAATATTTCTTATTCAGTTCAGCGGCATTTCCTAATAAATACAACATGGAAACTTACAAGAGATTTTGTACATTTTTAAAAGTTTGGCAACAAAATTGGCGACTCTCCAGATGTCGTTAATGTTCACGGGCTGCGGTAATCACAATGTAGTGAACAGCATGCTCGTTTGTCGCCTTGTCACGTAAAATATGTATACAGTGTACGCTCTATATAAGCAACATTCTTTATAAAATATAATATTTTCTCAAACATGCTTGGAAATGTAAGCATTATTCTGACAATCTTCTTCGAGATAAATCAAAATTGCCGTACTGGCCAGATACATGCGGGCAGCGGCCGACAAAAGTTGTATGAAAATCCATATCTATCGTGTTTTGCGGCCAGATAAATCAAGCCAAGGCACACATACGAGACTCAAGTATGTGTGCCTCGGCTACGCCTCGTCCCACATTTGCACGTTCGTCCATTAATGCCTCAGTTGCTGGCCACTGCAGTAATGTACTATTACTCTACTCAGCTCAGTAAAAGAAACGAGTAAAAATATTTTCCAAACGGTAAGTATTTTTATACTCCTTTTTTCCCTATAAGCAACTTTTCCCAGTTTCTGGATTGAAATTGGTTCAAATGAGTTGCTTATATAGACCGCACCGTGTAACGATCACTGTTACCATGAGTTTGTACGGACAATTTAGTAGATTATTGTCAAGTTTCTACAGTAGTTTTTTTTTTATCAATGGGTGATAATGGAAAGGAAACCCCGTCTGCGCTGTCGGTATACGTTGGCGGAGCACCAGTAAAGGATGGTAGGTGATGATGAAAGCAGGTCAGTTAGCTTATCGTGATAAATATGCCTGGAATTCAGCACAATGGTTACCAGGGCGAACCACGTGTAGGTCGACCTGATAGGATGTATTGCTGGCAATGGATCAGTTAGACCCCATTAGTAACAATTTCTACCCCCCCCCCTGTATCTGTAGTATTCAATAGTGAAGCGACTGTAAACTGTACATATAAATCTCGTTTTCGTTTACGTAGGATAGGTTAATTTCTCGTAAACTAAAACTGATAGTCGACTAACCATCGAATACTACAAACTACTGTAGAAATTTGGTAGTAATCTGGGGACCAAGAAATTAAATTCCGAATTTTTGGTCTCAATTTTGTGTTTTTGTTCATACCGAAATCTGTCTAGTAAACGGATCTTAAGATTTTCTTCACAAATTCCAAAGAAATGATATTTAAACATTTTTGATATTTTTAAATGGTCTGTATTATGTTTTTTTTACATACAACTTAGAATGGCAAACAAGCTGACGGTCCACCTGATGGAAAGTGGTAACCGTCGCTTATAGACATGATCAGTACCATGGACATAACAGAGTATACTGTTTCGCCCATGATACCCCCCAATGCGTTGCCATTCCTGAGGACTCGGGTGTTATTCCTCTGTACCCTGTAAATTCACGCCATATCCCACCCTTCAAACCGAAACACAGCTGCTTCACGGTTGAAACACGAATGGGACAGAGGTATCCAAGCAATCGACTTTTGTACAAAGTCTCCCTCTGGTAGTAGTTTTGACACAAATTGTTGTATCGTTCGGCCCCGAAATTTCGGTAAACATTTCACGGTAGACCCTCTGCTTTAGTAAAGTTTTTGTATATTACATATATTATAGTTTACCTAAATAATGCCAATAATTCCCGTCTTTTATAAGACATTATGACTTACGTTACTTTTGTAAATTAAAATTGTTTCTTTTGTATTATATGTACACAGCGATTAGTTATAAAAAAAAAAAAGTTAAAATTATGTCTCTAGATTTTGTTTGCACTATATAGCGTCCTTCAAATAGTGCAAATAACGGTACTGAATTTTAGAAACGTTTGCCACATGATTCCCTGTCTACTCCTCAAGAGACCTAGCATGAAGTTAGTGGTAGAAGAACTTGTGCCATACGTTTGTTATTACAATTTAATTAATGTTACTATAAACTGTCTACACCGCAAGGAACCGGCTTCCTAGACACGTGATGAATCTTGATAGATACGATTTCGCTACTGCATATATGATATAGGCGTGACAACAAAATTTGAGATCTTGTAGTTTTTTTAAAAGAGTGATAATTAATTAGTAACCCCGCGTGCGCTATCGGTATTTGCTGGCGTTGTACCAGGGAGAGATGATACGAGGATGAAAGTTCAGTTTTTTTATTTTTTATACAACTTAGAATGGCAGACAAGCTGACGGCCCACCTGATGGAAAGTGGTAACCGTTGCCTATAGACATGAGCCGTACCATGGACATAACAGAGTGTACTGTTTCGCCCATGGTACCCCCCATGCGTTGCCATTCCTGAGGGTTCAGATGTTATTCCTCTGTACCCTGTAAATTCACGCCATATCCCACCCTTCAAACCGAAACACAGCCATGCAAACACAACTGCTTCACGGTAGAAACACGAATGGGACAGAGGTACCCAAGCAATCGACTTTTGTACAAAGTCTCCCTCTGGTAAATAGTTAGTCCATTGTTATGAATACATCTGGAATTCAGCACGATGGTTTGCAGGAGAACCGCAGGGAGGTTGGCCTGACAGGGTATGTTACTAGCAATGGGGCTGGTAGCGCCCATTACTTACAATTCTTCTCACCCTTGGTGTCTTGTAGTTAACCCTTAGCGGTCACACTTCTAGTCCATAACGTGAATGCGTCACGCTATTTTCGGGACTGGGTCTGAGGTGAAAAAGTATAGAGTACTTATTAAGCGACTTCAAAAAAAATTTTTTAATTCGATTTAATTTTTTTCATGTTTGTTACCTCAACTCCGTCAATTAACTAATTAGGAAAATTATTTTACATACAAATTGGTCCCATAAATATTTTATTAATATCGGTTCCATAGTTTAGTTCTGAAATATAAATAACCAATTTTGCCACAATTGAAATCGAGTTTTTTTTGTGTTAAACAATTTTGATAAAAACTTATGTAACATTTTTTATTTTTCTCATAGAATTTTCATAGTTTTGTAAGCCCATAGATTATGTCTATGTTTGTCCAGAGGAATATTCACCCCCTGCGCCCGCAAAGGGTTAAGTGCGCAGTTACGAAAACGTATCTGTCGATTTGTAGTTTCTTTTGCCACTTGACTAGGAAGGCTGGTGTAACGTGGTGACTTTGTAAAACTGCCTTTGTAAAAATATTAAACATAGAAACAAAATAAAGATCTTAATTCAAGCTTTATTTTCATATTATTAGTACAATAAGGTAGATATGCACAGCTGTTACAGCTGTAAGTAAATTGTATATTTTCATTAAGTACCTAATCCTAATTATTTTAAGTTCTAACTCGTGTTATTATTAAGTTTTGTTAAATTGTTTATAACATAAGACTTAAGTTTTTTTAATTATATAAAAGAATAAAAAAAAAATTGTCTTTAAGTACGTTTCTTTTTTATCGAAATGCATTTCTAGCTATGTTATTTGTTTTAATTCTATTGTTGGGCATTACCCTTATCAGCAGAAATCAATGATATTATTATTAGCTGAAAACATTTCAAAAATATTTTGTGCTCATCCCAAAACGCGAGCGAAATTTCGTAAATATGTCTCGGAGTATTTATGCTCTTTTTCACAGGTCTACCCCCCTCCCAACCCTCTCCCTCGAAAAGAACCTATTAATATAAATGCGAAAGCTTATAACGATGGCTGAATGAATGTGTTTCTCTTTCAAGCAAAAACCACTGAACGGATTTAATGAAATTTAGTACACGGTTTGATGGGTGAAAATTGTATGGTAACCCCGCCTGTGCTAACGGGATACGCTGGCGGAGCACCAGTAAAGGGTGATAGATGAGAATGAAAACAGGCCAGTTAGCCCATCATGATGAATTCATCAGGAATTACCCATGATAGTTTCCAGGGGGAACCGCGAGGAGGTCGACCTGGTTGGGTATATTGCTAGCAATGGGATTCTCAGTCTCCATTACTAACAATCCCTTTCCCCCTTTTAGTACACGGGTAGGGTTATATCTTTATTTAGGACAGGATATTTTACGTACTGATTCACGCGGATGAAACCGTAGTAATAAATATGTTTTTTTTTAATGGGTGATAATGTAATGGTAACTCCACCCGCGCTATTGGTATACACCGGCGGGGCACCAGTGAGGGATGATAGATGAGGATGAAGCAGGTCAGTTAGCCCATCGTGACGAATTCAACAAGAATTGTTCACGATGATTTCCAGGGGGAACCACATGGAGGTCGACCTGATACGGCATTGCTAACAATCCCTTTCCTCCTATGTCAATGGTTAGCATTCATATAAATTGACATACTTGTGGTCTATCCCTGATTTAACACATGTTCTAAAAATTGAATAAAAATAAAAATACATAGGTAATTATAAATTATGTATTTATTAAATAAAATTACATTTAAATTATTACATTTATGTATTTACCTTATAGGTGGGTTACTTCATTTAAGGTGTAATTATTTGAATAGATTATTTAGTACATTTATTTGAAGTTTAATGGAATGAATACAGTGTAGGTAACTGTAAATCGGTTTAAAGGTTTGGTTGGTTGTCGTTTCATAAATCGTCATAGTCGTAGAATACTGACGGATCTTTATATGTAATCTTTGTTTGTCAGATCCGTCAGTATTCTACGACTATGACGAAATATGCCTTGTTAACAGGCAAAGGTAGTTAGACCATACAGCCAGTTCTTCGATACTGAAATATGAGTCACTACACCATAGAGATTACAATATATTGCCCGTAGCGAATCACTAATGCGTTGGCATAGACTTAGTATCTCTAGTGGTTGTATCTTTAGATTAAGTACATTATACTAAGTCTATGGTCGTATCAGAGAAATCTGTTTTCATTTATTCTCTATGGCCAGAGGGCAGTGAAAGTTAATTCGTTCTATTCTACAACATTGTATCAATCAAGTAATCAGTCTTGCAGAATTTGTTGGGTACATAAAAAAAAACTATCTACTTAAATTCTATAGCTATTACAACTAGCAAGGTATTGTTGATATTCATACGTTTCTTATATTTGGATTGATGATCCAATCTCATCACAGCATCCTAATCAGACCGCTGCAGTCTACTGCTTGACATAGGCTTCTCCCAAGATACGCCACTGAGCACGATTTTTGAATGGCAAACAAGCTGACGGCCCACCTGGTGGAAAGTGATAACCGTCGCCTATAGACATGAGTAGCACCATGGACATAACAGAATATACTGTTTCGCCCATGATACCCCCTATGAGTTGCCATTCCTGAGGACAGGTGTTATTCCTCTGTATTCTTTGGCTCTTCGCTGCTTCTGCTAGTCTGTTTTGTCGTCGCACACTACGTTTGTCGATACGCGGTCTCCACTATAATGCCATCTATGGCAGTGTTTCTATTTTTAATTATCATAAGTCCTTATAAAAATAATGAATGAATCTAAGCTACACGGTTCGTGTATCAGGTGAATATTGCCCTAATTTATTTTTTCAATTAATCCTTATTCGCAGTTAACTATGGTTAAAGGATTTTTTTTTATAACACAAAAGACCATCGAGCATGCGGGTCACTTGATGCTAAGTGACTACTGTTGCCCATAATCATTTGCAAACGCAATTGCAGGTGTATTACCGGTCGTTTAAAAAAGAATATTATACTTATATAAATGATGCATATATATTATTTATGCATCATTTACGTAAATATGTATCTATATAATACAATTTTACCTTTGGCTGTTAAATTGGCTATATAGGTTACAGTCTGGATTTGTTGTACGCGTCCGTGTAGCCTAACTTCAGGCTGTAGCTGAAAATCAGTGCTTTGCTTTTAAGCAAAACTATCACTGAGCTGTAGCCTATTTGGGTTACTGCGACACACTTGGTGAAAACATATTTCCATACTTTATCTTTTGTTTTATATTAAAAAAAAAATGAAAATAATCTGATTGTATAAACTCATTTGTTAATCTATCTATCTACTTTTTTCTTGAATTTTACAATGTTGTATGTATGAAATAAGCATCTAACAACGGTCACTCGTTCTTTGGTTGTTCCAAGTTAATATAAGTAAACATACAAACAACAACAGTACCTTCCATTTGAATATAACATAAACTTAACTAGTTTAAGAGACCCTTTTTACTAAGAATTGCATGGTTACGATTAGAAAATATCGGTCGGTCGGTTAGAAAACCGACTTTTAAAAAAAGATGATGCTCAACGAGACCGACTTTTCTTTGTCTAAATTACGTGAAATCTACGATTATAATAAAGGTGTCAGTGATGAATCATTCAAATCAGTTGATAAAATGATGGAGATGCCATATAATTAAAAACATATTTCATGGCAACTCTTAGCCAAGAGGACCCCTTATCTTTACTGGATACTATTCTAAGCATTAGCAGACTACAATATTGTCATAGCAAAGCGTAATAAGTATAAAAATCACTTTTGATAAATACCTAGGTATATAGTTCGAATACAATTTGGCATTATTAATACTGAGATATGATTTCAATATCAATCTGCCTCTAGACAAAATACCTAACACGGTATCTAGTATCACCATATCAGCTTTTAACTGTCCACTGCTGAACATAAACCTCTCCCTTGAGGTGTTCCGCCAATAGTTGCCACGCTTGGCAGGTGGATTGGCAACCGCAGTTAGGCTTTAGAGATGTTTTAAAAGGGACGTTGCTGGCCATCCCTCGCCCTCCCTTAGTCGCCTCACCGACACCCATGGGAAAGGAAGGGGTGGCCTATTCTATGCCGGGACCACACGGCCTCTAGTACGGCGGTATCTAGTGTAATATTACATTATCTGTGACGGTATTGTCGAGAGAGGGAATTATTCGTATTCATTTTGGATATTAGTAGTCCCGTTGCTAGCAACATAATGGAACCAGCGTCATCTTGGCTTTATTAATAAAATATTGGAACATTTTACACAGCGCCATCTGTCTCCAATCTAAGCAGAGGTTTATTGATTTTTTATTGCTATATGCCACTCTTCCTTTACTGCCCTGTAGTGCCGGCATAGAATAGGTCACCACCACTCTCATGGGTGTCGTAAGAGGCGATTAAAGGAGGGCGAGGGATGGACAGCAGCGTCCTTTTTAAAACATCTCCAAAGACTAACTGTGGTTGCCAATCCGCCTACTAAGCGTGGCAACTATTGGCAACCCTCTCCCCCCCCCTGAAGGGGGAAGCTGATATGATGATAATGCCACGCTTCAAACTGAAGCACAGTTGTTTGCAAAACATATATGGGACAGAGATACCTGTACAAATTGTAGTCTCCTTGGTACTTTGCCTAGTAGGTGAAGGTAAAAATTTGGTATTCCATTTTAAAAAGATGGCTTTAATTAAATAGTGCAAATGTATGGAAATAAACAAAACTATTTAATAGTTGCATGGTCTCATACATTTGCACTTTACAATTAACGCTGAGAATGTTAAATTTTTGTCTATATATTATGACAAATCTAATGGAAAAATAATACTGGGAAAAAATACAGAAAAGCCTCGGTAAACAAACTAGAAATAAACTTAATACAACGTAAAGTTACATGACATAGCTCCATGATTTACCTTGCCCATGTAGACAAACGAATCGATAGATATATTTTCACTATCACACGCAGGAGAGAAAATGAGATACCAACATCAGACTTTTTTTCTAACTCATCGTTGCGGTAACGAAAATGTATCTACCGACATGTTCATCTGTCACTTGTTTAAGGGCAATTGAAGCAAATACAAGGTAAACTTCATTTTACCCGCTTCAATTTATTAATTCTCATACATATACATCATGGAGTAGTATTAAAGTTAATACTAGTCATAAAATAAATCAGACAAATCAATTACATTTTGTTTTTTTTTAGATATTCTAAAAAATATATCTATAATTATATGTAAAAATAAACCAGCTAAAATGCTCATATCAATTCTAAAAAAAAAACCCTAAAGATATAAAGAATAAAACTACATTTTCATTAACACTACCAATAGAAAAACAGAGCCTCGTAACTCGACTTCATACAGATGTTAGCCATACATTTGTACACATTATAAAAATATCTATCTATGTACTGTCGTTTTACAAAATATTAAAAATTAAAATGCTTTTTACTACACCTACTCGGATACCTAACCCAATAATAAAGTACCGCGTTCGTGATTCATTGTTCATACCAAAGGTTTACTGGTAGGGGGCGCTACTAGCACTTAAGTCCGCTTTTTGTACCATATTTTCTTTTAGTCAATAAAGTTATTTGAATCAAATATATAAATAGTGAGTAAATAGTTACCTTTCAGAAGATGATTTAAAATTGTATTGCTAATGAGAGGAAAATTGTATGGTATTATATTTGATACAATTAAAGACAATTTTCTTAATTACTATCTTCCCGCCTAATACTTCATACGCGTAGATTTCAGAAGTAGGCAGTTCATCTAGAAGTAGGAGAATCTACTAGATAGCATATCAAGTTAAAACATACACTACATAGAAAACCTTCTGGAATACCACAGTGTAAACCGCATCTAATTTAATGCAATATTTTTTGCGCAATACCGGAACAAACATACATACGGATATAATTTGTAAAAATTATTCTACAAAAGCCCCTTTTAATTTTTCTCAAATATCTCCCATGTACAAACATCGCGTAGTTACAATTTTACTATATTAGTAAGATTGTCTTACAGTAATATCAAAAAGTTCTAAAATATAAATTTAGTAAATGAAGCTTCACATATAAAAATATTTTCTGTAACCAGCTGATAATATGGTCCAAAATATGTTTCAATACTAAATTAAAGGCAGTTAATTTTTTTTTTTTTAAATATGCCATTTATGTTGCCAGCTTGCACCCTTCCATAAGTAGCTAATAATATCTTTAGAATTATACTCTATCCTTGCAGATGTAGTAAAAAGTACTGTATTACTTGGTAGGAAAGTACAGATTACTAATGTGATTAGCACAATAAATACACACTCGTTTGATCTTATCTCTCTTTTTACTGAATCACTATAGACTCAAAACGGAATAAAAAATAATTTTATATAAATGTAGCTGGCCGAAAAGAAAGAGCAAATTAAAAAAATAAACATTAATCCGGCTCAAACTGGACTAAATAATACTATTTAAGTACGGGATCACAAGACTATCCGTCAACTGAACATGAAAGGTGTACATAGATATCACCGAGACCGTGACAGGTCATTCCTAAAACTAATATAGCTGCCAAGGTTAAAAGCTATTCGCTGACAAATATTACACAGACGATAAAAAGGACTCCCGTAGCCTTCAAAAAGAAAAGAAAAGCGCCAAAATGCTCACTCACATAAAATTTATTTCTACCTATTCTCCTTTAACGAAAGGTTGTTTGTAAGAGATTGTCCTAGTGACAAGATCGTCTTTTGAACCTTTATGTGTATATTTCAATCTGTATTTATGTTACTGTATTTCACTTGAATTATCCACTTGTTATTGTATATTTTTATTTATGGTGCAATAGAGTTAAATAAATAAATTTATGTATTACATAGACTAGTATCTACTAGTTTCTACCCGCAACTTCGGGGGGAAAGGGATTGTTAGTAACGGAGACTGAGAATCCTACTACTAGTGTAATATACCCAACCAGGTCGACCTCCTCGCGGTTCTCCCTAGAAACTATCATGGTTAATTCCTGATGAATTCATCATGATGGGCTAAATGGCTTGTTTTCATTCTCACCTATCATCCTTCACTGGTGCTCAGCCAGCGTATCCCGTTAGCGCAGGCGCGGTTACCAAACCATTTTCACCCATAAAAAAAAACCGCAACTTCATCCGCTTGATCGGTCTATGTTCATTGAATGGGATGAAAATGTAGCCCATATATTTCTCCATTCCAAATAGCGCGTTTATGCCAAATTTCATAGTGATCAATTAAGCCCTTAAGGTGCTATAAGGTAACAAACAAACTCACTTTCATATTTATAATATTAATAAGGATTAATATTAGATGAGTTTAATTAAGGATGTACCTAATCTAATCTTTAAACTTTTCATTCTAAATCCATCACGTGACCCCGTACGATTCATACCGAAAGGATAAATTTGATTTTTAAATTTCAATAAATATTCACTTTTCCTTGTTAACAATCACAGAACTGTCTTTTATGTGAACAATATATGCTCCTTGGCAGAAGTTATTCAGTTACACGAATAATTACTTTACGCCTTATAAATAGGCGAAGGAGTCCCTTTTTTCGTCCATATTCCATTATATATAGCACCATTTGCATAAATAATACAACTTGTAGAGAAGTTTCTGAATGTCATGTCTATTTCATGTTTTTGTTCAACTATGAGCAATTTTGCTTATTCTAATTTTAAAAAGTCTTATAAAATTATAATACTTACAGCCATTTCTTGTTAATTCCTGACTCTTTAAGAGTATTTATACTTTAGCTTACCAAAGTGTGGCAACATCACAATTATTTGTCAATTTACAAAAACAATTTATTTCTTTTTTCTGATTGATTATTTATAAAATGCTATACTAGCGAACCCAAATGTCAATCATAGAATATGTTACATATAAATTTACCGTTACAAAATATGCATATACTTCATATTTTGCTTTGATGCAAATTCGTGCCACTGAAAATCAACGTCATGTTAAAAAGAACACGACATATAGTAACATAATTTTAGTGCTTTTCTTTAATTATTTGTTTACTTTTGATTATTGTTAAATGTTTTCGTAATTAAGCGTGTTATTGAGCACTTAATAAATATTTCTTTCGTTCAAATGTTTTCTCCATATCAACAATAAATAAGTATTTATATTGTTGCAAGCACACTTCTGTGAACTAAAGTTAAGAACGCTCTTAATGACAATCTTACCACAAACAATCAGTTGAACACGACATGACAATATCATTCATAATAGCAAATTTCTCTACAAGGAGTGATTAATACAATCATAATTAAATGAAGCTGATCCTTATATTAAGCGGTGGGTTATATTTGTGCATCATATTGCTATATAGACGGTTCATTCAATGGAATAACGCTCTCGGCCTCTTCTTAGCGAGAAGATGCCACGAGTGGGTGACGCCCTTACGACGTTTCGGCGACAATCTGAAAACAATTATTTTTTCACAATGCTAACACACTAAATAAATTTTCTTTCTTGCTTTTTTTATAGATAAAACACTAATAAATAATAATCAGGATTTTAGTGAATTTTCAATTCCGTATAATTATTATCAGTATAATTATAATAATTATTATTATTATTGGAAACACTTTTTCATTCTTGAAGGGGGATATTGGAACTAATGAGATGCCATTTTTTTAAACCTAACTTTAATACAAATTTTTCAATTTGATAACAGAAACAAATATGTATTCTATGGACCAATATAAAATATTTTTTTAATAGCTTGAAGTCAAAATTATAAATTTAGTCCACGGTGTTTCACAAAACAATAATTATGTAAAACTATCAAATTAAAATGTTAGGTTGAGAGATAGATTTAGAGAAATGGCACTGTTAAAGGATTAACAATATGCCATGAATATTATTCACTCCTGCGTATAATGAAGCGGTTTCAGCGGTAAAACCAATGGACGACTGCTAAGTTATTAATAGATAATCACGCACAACATCAACCAGTCACAAGAGCCGCTCATCACGACATCGCGAGAACGCCAATCATAACGCAGGAGAGATTTACATGACCTTTCAGGTTTTCAAAATTGTAACTGACTCGCAAAACAAAACTTCAACGCATTACATCAAATTTATATTACATCAACGCTTCAAATTATTATCTATTTTATTTACCCTAGTTAAATCGCTTCAAATACTAGGTGTATCATCATCATCATCATCATATCATCCGTTCATCATTAAAACGCAAACGCACATCATTAACAGGCACTCCGGGATTGACTTCAATGAACATTATAAGAAATCCATACAGATGTACTATGAACACAATTGTTGTTCTTTTATGTTTGTGTAATAATTTCTTCCACAAAAAATTCACACAGACTAGGGGATGCCTTTATATGTGAAAAGCTAACCGTGTGCCATGGTGACTTATAAATCTTCTCTTTGTATTTTGATTAACACATGCTGTATTAGTCAATTGCAAAGGAATTGACTTATACAGCATGTGTTAATTAATTAAAAAAAAAAATAATTAGAAGAATTAATAAAAAAAACTTAAAGACAAAACTTACCCATGATCAGGTGTGTCAGGCATGTATGGGGACATGCGGAAGTCGCGACTGTGTGGAGTCTCAATACCAAATGGACTATACAGTTTGGTGGGGCTCCTGCCAAGTATCTGTACAGAATATAACTATATTGATAGTTGTTAACGCCGTCAATTTATAATTAATCTATCCTATTTTTATAAATATATTACGACTTTATATATATTTTTTATAAACTGATTTCAAAACTTCATTTTTATTTAAAATTATATATTTACAGATAGTTTCTATAGAAATTTTATTAAAATAGCTTAACTTATAAATCAAAACAACTTATTTTAACATGATTGTAATTTTTTTTTTTTTTGAGGAAAATTATATATAGTTATTTTTACAATTCTAATTCCAATCAGAAAACAATTTTAGTTGAGAAGAAGGGACAAAGAATATCAGCTTTACTATTTACCTTTTTCTTTGTAACGGGAGTGGACGGTGTACGGCATGGAGATCCAGTCTCCGCTAGACGGTGCCTACGTCTTCCACCCAACCTGAAGTGCTACAATGAGATTATTATTTTAGTATGATCACAGATAATACTATATTCAAAGTATGATCATATCTGCTGTTAACTATCCATAGTTAAACACGGGCCTTTCCTATAAGGGGTGTGTTGCCAGTAGTTGCAAAACTAAAAATGTTAAAACCATGCAGTTCATACAGCACTAAAATTGTTTACTTATAAATTATTTTATATCCCTCTTCCTTTGTAGGCAATTTTCAACTGCCTTCATAAAAAAGGAAGTTCTTAATTCAATTATATTTTTTATATGTTTGTTACCTCATAATTCCATTAGTTATATAGCAAATTGGAAAATCTTTTTTTTTTTTAATTTGAAAGGATATACTTAAAGATTGATTTATTATAAATTTTATCCGGTTCAGTTGTTTAGTTTTTAAATAATAATAAATGGCTTTATCACAATCAAAGTTGGTTTTTTTCTTTGAATACAATTTTAAAGTATTTTTGTTATAAAAGGAAAGAGGAAAACCAAAGAGATTTCTTTGAGAAAGAAAAAAGAAATTTTATGAGCAATGAAACTAGAGAATATTAAGATAACTACAGGAAATACAGTAGGAATAAATTACGCCAACTTTAACTAATTATTTACTACTGCTCAAGCCAAATCCTTGACAGTGGATACCTTTAGGAACTAGTACTAGTTGAATTATAATATATAGTAGTAGTATAATATACATTAAGTTATAGTAATAGTTAAGTTATATTTCTTGTGCAGACTTTCGATTAAAATGAAAAAAGTTATTCACCTGTGACAAATTTCCAAAAGTATTTCTTACACTTCTAAAAGTCCTGGATATCTTTTCTGCGCCGGATTGCAAGGCACGACGTGAATTAGCAAATGATTTGGTTTTAAATAGCTTCTTATTATAACATCCATCGACGTTTTTCAGACTGTGTGCCGGCGAATCGATAGCTGCGTCCGTTACAAAAGGGTCCTTCATATTTGTAGGACAGTAAAGCTAAATATTTATGAACTTTGATACGTTTAGTAGTATTTCCACTAAACAAGAATTTACAGAAATATCACATTATTACATTCATTACTTTCAATAATTAAAGTTAAGAATTTTTTATCAAATCTCGATATTTTGACCGTTGCTCCGACTTTTTCCGTTGACATTTGACTTTGACAGATAGTAGTAGCATCAATTTACGTTCAATGGGAATGGCAAAGGAACTAAGCCATACAGCCTGATCTTTAGTCATAGACATGTCTGTGTCCTCAGTAAAAAGTTTGTATATCTAAATTATATGTTTGACTTAGACCTTTTATTTCAATCGTTTGTTGACATAGATTAATAATTTTAAGTATAAATTATTAATATAACCAACTTATGGTCTTTATTGTCGGTTACATATAGCAGTATATATTCATGTAGCATGTTCCTTAATACGAGTTATAAATAGCAAATTTTTTTGAATTACATCCAATATCATATAATGTGAATGATTTAAAGCAATTCTATTAAAAAAAAAAGACTCAAGTTGTATATAACAACTAATTTGAATTCAAGACAAATTAGAAGATGTAGTTTGATGTTATCGTTATTTAATATTTCTTGTTATCAGTTATCTATCTAATGTAGTTAACTTTCAGTATAAGAGAAGGAGGGGAGGAATAAGTTGATAAGAATCAAAAGAAAAAAGTCTAATAGCTTCATCACTAGCAATATATTACTTAGATCGATTTCCATGCGGTTCCCCTGAAAACCACCATAGTTAGATATTTTTAAATTCGTCAAATTCGAAAAACAGTGCAAGAATACTGAAAGACACAACAGGTTATTTATTGTTTAATAAATTCAGATTTTGAGGCATATAATGATATGTTTACTTAAGATCTCATAAGAGTGTAGATATGCATAGTGTAAATCCAACTGGAGAACTCAATTAGAGGTGATTGACATTTAAATGCTAGAAATAAAAACAGTTATAACTATGTCTATTAAATTTATTTTTACTTATGATTTAAGAACCTCGATGATGCATATAGTAGTCTATTACAGTTGAAAATGCTGCAAATCCCGCTGCACCAAATATACCTGCTTTTAGTCCACCTAAAATTAAATATGGGGAAAGTTATAATGACTTTAATTATAAAAATGCTAATTATATCCTAAAAAAAGAGTATTAAGTTGTCAGCAATGTATGCTGAGAACTAAATAAGCTAACTATCTTCGACATATGGTTTTTAGGAATGGCTATATTTTAGGTGTGCCCCAGATGACACAGTAAACATAAAAAATAGTAGAAGTTAAAAACAAACTATGTTTTACCTCTCAAACCAATTAGTCCACCAGTTACACCTCCTGCATAGGTTCCATTTTTCCAATCTGACTTTCCTCTTGCTGTTTCTATACAGCACTCAACTCCAGAAAAGACAGCACCCAAAATAGCAAAGTTCTTTGCATAACTTAACATAGATCCCTTCATTTCTCTTAATATTTCTCTGGCTGATTGTGTTTGTGGTGCTGTCGTGTCAGTTACATTTGGCATTAACGATGAAGTGAACAAGCCTACTGCAGCTCCTAGACCATAGCCTAAAAAATGTTTTTAATTTTAAAAATAAATTTTCCAGCTAGTATCACTTCTAATTAACAGGCATAAGATTAACATATTTAAAAAAATATTAAGAGAGTTTAGCTTATGTTTTTACTAACATTCTCTGTTTGAATTTGATGAAATTAGAAATCATCTACAAAAAGAGATTTATGAATTTATCAAATCCCTTTTCTTCAATATTTAACTTCAATCAATAATCATCATATTGATAAATATTGTCACTATAAATTTTTTTATCCTTGTCACATTTTTGTTAAGTTTCAGACATGGTTTGATTATAAGGTCACTGTGAATCTACTTATTACTGATAACATTATAAACAGCAAACTACTGCTTAATTTGCTAATATTACAATTATGTTTTTTTGTTACTTTTCTTCATTTAAATTACCCAAGAGGTTATTAGGTAATAATATTTGTAATATGACAAAACAATGTATTATCTTCAGTAAACTTTAATGTAAAGGACAAAACCAAAAACAGAAAGTGACAGATCATAGCCATTGTCCATTATAGTTTAAAGCTTCACCTCCCTCCTTCATTCACCCTTGAAAGACTAGGTGATCTAAAATTTTAAGCGCTAAAGAACTCCGAAAGAAGGCAATGACTTTGTATACCAATTTGCAATTATGTAGTTTTAACATTTGATAAATTACTAAATGTTTAATAAAAATTCTCATAAATAAATAACTCACCAATTATACAACTGGTTATGGACTTAAATGGACAGCTTTCTACTGTAGCTTCAATCATTTTTTCTTCATTAGTTTTTATTATGACAGGCCCTAGGAATCTCGGTATTATTATATTCTCACGGAAACGACTGTAGTTACCGACCAAATATTTTGCAAGAGAATCATAATCGTTGTCGTCTGCGAATTTTTGTAAATCTGGATCCACGGGCAATTTCTTATAATCCGTCATGTTTGTTTTCAATATATAGCAACGACACTTTAAACAATTATTTTTTTCTCAAGAACAGTTATTTCTGGTAAGATATAAAATCCATTTATTTATTTATTTTGAAATAATAATTAAATAACCACATAAAATAGCTGGTAAAACAGTTTTTAATCAGCCAGATGTTTTTGACAGTTGACAGTTTTTTTTAATATATGTTTGACGGCTCTGGATTGGAAGCATGTCGCCTAAAACGAAGCATATAAAGCAAAGATACATGCGTATATATATTTTTTTAATAGGTGATAATGAAATGATAACTCCACTCGCGCTATCGGTGTATACCGGTGGAGCACCATTAAAGAATGATGGGTAAGGACGAATGTCAGTTAGTCGTATATGCCGGCAGGGCATCAGTGAGGGATGATAGGTCAACAATCGTGATGAAAATACATCAGATCTTTGTTGTTGATATTAATAGAAGACTATAATAACACCTTCTACGCTAAAAATTTGATAATAATCACAGATTAAAACTCACTGAATTGCCTTAACTCATAGATTAAGGATAGTATTGCGATTTGGCTGATTGTTTAGGTAGGTACGAGTAAGTACCTACATCTATCAAATACAAACTGTCAAAAACACGTGTTTTTGTTTGTAAGTTCATAGGTATTCAAAATAAATTGAAAGTATAATTATTAGGTTGTGATTATTTGCTTAATGTTTTAATATTAATACGTGTATTTAGTTACATTTAGTGCTATATTACAAATGAAACAACTTACGTATTAATTTCAATTTACATGGAAATTTCAGTTAAAAATCTTACTGAAGATTTGTAATTTAAAATAAAAATGTCGGATACCTCTGAAGATGAAGATTTATCAAAATTTAGGGAAGCCGTCGATAACTCCTTTTTAAAAAATATTAATAACACCCAAGCAACTTCTGAACTCAAATCTAAAGAAAATGGTAAAGTATTATTATTGTATATACGTTTTGCACGAGTAACTATATAGAAAGATAAATTCTTAGTTTTATAATGGCTTCAAAAGGCAAATTTTTGATACAGTATTGTAATTTTAATAAAATAATATATAGTTTATGTTACTCACTGATAGATATATAAAATTATAGACACATTTTACGCACACAGTGTATTATGTTTTTTTTTAATGGGTGCTAATGAAATAGTAACCCTGCCTGCAATGTTAGTATACACTGGCGAGGCACCAGTGAGGGATGATTGGTGAGAATGAAGGAGGTTGACCTGCTAGGGTATATTGATAGCAATGAGGACTAACCTCCCCATTACTAACAATCCCTTTTCCCTGTGTGTTACAATATTATGCTGCAACCAGGCTGCTAGAAAATAATATTAAATATATACTGTAATATAAAAAAAATGAAGGTCCTGTTTTGTAGCTAGACATATTTAGGGCCTTTTGGATTTAAACTGAATTTAAAAGTATTTTTTTTATTTAACTAACAAAAAATTTTTTTGCAGAGACAAATAAACAAAAATCTGAGAGATATCTGGAGGTGGCCAATCACTATAATGATGTGAAAGTACCTGAGGAATTGCAAAGACAAATTGCAGCAAAAATATCCAACATTATTGCCAAGAAGATCAAATTTGTTGATATTGAACCAAATGGCATAAAGTTAGTTGACAGTGTTGAGTTTCATTTAGTTTTTTCTGGAAACATAATAAATTTCTGAAATTGTTGAAGAATGTTTAAAAGTTAAAAAATAAATATGTGTATGATTATGACTTTTACCCTTAATGGGGCAGTTAGAGGCATTTGTCAACTGTTTCTGTTGTGATATATGTAATACTTTTTTTTTCCAAAAGATTATAGTATGGGGTTCTTCAAAAATGGAGTATAGATGTTTCTTTAGGATTGGCAAATACATATAATGCTTCTGCTATTGCAGGTGTTTAAAGGCTATGGTAACCATTTAGCATGAGGTGGCCGTACACTTGTTTGCCATTTCAATGGTATAAAAAACACCTAACATATTTATGTTTTGCCTACTGTTATAACTTGGATTAACATGATATACTATCATTGTTATGCATCATTATTAAAAACTAAAATTTTTAAAAGCTTTCATATAAACTTATTTAAATAAAGTTTAGTTTGGAATTGAATGGATAAATGTAAATTAAATGTATATAAATTTTTAATATTCTCTCATTACATTACATTTAAAACATTACATACAAAATAGTTGAGTTTCTTGCCCTAGCTGAAATTGCATACAAAACTGGGTATATACTACTGAGATGGCAAACAAGCTTACTACCCATCTAATGGTAAGCTGTTACCAGTCTATAAATGCTTGCAATACCAATGTCATTACACTTGTGTTCCAACCCTAAAGAAACCTCTTTACCTCTTTATTGTAGATTGTCAAAAAATATCTAATTTAAAAATGTTTTATAATTAAGTTTACTTGAATAAATTTTTTGCTATATTTCTTATTTATTTTTAACAGGAAACGTAAAATCAAAGGTGGTGTGAAGTTATTTAAAGACTCCGATAATTTCTTATCTTGTGAAGATCCAAAGGACACGTATACAGAGAAACATAATGCTGAATCAAAAAGGATCAAAAGAAAAAAACAACAAATTGAAGACAGTAATGTCAATGAAATTGGTGAATACAAATAATTACTTATAATTATATATGTAGCAATTTTATTAAATGCAAATTATTATAGAAATGTAAAATAATTTGAATTAATATTTTTAAATTCATATTTATCTATATCTGATGTGAAATTACAAGATATGTAGGCATAACACCATAGACATAAGAAATGACTATATTTAAGCCAAAGTATTTATTAATAATATATATATATATATATATATATATATATATATATATATATATATATATATTTATTAATGTGTAAAAAAATAGTTTCTTGTTTGTTAACCTCTTTACATCTTAATAGTTGTGTAATAATTGGTGTGAAATTTGGCATACACAAAATATTAGAAATTTATTATTTTTTATCAGTGTCACTATTTTTTTTTTTATTATCCTAATTTTAATTTAATATCTCAGTTATATATTTGAATCTCTTGTGAAATAAAAACTTTTATCTCTTTTCAGAGAGAAAAAGATTCATAAAAACTAACACTTCCTACATATCTATTTTAGCTATTGAAATATTTTGTTATTTTCTTTTAAATTTAAAGAAAAAAAAACATTTCAATAGCTAAAATAGATTTATGAGACGTTTGACATTTTTATGAATAAGGACAGAATAAATACATACCTACAGAAGAAATAAATATTTACCTGTTTACAGATAAACTAAAGGCTGTTGCTGTGACTGGAGAGTATGTGTTATCCAAAGAAGAGACAAAATGTTGGAAATCCAGGAGAAAAGAGAAGATATTTAAATATAAAAAACATGGCAAAAGCAAAGTACTTACAGCTGTTGAATAAATGTATACTTTTAAAAATATTTTTATATATATTATATTTAATACTTAGAATATACCTATCTATGTTTAACCACTCCTTCGCTCTTGCTCTTGGCTGTTGACCTTGTATACGATTTTATCCAGGGAAGATCCTTAACGTCTCTTACTATGAATCGCCGCCCCTAAAAGTACAATAATGGGTCAAGAGCAAGTTAAACTTGCACGCCAATTCTCTGTAGGTGTATTAAATTTTTTGTTTTTTAGACGAAAATTTATGTAAATTATATTTACATTTATTTTATATTCACTACATAACGCGATGAAAAATTTTTGCAGCTAAATAGTACCTACATACCTGCTTCTTTATTGCCGACTTTTGGACATGATTCGATGGTCCTATCGTGATCAAATGGTGAATGTGAATAACGAGTTAAAACCACATAGTGTATTTAAAATATGTTTAAACAACGCGAAAGTACAAAATTAACTATATCTACATTCTTCAAATAAAGATAGAAAAAAATATTTCATGTACAATATTGTACATATTTAATCATAAAATAATAAAATAATTTGTTGAGATAATTTTACCTAATAATTTTTTTACTGAGCCATTAAATTTTATATAACAAATTTTTTCGTACGCAAATTTCTTGCTTGGGCAGTTAAGATGTTCAGAATGAACAAATGAATAAACAACAGAATGAATAAACAAACTCACTTTCACATTTGTATAGAAAGGATTATATTAGTCCTTTTTTTTAATGGAGAAATAGGTATTGGCGACCCACACGCATGCTAAAGGTAAAGGAGTTAAGGGCCGCCTGAAAATCAGCGCTATATATATATATATATATATATATATATATATATATATATATATATATATATATATATATATATATATATATATATATATATATATATATATATATAGCAACAGCTGAGGCGGCTCTTATTACCTTATTAGATACCTACCCTATTTAAAGCAAATAAATTTATTATTATTATTATTATTAAAAAAAAATTTACAAACATTCGTTTGGGTATGATTTAATCTATAAAATGTAAACTCATCGATATTACCAGATGAATACATTTTCTTAATACTGGATTTCAACACAATGGTTTCCAGGGGGGGCCACGTGGAGGTCGACCTGATAGGGTATATTGCTAGCAATGAGAGTGATAGTCTAAATTACTAACAATCCCTCCCCCCATATCTGCCGTTATCTGTCCGCTGCTGAACGTAAGCCTCCTTCATAGATTGCAATATTGAACGGTTCATTTCTTGTCAGTTTGTCATTGGGGAGGATTTTGCCATTACTTACCACACTTGGCAGGCGGATTGGCAACCGCGGTTTTTTGGTGATTTTTTAAGAGGGACGCTGATGCCCATCTCTCGACCACTTAGCTCACTTGGTCGTCTCTACGACACTGATGGGAAAGAAAGGGTGGCCCGTTCTATGCCGGTACCATACAGTAGTTATATTTACATTAGGTAAATTAAACAAACAAATAGTATGTTAACGTTTAAACATTTTATTTACATTAATAACTAAATTAACAAATAAATATGTACAAAATATCATTATCACATTATCAACTGCTTTTGTAATAATTTTCAAGAATGTTGTTTTAAGAGTTTATGAAGAATAAGGCCAAGAACACATATTATAAATTTTAATAATCTGACAGATCAAGAAGAGGGTGAAAAACTGAAATGCTTCATTTTATATCATTTCGTAATTGAATTAGCGGTACGTAAATAAAAAGGAAAATATATAAATTATTTAATTTCGGTAAATAAAAAAAAAATCATGGCAAAATATTTGGTCTCCAATAATTCAGTAGTGGAACACGTCATGTTAGTATTGGATGCTTAATTTTTTTTCGTCATAAACCTATGTTTCCTTAGAGAAAAAGAACACGTTCTCTAGTAGAACATTCCTTCAAAGGATGTTGACGATTTTACCCTGTATAGTTTTTTACGTTGAATATTTAGTGAACCAAAGGGCTTTGCTCTAAGGGTTTAAATCTCCTGATTGATTCTATAACCTATTAATTTATGCTTCCAGTACCGATTTGCAGGACAGCTCACTTTTATCTGTACAACGTTTGTTTTCAAGCGCTCACGGATAGGGCGGCAAAATATGTTTTTTTTATTTTTATTTTAAGATGGGTTGGCCTTTATCTTTGCCCAATGTTAAGTAATGATTAAATCTAAGATGGAGCGCAATTATTCAGAAAATGTAAATTCATCTATCGCCTTAAATTCATAGTTTTTACCTACCTATATATATATATATAGATGTCTAGGTAATAGGTACTTGTGTATTTTGAGTAATATCTAGACAGTTAAGTAGAAGTGGAAAACGTACACACATGCGCATAGATACGTACGCACACATCACTGATACACATATATACTCATATATATATATATATATATACATATATATATATATATATATATATATATATATATATATATATATATATATATATATATATATATATATATATATATATATATATATATATATGTATAACGGGAAATTTTATGCACTTACTATGTTTGTCGTTTCCGACAACAGTTTCAATTTAAAACTATAAACAGTAAGTTTATAAAATTTCCCGCTGTATATACATCGTATAGACATCGTATGTGTATAGACATCGTTAAAAAAATAAAATGAATTTTAAACATTATACAGACAGAGTGTGTAAGAGGAAAGTATATCTAGCACATATGCACACAAACGCTTAGTGACGTTAAAATACATTGATACATCTGTAGATGTACAACTTTTGTAACCCATTTTATTGTTCTTCTAAATTTAAATTTGGCGGGTATTTTCTACTCGGATTTCAATTACATCAAATTAAAAAAAAAGTTCATAAGCCAGTTCGACGCAGAAGGATCACTGTTATCTTAAAATATTATAGAAAGTAAAAAAAATAGAAATTTATCGCGGCATCTATTTATATCTAGTCCGAACATACAAATATCACACAAATTTCTTTCACTATTAAGTAAATAATAAAACTAGTTAAACTCTACATAATTAAAAATATTTTGTAGTGTAGATAGAGAATCAAATTAAAAAACAAAAAAAAAAACAAGAAATACGTAATGGGTAACTTAGTGTAAATTTTTGTTTAACAAATGTCTAATTCTATACTAGATTTTTATTAACTAAAACTCTCTTCAATTGGATTGGTAGCAGGTAGCAGTATAGAGAAATAGGAAGGTACACTTTAGTAATTTATAAATACAAGTTGTACCTACTAAGGTATATAGATTACAGATGGAGCTCGTTATAGTTCGTCAACTTAGAATACGTCACTACTCTTGAAGAATAACAAATATATGGAGAATATAAATAGGCCATTTTTAAAAAAATAAAAAGAAAATTTTTATAAATTTGCTAGACGTGAACTCTTAACAAATTCAATAATAATCTAATTTTTATGTGTAAAAAATGTATCCATGATAAGTACAAACACATATGAAATATATTTTACGACTTTCCGGGGTAATTGTATTTATTTATTTAATTTTCATGTACATAACAAAGGTACGCATAGCGAACATGATACTTCAAAGGACTTCAATTATGGAGGAAACAGAGAGATTTATTAGGCGGTACAATAAAAAAAACTGAAAAAGGTTAACAAAAATATTTTCTATTTTAAAATATAAAGGAACTTTAAAAACACATGTATTAGATATACATTGACATACACATATAGTATGTATAAATGTATCTTTTTTTATACCCCTGAGGTGGCAAAAAAGCATACGGCCCACCTGATGGTAAGTGGTTACTGTAGCCTATGAACACCTGCAATACCAGAGGTATGACAGGTGTTCTTTTTTACATATGTGTGTATATTTAATGTACTTTTCAATTATTAAATCAAAATTATTATTAGAATTATAAATATTATATATATTAGAAAAAAAAAACATAATTTTTTTAAAAAATATAACCAGAGCGTTTAATTGTTTTATGTTAAAAATGTAATTCTCTTTGAACCTCGTCGTCCGCATTTTCGGATTTACTGGAAAGTGCCGTATGCGAAGTTGACGAGTTATAGCTCAGTTCCCTGATCTCTTTACCAATTCCGTAAGGGTATGGCCGACGAGAAAACATAAAAAAAACCTTATTTCCTCTTAAAAACAACATTGACGTTGTAGCTTGGCAAGATTTTATAGGGGTCAGATACGGAAATATTTTCTGAAAAAATTTTTTTTTTATATTGTCATTCGTGGTAGAGCTTTAAAATTCCAGCAAAAATAATTTTGAGTAATTTAAAAACCTCATAAATAATAAAACTTATGTTTTTTATATATTTATATGTAAGTGAACAACGGGAATTTATAACTACTAGCCTTTACCCCCGACATGGTCCGCGTGACCGGGATAAAAAAGACTATCCTTCTCCATCCCATATTGTACGTGTATACGACACATTACAATGATTGGCTAAGCCGTTAAATCGCTATAAACTAACAAACGAACGAATCTTAATATCAAATTTACAATAATAGTAAGGAAAATTATAGTTTTCGACAATTGCTTCGACTTAAACCAGAAGTTTTCTTCAGATAAGGCAAGAGGCTGCCACGTGTAACTCCCACAATACCTAAGGGATTGAACCTAAACGATCGTGGTTAATGACAGTCATCTTCCCACCCTTATCCCAATTATATAAATTTTGGGCTCGGTGTAATATGTTTTTATACATTTTATTTAAGTTTTGGCTTTTAGTTTTACGACCGCTCGTCTGTTCGACGTCAACCCTTCTTGGTAATGTATTTATTGGTGGTACCCGTCGTCTACGGTATGGAGGAAAGGTTCGAGGAAAAAGAGGCAGATATTGGGAATGAGTAAAGGAAGTTGGTGGAAAAGGAATGAAGAACTTCATACAACTGGAGTGGAAAACGAGCATACTGCTCACCTGAGGGTAAGCGGTTATCGTAACCTATGAATGCCTGTAATACCAGAGCCATTACGCGCACGTTGCCGACCCTGAAGACACCTTTTGATATCTTTTTTGAAGGACCCCATTCTGGATTTATGGAAAAGGGGGTACTGCAGTTGCGGATATTGGTCAGAAACTAAAAACAAAAAACAAACAGAAACGACAAACGGTAAAGGCATTAATTTGCCGTTGACCAGTTTTATATAAATAAATCCTCAGATTTGTACAGTCAAAGGTTTTTGATACAATCTAAATCCGATTCCTAAACATATCCTACTGTCTACGTGTCTACAATCTACTCGTGTCTGGTGCTGGTGGTAGACTCCTTCCATTCCTGATAGGTAGCTCGTCGTGCGTGAACGCGGTGTTATCAAGTCCAACCGGCTTGGCGGCTGGAGTCTCAGTTTTCTGTTCCACTGGACCGTCCATCAGGAACATTGTCAGGAAGAACATGATACTGCCTGGAAAATATTAATATTTTATTTAATATAAATAATAATTGCCGTGTAATCCTGGCATACAATATGGCACACTCTATGCCTGTCATTTCTTTCCCATGGGTGTTGTAAGAACTAGAAAAACTAAATAGTCGAAGGATGGGCAGCACCGTTCCTCTTAAAACATCACCAAAAGCCTAACCTGCCTGCCAAGCATGGCAACTACTAGCAAAACCCTTCTTATGCAGGATTTTGGCCATTTTTAGCAGTTTAGAGTTAAGGGCTGATAGGATCACTCATGGCAAAAGTTATTGGACCGATTTTGATAAAATTTCTATGGTACCATTCTGAAAGTATATCCTTTCAGATAAAAAATAAATTTCCAAATGTGTTTAGGAGGTAACAAACATAAAAAAAAAATAAAACAAAATTGAGAACCTCCTTCTTTATTGAGTCCATTGATAAGAAAAAAGTCTTAAGGTGATAACACTTAATTTGAGAAAATAGTCAAGTTTCTGGTATCGCGCATGCGTAATATAGGTAAGTTGTGATAGTTGATGTCGAAAAAAATATATATGTAAATACAAGGTTACAGGCCTTTAGCACTTAGCTATCTGTCCTTTCTACAAGGGAATAGGCGTGAATGGATTGATATATATAAGAATACCAGGAGTCAGTGGATGCAGGTGGCTTGGAACCGTTTTTTATGGTAGTCTATGGGGAGGTCTATGTTCAGCAGTGGACAGATAATGGCTGAGATGATGATGATATAAGAATATACTTACTGATACCGTAGAAACCAGCGTAGAAGATCATAATAGCTTCTCTATATCCTATAGCCTTGGACACGGGGTCGACGAGAATCGGTAGGTTGCCTCCGACGTTGTTCATGACGAAGAGGAACACTCCAACGGTGGTGGAACGGACCGATAGGGGGACGATCTCGACGAGAATGGCGAATACAATACCGAACCACATCTCGGCTGTGGAGGGATGAAACATTTTTTTTAAGACGGATCAAAATGGAATGGTAACTGGTTTATGTTGGCGGAATAGGTACTAGTGGGGTGAAGTGATTACTTCCTTTGAAATTTGTCACGATAAGCGTACTAACATGCTTTCATCCTCATCTATCATCTTTCACTGGTATCCTGCCTGCAATAGTACAGGTGGGGTTACCATTTCATTATCACCCGTTAAAAAAAGTGCTAGTGGAAAGTGGGTAATGATAGATGAGGACGAATTCAAACCAGTTGGCCCATCGTAATGAATTTATCGCGATGGTTTCCAGAAGAATCCCGTAGAGGGTGACCTGACGAGTCCGTAGCGTAAAAATGGTTGTTTCAGTCAACTGAAACCGCCATTTTTACAATAATTTTAAATTCTACAAATTTTACAATAAGTTTTACTGTAGCTTGCTAATTTGAAAATATTGTAAACCTGTGTTTTACATTCTATCTTTATTACTGTTTTTTGGACACATCCAATATTGGGATTAAAACTGAGGTACTTTGTGTGTGTTTGTTAGTGCTTTGTGACATGGATAATATGTATACCGATTCGTTATCTATATTTTGAGTTTACTTGGTCATTGATAGTGGAAAAAAATCATCTCCCATTTGTATATCATCCGATTGATATAATCGGATATACATTTTCGAATATGTAAAAGTTTATGTTACTTACCAAAGAAGTACGAAATAGCCAGCGTGATCATGGCCCATAGTGGGCCGAAGATCACTGAACCGAAAGCAGGCAGTGTAGAGATCAGCTGCGACAGAGCCAATACGAGGACTCGCGACCTCACTCCCATTTTTGCTACGAACCTGATAAATTATGTTAATATTCATTTAACTGTATTCCTAATGTTACAAATAAACAGATTAGACAAAAATATGCTCACGACTAGGTATAATCCCTAATAGTGGCTTGCAGAGACAGACAAAGAGAGACTTTTTTTCTTATTTTTTTATACAACTTAAAATGGCAAACAAGCTGACGGCCTACCTGATGGAAAGTGGTAACCGTCGCCTAATCGTTTTTATTGTACCAATATTTCTCATATAGATATGGACGTGGAAAATGAAGGCGTTTATAAGCCCCCATGACCAGAGATGATCGCCCCCCCCCACTCTCTACCCCACACCGTTAGTCGCCACTAGTTCGCGTGTTTGCGTTTTTGGCAGAGAAATAAATAATCTGAATATAGAATAACAAACTTGGAGTCCTTATTCTTATGCCTTTTTGTATGCCATGGATTTATTCATCATCTATGTGAATTAACACCAATATAAATAAATAATCTCTAAATTAATACATATATTTTGTAGATTAAGAAAATATATTTATAAATACTATTATTACCTTTACATTATATAAAACAGAATCTTTATGAGTAGGTACGATAAACATAAAATATATTCATAAAACATTTTCGTTGCCTAAACTACCCTCGCATTACTTGGCGTTCGTGTTATAAAGTAGATACACTTAATTTCATTTTATACTGTCTATTTTAATGTAAAAAAACTTTGCTAGGTGGCTATAGTCAGTCAGTTAGTTCACAGAATAACTACTGTACTTTTTTTTTGTTTTTCTGATCTGATCTTAAGTTTTAATATACTCTAGTTATTAACCCATTACATTGTGTAAGATCTATGTGTACACTTGAATCGTGCTATATGTATCGAATCAGAATAAATAAAATATTATTATTATTAAAAAAAGTAAATCTACTAAAATAAATACATTCGTTTTGGGGTTACAATTTCAATTAAAAATAAATATAGTCGTGAAATTGCAGGGCATAGAGACACATCATAGCTCCTGCATACCCTGCAGTTTTCTCAGGATTGGTAACGCATGAGAGAAACCATAGGTCTCATGGAAAATATTACGACGTTAATGGTGCAGTTGCCGAGAAATATTTGTTGTCTACTCAGGTTTATATAGAGGTTCAGAGGTTTGTAAGATCCTTACTTATCAGAGACGACACCGCCGACCACCACCCCCACGGAGCCGATGCCGACGGTGACGGCGAACAGCCACCAACCGAGGTCCACGTCTGGGAAGTAGTCGCGGTAGTACAGGTCCGCGTTGTACGCGAAGCACATACCGCCTGCAATGTGAATTCATGAATGTTTGTGTGTCCAAAGTGCGATACAGATACGGAATATTATTTGTCATTTTAAAATACTGGTTTTTGTCCACAACTTTCCTCTACATGATCAGAATACATTGATTGAATGAAAAAAAAAATTAGCCTATGTTTTTTCCATTCTACATTGATATGTTTATCTAAAATAAATATAGCCTATCTTCTTCTCCATTCTATACTGATATGAATAACTGAAATAAAGATAGAATATGTTCTTCTTCATTCTATACTGATATGTATAACTGAAATAAACAGTAGCCTATCTTCTTCTCTATTTTACATAGGTATTCATTCAACACAGGTAGTTGTATGCCACATTTTATGATGTTCAATTAAGGCGGTTACTCATAAAATCTTACGAACATATTGCAAAATGTTAAATATGCATATGTTATATATATTTTATTTTACAATTTTTTTTTTCACTGCATAATTGTATTTCTGTTTTGTCAAAGGTTGACTGGGAAAAAATGCTAGGTATATACTATCAAGTCCGCCTTTTGTACGAAACTTTTTTTTGTAAAGTGGTCAATAAAGAAAAAATAAATCATTAATAATGAAAATTAACTTTTGAAAATAATTTAAACGGCGAAACCATTATTTATTATAAACATTTGTGGAAGAGTACATCTTTTTTCTAATAAATAACCCTTATTTCCTTACTATTACCCTTTATTACCCTTACTATATATCCTTATTTATTTAAAAAAAATTATTTTTATTTATAATATTTATTTTTATAAATGCGAAAGTGAGGTTATTTGTTTATTACCTGCAAGCGCCTTAACGGTTTAACCAAACCTTACGAAATTTTGATATACATGAACTATATAGAATGGAGAAGAATAAAGGCTACTTTTTATCTCGGTCAGTAAGCTTATCGGGGTCACGCGGACAAATACGCGTGTAAAAGTTCGTATTAAGTAAATAAAAAGTTTGTAACCCCATCAGCACAACCTAAACCTCGTGAATCATACAACAAGACAATAATAGGTAAGGAAATGATTGATAGCGTACAAAAATACTTCCGTATGTCAATGATTGATAATACTACGGTGTGTATAGACACTCAAGAAATTGCCACACCAAACAATGTGCTATAATTTCCGCTTAACAAAGCCGGCGGGCTGCAATTTGGCCTTGAATTTGGCGACATGACACGACAGACAGCGTGAACGGCAGGATCGGAACAAAATTGTGTTAGCACTCTATTTCTGTTTGGGGAGTCTAATTATAAAATACACTTTATAATAAACAGCTCAAGGAATAGTTTCGAAAAACCACTTGAATTAGTGTACTGGAAATGTTTGGATTAAATTTTTTGGTGTCCAATAAAAAGCGTGTCTCCTATAAGAACGACTTGTCATGATCACTGTTAGAAGTGGGAATAAATAATTAATTGTGATCTCACAAAAAAACTGAATTCAATTGTAACAAAACAATTTGATCTAAAAATTAAACTACAAAACGGATTTTAATAAAATTTCTATGGGACCAATTTGTAAGTATAGGATATACTTACAAATCGACAATAAAGTTTCTTGGATTAATTGACTTTCAGACAAAAAAGAATCTTTCATACCGGTTTAAAATGGACAGAGTTATGAGGTAAGGAAATTTAAGTTAAGAAGACTATTTTAATGTAACATTTAAAACACACGATCTAAATTAAATATGTATTTCCACGCCACCATGGTTGAATGCAGAGATTCTGTTTTTAACATTAAATACTTCTAATGTAATAAGTAAATATTCTATTAATATTAAAGCAAATAAAGTTAACATTCATTCATTCTAAAAAAAATATACTACTGGATTGAGAACCTCCGTCTTTTTAAAATCGATTGCAAAACCAAAAGCTTGATTGATTTAGCTACAAGTAGACTGTATCAGTCAGTGGTTACTGGACAATATTGTTATTGTTAGTTTAATTATTTGACTTATATTTGTTTTAAATCATCCTCAAAGCCTAACTGCAGTTGATAACCCGCTAGCCATGTGTAGTAACTACTGGTAAACCCCACTTTATAGGAGAAGGGCTATGTTCAGCAGTGGACAGTTAACGGCTGTTAAGTTGGTGATGACAATAATTTATTTAAAAAAAATAATTATGGCAGTTTAGTAGTATAGTTTAGTTTTTTAGTAGTTTAGTTTTTTTTAGTTTCGGTTTTAAGAATCTTTAAAGTTGGCAAGATTCTCAGTTCGTATATATTTATATATAAGTATTTTCTATGTAGTTTGGTATGTTACGCGATATCTTCTATAACTCTGATCGATTTTGATAATTGTTTAAGGGTTTCATCCCATATTGATCTCTTAGATACTTTTGGAACTACATAGAAGCGGGCAACTCCGCGGGAAACGGATAGTATACAAAAAAAATCAATTTTATTAGCAAATAGTGTTTAAGTTTTTTTTTTTTAACTCACCGCAATGTCGGATGGACGCAGCCAGGCATAGCAGCAAGATCCTGGGCTGTGCGATCACATGCCAGATGGTGACCTGAGGCATCTTCTTGCCTGACTCCAGGCCGGCATCTCCTGATTTATTGTTGCCCACACCTGCACAAATTATAAACTCTAATTATTTTTTTTTTATTGGTGTCAATGGAATGGTAAACCTGACTTGGCTATCAGTATAGACTGTTTGGATACCATTAAGCGATGATAGTCGTGAAGCCATGTTAACCAATTCACCAGGAATTAACCATGATTATTATTATTTATTTATTTGTTTCAAGTAAACAGTTACATAGACAATACATATTCTTAGTGCTGCGGAACTGCTTTGCAGTTTGTCTGAAACTTACATTAGTGAGACTGCGTGAAGGTCGATGGGCTCAGTCCCATATCCTATATTTTAATATCAATTGGTAAAAGTAAAAATTGGCGTGTGGTTCCACCATAGAATGGGATATCCCTTTCTATCTCGCGGGTGTCGTAAAATGTGACTAAAGGAACTTAATACTTGTGGAATGGACAGCAGCGTCCCTCTTAAAACATTATCAAGCCCTAACGGTGGTTGTCATTCCGCCTGCCAAACGTAGAAACTATAGACAAAATCTCTTCAATGGTCTGTGGAAAAGATCGGCCTCGTTCTAATGACGGTCTATGGGGGAGGCCTATGTCCAACAATGGACAGACAACGGCCGATATAATGATGATGATGATGATGATGAAAAAAATATAAGTTTTTTCTTTTTCTAGTCTGCTAATTGGCAATCTGTTCCCTGTAGAACAATAATCCAATCTGCTGTTTGGATGTCAGGTTTAAATCTTGTTAATAAATGATGAGGCCAATCCGTTAACCAGCTCTCAGTCTCTGTCTGTAAATCTTTCTACCAAGAAAAATACAAGTAGTTTGAAATACCTCTTTTTTTACCTATGCTTGGTAGCACAAGCTAGCAATGGGACTGGCCGCCATTTCGCTACTTACCTATTATTTTTTTTTTTTTTTTGTTGGGTGAAAATGGTATGGTAACCCCGCCTGCGCTAACGGGATACGCTGGCGGAGCACCAGTGAAGGGCGATAGATGAGAATGAAAACAGGCCAGTTAGCCAATCATGATGAATTCATCAAGAATTAACCATGATAGTTTCCAGGGAGAACCGCGAGAAGGTAGACCTGGTTGGTTATATTGCTAGCAATAGGATTCTCAGTCTCCATTACTAACAATCCCTTTCCCCCCCGCTACATACCTATTTTTTTTTTTTTGATGGGTGAAAATGGTATGGTGTCCCCGCCTGCGCTAACGGGATACGCTGGCGAAGCACCAATGAAGGGTGATTGATGAGAATGAAAACAGGCCAGTTAGCCCATCATGTTGAATTCATCAGGAATTAACCATGATAGTTTCCAGGGAGAACCGCGAGGAGGTCGACCTGGTTGGGTATATTGCTAGCAATGGGATTCTCAGTCTCCATTACTAACAATCCCATTCCCCCCAACTACTTACCTATTATGGAAGTGGATGAACACTTTCCATATATAAATTTTCATAAAATAAAAACAATATATTGTCTTTGTATAATTTAATAGTGGCACTGATGGTTGGCATCATTAATTTAATGCGGTATTTAGTAGTTTTTGCACAATGACAAAATATACATGCAAAGTTCATACAGACTTTCAGTTATATATATATATATATATATATATATATATATATATATATATATATATATATACTAAGGGTATATATATATATATAAGTACATATATATATATATATATATATATATATATATATATATATATATATATATATATATATATATATATATATATATAATTTATATTATTTGATTTAAAAATTAAACTACTGACACTAGAACACTAGACACTAGAAACTAAACAAGCACATGGCTCAACTAAGCTTATGCGGGGGGGAAGCAATTGTTAAGAATGGGAAGGTTAGTCCCCATTGCTATCAGTATACTATCATATTGGACTTTGTACAAAAATCGATTGCTTGAGTACCTCTGTCCTATTCGTGTTTCAACCGTAAAGCAGTTGTGTTTGCTGTGTTTCGGTTTGAAGGGTGGGATATGGCGTGAATTTACTGAATACAGAGGAATAACATCGGAGTCCTCAGGAATGGTAAAGCATGGGGGATATCATGGCCGAAACAGTATACTCTGTTATGTCCATGGTACTACTCATATCTATAGGTAACGGTTACCACTTTTCTTTAGGTAGGCCGTCAGCTTGTTTGCCATTCTAAGTTGTATAAAAAAATTAAAAAAAAAAACATAGTTTGTAAGAAAATTGTTACTAACAAAATGGACCAAATTGTAGTCTGAATAATAAAGTATATTATTATCATTATATTATTTGCTATTACATTATGTAAAAAAAAAATATTGTACATGACTTACCTTCTTCTCCAATAGTAGTTCTTGGCGGTTCGCGTAGTGTCAGGAAAGTGAAGAACGCGATGACCAAGCCAATGATACCTGCCCCGTAGTAACACACTCGCCAGCTCTGCGAATGGTCATGTGGACTTTAATTTTTTTAGCATTATTTATCGAGGGAGGGGGGGATTGTTAATAATGCGGACTAATAGTTCTATTGCTAGTAATATACCCTATCGGGTCGACCACCACGTGGTCCCAGCCTGGAAATCATCGTTTTAAATTCCAGGTATATTCATCACGATGGGCTATCTGAACTGCCTTCTCATTCTCATCAATCATCCCTCATTGGTGCCCAGACGGGAATATATCTCCTGTGATCGTCATTAATAAAGAAAACATTATTTAACAGTGATTTCCCTAATGGATGTGAATTCGGACTTCCTGTCTCGTCCTACAGTTTGACTGGGAGAGAATGCTATGAGCGTTAAATCCGTTATTAACTGACTTCAAAATGAGGGAAATCCTCAGATCGATTGTACTTTTTAGATTAGAATAAAATATAAAATATTTATTGACAGAAAGACACAGTTACAAAAGAAGTTACAGAAATATTATATGTAAGAAGTGTCTCGTATTAGGCGAAAGGAACCGGCTCAGCTGACGCTGTGAGTGTCCCAATGCAATGTGTACAGCTGCACAGCGCTGGTTCCAGTCAGTCAACACAACTGTAATTGCATGTTACAAGAATGTGCCGCTTTTTCATGTTTATTACTTCATAATTAACCGTCAGTTGTAAACCCACGTGAAAAATTGTTTTTTATTTGAAAGGATATACTTACAGATTGGTTCCATAATTTTTTTATCATAGTTTAATTTTATTTTAATTAATTATTTAAAACCAAATAATTTATATTGCCACAATTAAAGTTGGCTTTTTTGTGAAACCCAATCTTAATTATATATATATATATATATATATATATATATATATATATATATATATATATATATATATATATATATATATATATATATATATATATATGTACATATTTTTGTACTACTCATATCTAATTTATTTATTATATAGTTTTTTTTACAACACGGGGCAAACTAGCACGCGGCTCACTTGATGGTAAGTGACTACCGTCGCCCATGATCACCCACAACACCAACGATATTGTAGGTGTGCTGCTAGCCTTTTAAAAAGGAATATGTTCTTTTCTTGAAGATTGTGATGTCGTACCGTATTATTCTCATTATATAGTTTTATTTATTCTTATAAATATATAAAATAGTGACCTCGTCTGTGCTTTAAATTTACGCGGATAGGTTATTTGTGATTAATAAATGTAGTGTAGTAATCATAGTTAATTTCAGGTGAACTCGTCACGATATGCCAAGTGGCCTGACTTCATCCTAATTATTAATTTAATTAATTAATGGTTAGGAGAAGTCAGGCCACATATTAATTAATATCTTGTGCACTTAACTGCATCCTATCATCAAATTGTGAAAGAGAGTATTTTTAGTTCGAACCAAAAAGAAAATTTCATCTTAGGTACCTATTTGTCATTCTTGTAAAAAACTTAAACAAAAAACGCTTCGCGCGTTTTTTTAGTAGGTAAATATATATATTTTTATATATAAATGTTTTTGTGGAAGGCATATTATCAATTTTCCTTTATATATATTTTTAATTTTATTATTATTAAATTAGATATCCTAATTAACGTTTGAAAAGTTTATGGTTTTCCTAATTAATTAGAATTAAACCAATTACTTTAATGAATCAAATGTTCCAAAATTAAATGTGAACAAGATAATTTCGGTTTAGCCAAAGTGCTTAATAATTCACGAAAGTTTCAAGTATAATTCTGCTAATAAAATATTTTTCAAAGTGACAATAAACTGCTAACAACCCTACGTTCATTTTGGTAATTATTTATTTTTTATTTCGTTTGTTATTATTTCAACCACCTATTTAAAGTAATTTTATTGTTTTCTTTGTATTGTCATTATACATTATGTTATAAATAGATAGGTTTTTAAATAGATGGAAATAAATGGTTACCCTGTCTTAAAATTTAATGCATATTTTAATTTGATACGCCATCTATATGCTACTTCCAAAATGTACCTGTGTACGAAGTCGCAGGTAAAAGCTTTTTCAGAGATGTGGTGAGTGCCAAAGTGAATCCATGTCTCGGACATATGGCACCTCGAGGATATATCGTCTAGTTTTTGATGGGTACACTCCCATCTTACGGGGAGATTCCTACAGTACCCATTCACCCCCCACAAGGTGTATGGGTCTGCATAAAGCATTTTCCAAAAAAGGTAAAAGCTTTTTATAAAAATCAAAATTTTTACAAGGAAAAAAATCTTAATTGAACCATAAATAAGTCACTTACCAAACCCCATGCGTTGATATCAGGTATGTATCTTCCAACGGGGAAAGCAATTCCATATCCTCCATAAATTCCCCAGTTGAATATCGACAGTACCAACGCCCTCTGATGTTCCGGGAATAGATCTGTCAGTATGCCGGTGGCTAGTGGGTTGCATCCGGACTCTCCTGCGGCCATGATCATCCTTAGTACGACCAGGTGCCAGTACTCCGTAACAGTCCCCATGAGGAGTATGGCGATTGCGAAGACCAGGGTGCACACGGCGAGAACTCGAGCTCTGTTGTATCTGATGAAGGAAAGTATCATTAGAAGTAGTATAATTAGAAGATGTTTGTACGTAGAAGATATTTTAAAAAATGATGGAAGCCAAAATAATTTGTAGAAATTTTGGTGGTCATACACACACAAACTTAGTTGCAATTCTAGCATATAGTTTCGGAAATTCTGGTTTCCATAAAACATAGTAACTAATGTAAATACCATAACTTATCTGTCGTTAAATATCCATGCACCTACGTGTATCCAAACTCACATGAAACATTATATAATTAGATTAACCCTGTTCGCCGCATCATAACTGTAAAATAACTTGCTTTGACTTCCACGAGACAGGCTTTGCCTAGTTTGGGGTCATAACTACATATATTGTACCATAGGCTGTACGGAGGAACAACATCTGTTGTCCTCAGGATTAGCAACGCATAGGGGGTATGATGGGCGAAACCGTATACTCTGTTATGTCCATGGTACTGCTCATGTCTATATTTTGTTCAAGGATAAAAAAAAGGCTAATTTTGTTCAAAGAAATAAAGATATTCTTATTCTATTCTTATTCTTACATAGACCTCCCCGTTGGGGGGTTTTGTCAGTAGTTGCTACGTTTGGCAGGCGGGTTGACAATCGCAATCAGGCTTTGGTGGTGTTTTAAAAGGAACGTTGTTGCCCATCCCTCGATTATTAAGTTCCCTTAGTCGCCTCTTACGACACCTCCGGGAATAGAAGGAGTGGGCTATCCTATGCAGCGATTCCATGACTGTAGTAAGTAATGTAAATAAGTACCATAAAATCACACCAATTAACTGGCCCTCAAGTTAGGAAACCCTATGTTAAGAGAAACCAGGCAGCAAACATCTAGCAACACTACGTTTTTTCCTAATTTAGCCCGGCCGGAAATCTAATCCGGGACCTCATTTATGCAAAGCAACATGCCAATCATTGTACCACTGAGGTCATTGGGTAGCCACTATGATTGGTGTGGGGGAAGGGATTTGTAGTAATGGGGAGGTTAGTCCCCATTGCTATCAATATACCCTATCAAGCGGTTCCCCCTGCAACTATCGTGACTAATTTATCGTTGAATTCGTCACGATGGGACAACTGACTTGGTTTTACATCCTTACTCATCCTTTTTCATCCTCACTGGTGCCCTGCCAGTTTATACCGATAGCGCAGGCGGGGTTCCTATTTCATTATCGTCTATTAAAAAATCTATGGATGGAATAAGAGAAATGTTATTTCAACGGTTGGATGCACTGTGCCGGCTCACCAAATAAATTTTCACGGTACATTTGAAGGACCCAACTCCAAGGTTATAGGAACAAGGAAAAATATTATGGGAAAGGCCATGCCACAGACCATTGCGCCATCATAAACTACCTAATTTTTTTGTTTAGTGGCAATGCATGATGTGTGGCAAGAACAGCTCTGTATATTCTGCGATGTCTTAGGTCCCTATTTCTGTTATAAACGATGGTTACCACTTTCCAATAGAGTAGTTTTTTTATAACACAGAGGGCTATCGACAATGCGGTTCACCTGATGGTAAGCGACTATCGCCGCCAATGATCGCCCGCAACATTAGAGGCATTGCAGGTGTGCTGCTGGCCTTTTAAAAAGGAATATGCTCTTTCATTGCAGGTTATGATGTCGTATCGGTTTGGAAATACTGCTGCTGGAAGTTGATTCCAAAGAGTGGTTGTACAAGGAATAATGATAGATGCTTTAAAAAATGCACGGTGGAGGACCGCCACTCATCTAGATGGTTGGGACAGAACTTTAATTTGTGGCGGGTAGTACGGTGGTGAAAATCAGCAGCATTTATTTGTAAGCATTGTTGTCATTTTGAGTAGTACACTTGGCTATCAAAAACAATTTGGAAGGTAAACAGGTTGACGGTCTACATGATGGGAACTGACAGTACACGTCCGTAACGTGTCGAATACACTAACCTCCAAAATTGCCCAACCGATTTCAATGCTATAATCCAACTTCTCAAGGTTGACCTGGAGAAATTCCTTTAAGAGATGAGCCCATCTGTATATTACCTCATTTTGTTTTATAAACAATCTGTATTAAACGTGTGCATTCACTTAAAGCTTATACGAACAAATAGGATAGTTTTAAATCCGATAAGTGGTGCTGTTGTCGAGATCTTGTATCCATACGAAGCCGGGGCAGGCAGCTAGTACGTTATAATCATTAAAAAATACTCACTTATCAGCAACCACGCCTAGTATGACTCCTACAACTGTGAAGACAGCCATGAAAGCCGGTCCAGCCAAAATCTGATAGTCTATGCCGAGGCCATTGTATCCCCATTCGCAGTACCTCGTTCCATTCAGGGTTAGCGCCTCACATCTGAAAACAAATATATAATTGTCATATCTATATATTAAATATTGTTTGTAAGAGGAAAGGTACTGTTGGTATTAAATTATTCATCAGTTAATATCATCAGATCTTGAGTATCATGTCTATTTCATGTGGTCTCTCTGGAAATCGTAGTAGTTAATTACAAGTGAATTAATCATAATGGACCAACTAACATGTCTCTTTCCTCAGTTTGTTTAGAACCTCTTACTGGTACCCCGCCAGCATGTCCCATTTTCAGTTTTTAGTTTTTAGTTATTTTTTAATATATATATATATATATATATATATATATATATATATATATATATATATATATATATATATATATATATATATATATATATATATATATATATATATATATATATATACATATTAATTTTGGTATACAAGGTGATATCCTAGTGGTATTCTCATAATTCAAAACGTGGATTACAGTTTGTATAGATAGCGGAAATAATAGATATTGGTGGTGTAGGTCTAGTCTAACTTATCATATCAGGTAGACCGTGTTCTGTTGAAGACAGAAATCAAGATTCTCTGGAACTTAAGAGAATGGATGAGAAGATTATGAAAATGAATGAAGCAAAAGATGTACGTAAGACTAAGGATAGAGGCATTTGGTACTCGCTTCTGTATTTCGGTACATGTACCTAACTATGTGTTCGGTACAATAAATAAAATGAAATAGTCCCGGGATGTTTTTGTTTTAAACTATTCGAAGGTCACATTTTGCTAATTCGAAGGCTAATTATTTACGCAGCATTGTATCGACACAAGTGGCCTTATCACGCGACGATTTAAGAGTTAATTAATCAGAATAGTCTAAATTATTGTCCACGGAAGTTGGGAGTTTTTTTTTGTGTGACAAAGCAATAAGACAATGTACCTAATATTGTTATTAAATGCAAATAGCATAGTGAGCATATATCTTTATGCAAAAAATTATGTTACTTTTCTATGCATTATTTCTTAACCTCTATCGAATTCCTTTATTTATCGGGTCCGTTTGGTAAGAGACCTCTTTACAATTCTACCCTATAAAAGGAGGTTCTCAAGTTTTCATGTATATTTATTTGTTATCTTATATAAATATATTTTATCTATTCATTTTACAGTGTCTTTACAGTTTGTGATATCTGTAATCCTTTTGCTATAGAACAGCCGCATGTAAATGACTTTTTTCTATTTAAGACAAGATTTATTTCTATAAAGTGATCTGAACATAGTAAACCTCCCAATAGGGGAAAGACTGGGTCCAGGAGTAAGCAGTTAACGGCATAAGTACTTGTAAATGTTATACTGCAAATTTTATATTTCTTAGCCTGTGATCGACTCATCATTGCAAGATCTACCTCTATGCCTTTACGCATGTTTCCATAACCGGATCGTTTCTATTATCTTTTATTTTGCTAATTGTATTCAACATTATTGCTAATCAATGCTAAAATCATTCCATATATATTACACAGTTTCATGACTGCACGACTCAGTAAATGACTGTTTTATTGTATCCATAAACCTATTTATTTTTTATCTTGGGAGCATAAAATCCTTATTATATGTTTATATATATAATATGTTTATATATATAAACATATTATTTATGTTTAGGTCTATGTTTTTGTTTTTTTTTTTATACAACTTAGAATGGCAAACAAGCTGACGGCCCACTTGATAGAAATTGGTAACCGTCGTCTATAGACAGAGCAGTACCATGGACATAACAGAATATACTGTTTCGCCCATGATACCCCCCATGCGTTGCCATTCCTGAGGACTCAGGTGTTATTCCTCTTTACCCAGTAAATTCACGCCATATCCCTTCAAACCGAAACACAGCCATGCAAACACAACTGCTTCACGGTTGAAACACGAATGGGACAGAGGTACTCAAGCAATCGACTTTTGTACAAAGTCTCCCTCTTGTCAAAATATCTATCAAACTATTATTGTGTTTCTTAGAATATACAGATATTTTGTATCTATATTAGTATAGTGTTGTATTAACTGACTCTATACTTCATATAGTCTGTAATTTGATTGTCATTTTAATATTAACTGGTTCCCGTCTGTTTTGTTGCTTTTATCTTATTCCCTCTGCTTTTTCCATTGTGGATAAATTAATACTACTGCTACTGTCTCTTCTTTTTCATTTAAGAGTTTCCTCTTGTCGGTGCAACTAATTCGTGCATCTTCTTCCAGCCAGCTCTATCCCAGGCCATATCTTTGATCTCCCTATACGACATGACACCTAGTGTTTCTTTTATCTTGCCCGTGTAGTTATTCCTCGGTCTTCCTCTTCCTCTTTGCTACTGTCTATACATTTTTGTTTTGTTTTTGTTACATTACATAGTATCATCATCGTTATCATATCAGCCTTTAACTGTCCACTGCTGAACATAAGCCTTCCCTTCTAGGAGGGTTTGCCAGTAGTAGCCACGCTTGGCAAGTGGATTGGCAACCGCAGTTAGGCTTTGGAGATGTTTTAAGAGGGACGCTGCTGCTCATTCCTTGTCTTCATTTAGTCGCCTCTTACGACACCCACGAGAATGAACCCGGCATAGAATAGATGGGCTACCTATTCTATACCGGGACCACATGGACATTATAATAGTATGCTTTCAGATTATTTGTTTTGAGTTAATTATCGCCTCTTTATTATTCCATTGTTGTGGCATTGCATGGGCGTCACAGTATATTCATTGTAAAACAACCATGTATTGTTTATATAGAAAATAATATCTACTTTCTATCAAGTAATATGACTAGTATTTCATACAGTTTTGTTCACGTCGTCCGTATATTGAAAAGATATACGGATCTTTTAGATCCTAAAAACCCTTTCAAAATCTTAGAAGGCATTTCAACGTTTACTCGTATAAATGGAAATATTTTATGTGTACGCATATCGCAAAACGTGCATGGGCTAAATGGCGGTCAGAGATAGCTAATATGGAAGGTTGTAGAACTTCTGATAATAATAATAGTGGTCAATCTTTGAGTGTTGGCAGTCGCACACATATCAATGGTAATGGAATTAAACAAAATAATTCAAATAAATATAGACTTCTGCAAAATTACATCTAGTTCAGTAAAATAACGTATTTACGTTATGTACCTATGCATTTTTTGATCGATTCGCAATTTTAAATCTTTTTGTCGACTATAGGTATAATGTAGATGGATATTTTAATATAAACTAGATTCCTTTCCGTATCTTTTTTAACCTGGTAGCAATGAAAAGGCTATGTTTTGCGTTTGTGAGTTAACGACGTGACTAAATTGCAGTTAGGTACTTATTTACTCAATTTAATTTGTTATTTTATCATATTACTTTACTAGCGACCCGTCCCGGCTTTGCACAGGTAGATAATATAGAAATCTTTGAAAAAAAAATTTATATAATTCATAATTCACAAATACTACAAGTATAATGCTACAGCTTTCTATAAGTGAAAGAATTTAAAAAATTGGTTAAGCATTTTTTAAGTTTATCCATTACAAGCAAAAAATAAAGTTTATCAGATTTAGACGACTAGCTCTTAATCACGACTTCGTCCGCTTATTTACGATATTTAAATTACCTGATAAGACAATATTACAAGAAATGACAAAAAAGGTCAGCTGTCAATTTTGTATAAATGGTTCGTTTTGCGACTCACGTTTCTTTAAGAAAAATATTGTGTCACGTAGAATATACTCTTAAATAAATGCTAATAGATTACTAAGTAATTATAAAGCGATAAAATGAAACCAAATTTTCACCCCGTAATTCTATCGTTATGTAACAATTACCAGGATCAACATACATAAACTAATCATACCAAGGGGAAAAAAGTTTATGGAGGTTAAACCTCATTGCTAGCAATATATCCTGTCCGGTCGACTTCCACGCGGTCCTTCGACTTTACTACGTTACTCTAACTGACCTGATTTCATCCTCTTCACCGTATCCTCCTCCAATGAAGCCCCGACATTGTTTATCGTTAGGACAAGCAGGTGCATTTATTTCATCTTCATCATCACCATTAAAAAAAACTCACCAGTCATTATTTACTATTCATTGTAAACCACAATGTGAGTACTTAGGAACAAAGTAAAGGGTAAGGGCCTTGATACAATCCTTTGGCCTTCGTAATCCAAGATCAAGTCATCGTGAATGACTAAGCTGAAATCTAATTAGCCTATTGCCTAAATAGATGTAATTTTACGCGTATCAGCTCACAATAATTGTTTACATTTGCTGCGTACTTCAGTTAAATCTGAACTTAATTTATATCATATTTACGTAATGGCCCTGTGGTCCCAGTATAAAATAGGCCACCCCTTCCTTTTCCGTACGTGTAGTAAGAGGCGACTAAGGGACGAGAGATGGACAGCAACAGTTTTGAAATATAGACTTTGACATACTTGTTCGATGTTACCTTTTGTCTTCATGTCCTTCATTATTCTAATAAAAACACATATGCACACATACACATGCACATATATACACATAATTCTCTCTGAACAATTTTTTTCTTTCTAATAAGCAATTTATATACTTGACGATTTACAACAATTACCCATATTTAGAACTAACAAAATTTTTCATCGTGCCTCCCACCAAATTGTTTATAATTACTCCTCTCCATTCAAAGGTTGCCTGGAAGAGATCGCTCTTAGCGATGAGGTCGCCCATTGTTTTCTCATTGTGATTATTTCTTGTAATTATTTATATTTATAATAAGTTTACTATTGTAATCTTTTGGAGGAAACAATAAAGAGTATCTATCTATCTATCTATATGTTTATAAGATTAATAAATAGCAAAAAAATATTTTTTAAAAATACTTTGTTTAATTTTCTGTCTGTTTAAAGACTGTTTGTTTTCGCATCAAGCAAAGGCTGCTGCATCAAAATGAATGCGCTTTTCAGTTATATTAAAAAAAAATCTGGTGTATATTTTATCTTGATACGCCATCGAGAAGTGATCCGTTACTTACAGATGGCGTATAAAGATAAAACATACGCCAAATTTTAAATTACATCTTCAGGAACACGACTGTGTAAACTGTATCTTTTTTTTTAAGTGTATAATTGTTTATGTTTAAGTTATAATTATTATTGATATGCGCCAAATAAATATTTTCCTTTCTTTCTTTCTTTTTTATTCTGTTTTTTTTTTTTTTAATGAATGATAATAGAATGATAACCTCGCTTGCGTTATCAGTATATATTGGCGGGGCATCAGTGAGGGATGATAGGTAAGGATAAAGCAGCAGCAGCGTTTATCGCATGATTACGGAACAAACATACAGACAGACAAATCAAATTTTAATAATTAAAAAGTAGGATACTTTTGAAAACTAAGCATTTGAAGTAGCTGCCAAGTAGCTTGTACTACACGTATTTTATTATAAAAGAAACATAAGCGGCAGCTTCTGTAATAACAGTTTCCAATATTAATTGGTCTCAATGAAACTGTCAAATGAATCACTTTATAAATAACCGTCACAATGAAGAATAACCTAGTAAGAAATAAACATTTAACGTTTGAAATGTATGATGAGTTTAAACCTCAAATGACCAGAGGGTCACTATCATTACAATAATTTACTAATTGGACATTTAATTAACCTACAGGATTCTATTTACCTTTTCTCATTTCTTTTACTGGTGTAATGTGATTTTTTAACGTACTCGTTTCTGGATAATCCACGTCTTGTTTACAAAAAATGCTGTAATATTATTGTATATACTCGTATAATAACTTTAAATATCACCGAAACCTTTTTTTTATATAACTTTAAATGGCAAACAAGCTGACGGCCCAACTGATGAAAAGTGGTAACAGTGGTAACTTATGAACATTATAATAGAAGGTAAGATAGAAGGAAGGAGGGGAAGAGGGAGACCGAGACATAGTTACATCAGGCAGATCAAGGAAGGAGTTGGTGTCGTGTCGTATCAAGAGGTGAAGAGACTCGCTGAAAATCGTAGTGAGTGGCAAGAGCTCCACCGACAAGAGCGCAGCTCTTAAATGGATAGATAGATAGTTAGACCACATTATCAATAATAAAAAAATTAAAAAAATATATCAAATATCCACTACATTATATTCTAATTGATTTTTTTTTTATTTTAACGTCTCAGTTGCTATTTTTAAAATGCAACTGAGACATTGTTAAAACTAAGACGGTCACTTAGTAAACTAGGTCGCATCTGTCTCTCTCAATGTGGCCATTATTATTTCCATACAAGTTAACTAAGAATACAGTTACAACTTATCTAAGAATACAGTTTTTTTTTTTTTTTTATTAACATTAGACTTATTTGAAAACGTGTACTTACATAATTAAAACCGCGTTTACAGCTCGAGCTGCGTTTAAGTTAAATATTTTTAATGACTAAACTGTGACCGGTTTTGAATAAGTAGGTTTTGAACAGGTTTTCTTGTTTAGCGATAAAAAAATGTATTTGACACTTGCCAACAAAATATAACAAAGGTAATTAAATGTTAAAATAATAGACAATAATTTATTATTAATATATTATGAAAAATTATAACATGTCTCAAGGTTAAATAGGATAAAGAATGTATCTAAGTTAGTATGGAGATCTGAATGGAATTTTGGGTAAAAGGTAGTTCAAATATGCTTACAATGTATCCAACCTGACGACTCGTCTGATGGAGGGTGCTATCAGTCGTTAACTATACACATGAAATGCGCCATGGAAATCGCCATGAGGACTAACATGTAGATAAGGAAGTCGATAACGTGGCGCGTTCTCTGAACCATTAAAATTAAAATGCCAGTTTGACCAATGATCTTGATCTTATCTTTATTGTAAGGACCAATATAAACTAATTTTCTAATAGATTTTAACCAATATTATTATAATTTTAAATTATAATAATCCATAAAATAGTATCTTCGTGAAATCTTCAAATTAAAATATTACATTAAGACATAGTTTTAAAGAATCGGTGACTCTGAATCTGCCTCAGTAACTAAACCAGACTTTGTACAAAAGTCGTTTGTTTGGATACCTCTGTCCCATTCGTGTTTCTACCGTGAAGCAGTTGTGTTTGCATAGTTGAATTTCGGTTTGAAGGGTGCGATATAGCAGTGAATTTACAGGGTACAGAGGAATGATACCTTAGTCCTTAGGAATGGTAATGCACTGGAGGTATCATGGGCGAAACAGTACACTCTGTTATGTCCATGGTACTACTCATGTCTATAGGCGACAGTTACCACTTCTCCATCAGGTGGGTCATCAGCTTGTTTGCCATTCTAAGTTGCAAAAAAAAAGAAACTAGGTTATAGTCATTGCCCAATTGTGGGATGGGCACGCCTCCCCGTCCCCCTTTTAAACACGTATATGCACATGAATGGTAAAGACTAATACTCCATTAAAAGGTGCAATGCCTCTGGTGTTGAAGTTAATCATGAGCGACAGAAGTCACTTACTATCAGGTGAGCCGCATTCTTAATTTCCCCACTGTATTATAAAAAAGGGCGCTAACAATATTTATTTCTCTCTGCGATATATGTACAGGCTTAAAACTTGTCTTACGTTTCTGAAGAGTTAACCTTCTCGCAGACGACTGGGAGCTGGCTCAGGGTCAGGTGTGTAGCGTTCAGCATGCACGACTTGTCGCCGTAGTGGAGATCGTCCGCGGTCACTTTGGATGTAGTGCCTGGGGATAAAATGTTGGAGTTTAATTAACGTTTGTTATATTATGGCTATTATAAGTATACTATAAAAGATGAATAGCTACCTTTTGGCTTAGCATCAGGGCTGGGCAGTATTTTAATTATTTGTAATAAAAAAAAAACGCACAAAAAAAGTACTTGGCTTTATGTATTTTTTTAATCATTTATGTTATCTCATTTTTTATGTATACCTATTTATGTTATAATTTGTGTGCTGTAAGTAATGCAAATAAATTATCTATCTATCTATCTAATATATATAATTGAAATACCATTCTTGAGGACTTAGGGGTTATTCCTCTGTACACACACATGCAATCACAACTGCTTTACGATTAAAACACGAATAGGACAGAGGTGCGCAAGCAAATGACTTTTGTACAAAGAAATAGGTAGGTAGGTACTGGTAGAAATAGACAAAATAAATTAAAAATAAAAAAAAAAACATTGTTTTGACTTCCGTTGCTTCTGCTTAAATCAATTTTTTGTGTTGTGTCAAAGATTGACTGGGAGAGAATGCTATACAAGTATAGCATTAATTCTGCCTTATGTACTAGACATTTGTTGTAAAGTGTTTAATAAAGAATAAGTAAACATTTTTTTTTCTCTTTAAACACATGCGACAAACATGTTAAATACATAGAAATGCTGCTCACCATCGGATGGTACGTACTTACCAATTTATTGTAACATATAGACATGTTGTTTTATATTTATAACAACCAGGTGATGGACTAAAAATACTGTATTGATTAACTCCAGTTAAACCGGCTTGACATTTAGAAGTAGGACACGTATGTGTCGCACTTGTTATGCACATATTTTTATGATAATATAAGCATTTTTTTTTAATTATTATATAGATTATCGTACTTATTTAAAAAAAAAAAATTAACTACACGATGTCTGTCCATGGGAGATATTTAAAAGCAAAGCAAAAAATGAGAGGTCCAAATAAGAAAGATAGAAGGCAAAATAATTTTTTAGGAATTTTATAGTACTATTGGTGCTTGTGTATGTGTATATTTGTTTTGGCATCAAACAATTTTTACTGAACCAATTTAGATGCAGTTTCTGAAGGTTTAACTCGAAATATGGTGTATTTCATCTTGGTACGCCATCTGTATGCATCTGTATCATGCATTCGATGTAAATATATAATAAGTAAATAAAATATATACATATATAATCATAACGTGAGTATTTTTTACGTATAATTATGTACCTTAGATTGCATGGTTTATAAGAGATAAATGTATATTACAAAGTCATAGTTATTATGTGCAGAAACCGTCTGTATAGGGACACGATTTGTGTATTGTGGTACAAGGATTGTGGGTAGGAGTAAAAATTCTGCCTCAGAAGCGGAGAAATGACAGCGCTACATTAGTCTACTCGTGACCACGGCCGGTGTAACATGGTCGAAACGTCGAGATAATTCAGATAAATTATCGTAGTTTCCCTTAATGCACACATTAATTCCCGTCTCTTATAAACCATATATTAGTAATACTTGTAATATTATATTTTTTATAATTAATCTTTCAAAAAGTTCCGTTATAAAAATTAAAAAAAAAAAAAGCAACAGCTGAGTTTCTCGTCCGTACTTCTTGACTGAAATTGTGTTCCGATTGAGCGGCAATGAAAAAAATGACTATTAAAAATTTAAATATAAAATTTATACGAATAAAAATATTTCTTTCTTTCTTTCAATACAATCTCTGTTTAGTTTGGCAATAGATGGCGCGGTGTATTATCTCCAATTGTACTTATTTATTCTTGTTAATTTATTTATAAATGATACAGGTGCGTGTATACATATGTTTTGTATTACTCGTAATGTCTCTCAATCCATCATTCATCTACTTAATGAACAGTCAAAATGTTGAATAAATTAACTTATTGTTTTTTATTTAATTTACGATTGATGACTCTACATCATAATTATTTTTTTATTATTATTACCATATTAGCTGTTGATTGTCCATAGCAGAACATAGACCTCCTCCATAGTATTGCCAGTAGTTGCCACGCTTGGCAGGTGGGTTGGTAACCGTAGTTAGGCTTTTGTGATGTTTAAAGAGGAATGCTGCTGCTCATGCCTCGACCATTAACTCTCTGTTAGTCTCGGTATAGAATTGATCTCATGCAGAATAGGCTCACGGGGACCACACAGTCATTGTTATCAATAATATAATACATGCCAAATGTTGAGACTAAATTTTATAGGCGTTTGTATTATATAAAAAATATAATGTTTTTTTTTTGTTATTATCAAGTGTTACTATATAATTTACATGGTACATTAAGTAATCTGTTTACATCTTTGTAATATCACGCAAAGCCTCTTACGGGGTATGTAGAATTTGCATGAATTTGCATGCCTACAATTTTAAGGCAATTAAACAGATGCCAAAAACTTCTGTTACACAGCCTTTATTATATTAAATAACTGTATAAAACAAATAAATATCTCATTTCATTTCTCATCTCATATATTACTTATTTCTAAATACATAGTAGTAATGCGCGACTTTACTAATCCGACTACTAATTATTCGACTAAGCAAATCATTCGGATTATTCGGATTATTCGAATGATTTGATAATCATTTGACTAGTAATTTAATTGATCAGCTTACTAATGTCAACCGACTACTAATGTCGCCCGACTATTACTCGTAATATCATTCATTAGTAGCCGTTGATGTACTAATTGACACGAACATAGCCGAGTCGACCCGATCGTTGTTTTCTAATGGATAAGAGTGTTACCAATTTAAAAAGTTTCTACAGTTTTAAAAAATATTACAATTATTCGATAAAATTGACATTTCAGTATTTAGTGGCGTTTTTTTTTCGTCGTCGTTTTTACTAAGATGGTAATGTAGTAGTAATGGATGCAACATGTAATATAAAATTGACATTTGAATATTTAGTGGCGTTTTTTTTAATATTAAGTCGTCGTTTTTACTTAAGATGGTTTTAAATGTAGTAGTAAATTAACAATTCTTATGCATGTCGATTACAATTGAACTTAATAGTAAACAGATTGAGAGAAAGGACTCTGTTGTAATTAGTAACTAATTAGTAAAATCATTCGAATAAGGAAGTTAGTATTTTTTTACAACACAGGGGGTAAACGAGCATTCGGTTCACCTGATGATAAGTGACTACCGCCGCCCATGATCACTCATAACACCAACGGCATTGCAGGTGTGATGCCGGCCTTTTAAAAAGGAATATGCTCTTTTCTTGAAGGTTATAATGTCGTATCGGTTCGGAGATACTGCTGCTGGAAGTCGATTCCAAAGGGTTGTGCGTGGATGAAAGTGAATGTATATTACTAATTTAGTAGTCGAATTATAAAATTAGTAGTTACTAATTAAATTAATCGAATCACATAATCATTCGGATTCGCGCATCACTTAGACATAGTAATAAAGTTGTCTACAAACTCTCAATTTAATGTTTATGATTAATACGAGATTACTTTCTTGGAAGCGTGTTTTTCAGTCGGCTCCTGTTTGTATCATTCGATGGATTTATCTTCGTCATTCTTGATTACATCACGCACACGTTTGATACGTTTCATGTATTTATTATATACTCAAACCCAATAGCAGATATTTATGTTTTCTGTTTACTGTAATACCTGATCCATATGGATATTTATTTATTTATTTAACTCTTTATTGTACCAGAAAAAAAATTATACAATGACAATTGAATAATTCAAGTGAAATACGATATGATATGGAGTACGAATTATAATTATCATCGTCATCATATCAGTTCTTTACTATCCACCGCTGAACATAGCTTCCTCATAAATTAAATACCCCCTTATTTACCAGTAGTGTCAACGCCTGGCGGTGTTTTTTTTTTGATGGGTGAAAATGGTATGGTAACCCCGCCTGCGCTAATGGGATACGCTGGCGGAGCACCAGTGAAGGGTGATAGATGAGAATGAAAACAGGCCAGTTAGCCCATCATGATGAATTGATCAGGAATTAACTATGATAGTTTCCAGGGTGAACCGCAAGGAGGTCGATCTGGTTGGGTATTTTGCTAGCAATGGGATTCTCAGTCTCCATTACTAACAATCCCTTTCCCCCCAACACGCCTGGCAGTTTGGTTGATATTTTAAGAGGGACGCTGCTGCCCATCTCTCCATCATAAGCTCCCTTAATTGTCTCTTACGACACCCACGGGAAAGAAAGGGGTGGCTTATTCTTGCCGAGACCTACACAGCTTAAACCTCAAACCGAAATACCGTCATATATTATTATTTTTATTTTCTCTTACTATTACTTTATTTTGCATTTATTTCTATTGGATATAAAGATTTTTCCATATTTATTTATTTATTTTTATTTATTTATTTATTTACACTTTATTGTACACAAAAATTACATAGAGTCTATATTAATTGAAGATATACTACAGGCGAGCTTAACTCTGTAAGAGTTTTCTTCCAGCAAATTTATATATTATATTTATGTATGAAAAAGTTGGATGTGGCGTGAATTTACAGGATACAGAGGAATAACAACTGAGTCCTCAGGAATGGCAACGCATGGGGGTATCATGGGCAAAACAGTATACTCTGTTATTTCCATGGTACTGCTCATGTCTATAGGCGACGGTTACCACTTTCCATCAGGTGGGTCATCAGCTTGTTTGCCATTCTAAGTTGTATAAAAAAAAACATTATACATATATATAATTGAGATGTAGAAGAAAGGTTTGCTGAAAGAAATCTCTTATTAGAGATAAGCTCGCCTTTGTACATTATGTTTAAAATTAATTGTTCTTAACATTGTGTTTTGTGTACAATCAAGAATAAAAAATGTTGTATACTTTTGACGATTTATTTGTACAGATATATGACATACGAAGACAAATATATACAAAGAATTCTCTTTCGTCTACTCTGGCCTTTACTATCACTTCACTAGAAGATGTATTTAAGTATATAGAGAAATAATTGTAACATTTATAGGAAAAAATAACGTAATTCTGTAACGTAATTAACGTAACGTAACGTCTGTATTATAGCCGCCCTAAATCTATCACATTAAAAAATAAAAGCCGGCCAAGGGCGAGTCGGACTCGCGCTACGAGGGTTCCGTACAAAATCATCAAGTCTAAAAACTTTTTTTTTGTAAAATAGCTACAAGTTTACAGTTTTCGGATTTTTTCCTTTACTTGTGCTACATGACGTTGCTTCTTGTCAAATTTCATGATTCTAGGTCAACGGGAAGTACCCTATAGGTTTTGATTCCCTTTGCGAATGTCAAAATATGCATATATAAATGAAACATAAACGGTCGTATCTTTTGATTGCGTCGATTTAGAAGCTTGATTTTTTCACTGCTTTAAGAGATTGCAGATCTGAGTATATGATATTAATTTCAACTTTATACCTCCACGCGTTCCTAAGAAAAGGGGTCTTGACAGACGGACAGATGGACGAACAACGAAGTGATCTTATAAGGGTTCGGTTTTTCCTATAGAGGTATGGAACCCTAAGAAACAAAGGTAAACCGGTATTATTATTAGCATTCAATCAAATTAAGTCAATCGAGTATGACTCGTTTAGTTTTTGCATTCTAATGTTAACCTTGACATTGCTCGTCGACTAATCTTACGTAATTACTCAAGCATTAAAAAAATAGCAATGAATTTTTTACTGTCAGATATTTGTATTAAAAATAATCAATGGGCATACTGGCAAAACTTGTTTTGCTATGCAAATATGTGGGCTTCACGTGATTTTTATTATAGATAAAGGATACCATTTTTTATTAATTTATTCACTAGCTTTTACCTGCGACTTCGTCTGCGTGACCGGAATATCATTGAGGTAAAAATTTGCCTATGTCCTTCTTCATCCCTAATAGTATATGTATACCAAATTTCATAGTGACTAGTTAAGTAATAAACTCACTTTTACTTTTATTATATAAGAAATACCAAGAATACTTAACTCACAATACATGTATTGATATAATAATGTAGATGTTCAGTAACATATTGTAAAACTCCGGAGATAGCCTGGAGATCAGGATCTGGAGACAAGTGGTACAGGTTTCGACCTAGTTCAGACTCCAGACTCTCACAAGGATAATAATTTTAAGTTAAAATACTAAATAGTCACACAATGTAATATATTCCTTGTGAGTAGTAAATAAAGATTATTTATTATTTATTTATACGCTTTTGTACATTCACATATAGTATAGATATTATGTTATAACAAAAATGTACACAGGCGAACTCATCCCTTAAAGGGATTTCTTCCAGACAACCATGAGAACCCGAAAGTATTGTATATAAAGCATAACATATACGGGGCAAAAATAATACGATAAATAATAATTTATTAGTAGCTATATAATTAGTAATCAGGATTATTAATTCTGATAGCTATTTTTTTGATGGGTGAAAATAGTATGGTAACCCCGCCTGCGCTAACGGGCTACGCTGACGGAGCACCAGTGGAGGGTGATAGATGAGAATGAAAACAGATCAGTTAGCCCATCATGATAAATTCATCACGAATTTATCATGATAGTTTCTAGGAGGAACCGCGAGGAGGTCGACCTGGTTGGGTATATTGCTAGCAAAGGGATTCTCAGTCTTTATTACTAACAATCCCTTTCCCCCCTGTAAGACGGCTTTAGTACATATAGAATGTACGTGTATAAAGTGGACTTAAAAGCTAAAAGCATTCTCTCTAGGTCGACTACCTTAGGGAAGTTATAAGAAATTCGAATGCGACACTGAATTTTATTTGACTAGTCCTATTATGCAGGGTGTCAGCCCTAGATTTGATTCTACAAAAATGACCCAATATTTTTGAACTGGCGTGATTTTCGGAAGGTATAAAATTGTATTAATCTCGTAATGGGTGGCTTTTATCACGTAATAGCGGTTGAAAGCTTACTATTCAATAAAATTGGGAACAATTCTTAGAAATATTTTATGGGAAATATAGGAAAGCCATAGGCGAAATACAATTTTGACAATATCTATGAAGTAAAGTAAAAGTAAATATGTATTTATTATTGAAGTATGTTTGTGCAAGTACAAACTTTAATTTATTGATTCCTAGGCTGTGAATGTCCTGTAGGAAACAAGAATCGCAAGAAATAGGGCGTCAAGAAACAGTAATAAACCTATATTTGTTTATTTCTTATTGCATTCCATAATATAGTTGGTAAACATTGAAACAGGTTTCATTATAGACCCTTTTGGGCACAGCAACTGGAAGAGAGAAGGACTACCTTTACTTTATAAAATAGTTAATGATTTTAAGACAATATTATTATTTACCAGAGGGAGACTTTATATAAAAGCAGTTGTGTTTGCATGGCTGTGTTTCGGTTTTGAAGGGTGGGATATGGCAGTGAATTTACAAGGTACAAAGGAATAACAACTGAGTCTTCAGAAATGGATACGCATGTGGGAGATTATAGGCGAAACAGTATACTCTGTTATGTCCATGGTACTGCTCATGTCTATAGGCGACGATTACCACTTTCCATCAGGTGGGCCGTCAGCTTGTTTGCCATTCTAAGTTGTATAAAAAAAAAAATATGTATAATACATACTTTTCGCCTCGCACTGTGAAGCTGTGATGCAATTTGAAAGATGGAGAACTGTTGTTCTCAAGAGTTCAATACACATATACATATACGAGTATTACACGTTATTATGGTGGTGAAAATACTAATGGGGATGCTGAGGTGTATATGTTGATAATGATGACTTCATTATGTATCATTGTAATACATACACATCATTCACTAACTTGACCTCTACCGCAGTTGCTAATTTGTCAGAAGTTATTATTACCATATTTGAAAATTAAGTTAATTAGTACCAAAACTCAAACACGTTAATTTCCTTAAAATAACAATAATTAGGACTTTATTTTTTATACAACTTAGAATGGCAAACAAGCTGACGGCCCACCTGATGGAAAGTGGTAACCGTCGCCTATAGACATGAGCAGTATCATGGACATAACAGAGTATACTGTTTCGCTCATGATACCCCCCATGCGTTGCCATTCCTGAGGACTCAGGTGTTATTCCTCTGTACCCAGTAAATTCACGTCATATCCCACCCTTCAAATCGGAACACAGCTATGCAAACACAACTGCTTCACGGTTGAAACACGAATGGGACAGAGGTACCCAAGCAATCGACTTTTGTACAAAGTCTCCCTCTGGTAAAATGGTCCAGACATTATAATAGTTGTTAATTGTTGCTAAAGAGGTCTCTTTTATAGACTGTTAATAATAGAATAACGCACATAAGGAATGTTTCTGAACCTATTTGCACCTAATCCATATTTATTTATTTACTGCCGATCCGAGACGGCTTCGCACGAACAGAATTTTCGGAAATCAATGCACACAATAAAAAAAAATTTCAGCTAAATTCGACTAATCGGTTATTTTATAGCATTTTATTGTAGTGATTCTTTAGATTGATATAACTTTTTTATTTATCAACCGATTGATATAAAATAAACACTAAATGTTAGGTGGAGCAAACCGCAATGCATTAGTGAAAGCCGCATTTAAATCGATTAACCCGTTTCTGAGATTAGCGTGCACAAACAGAAATACAAACAAACAGATAAAAATCCTAAAAATCATTATTATGCGTTCTATTGCGTTCATAAAGCCCCCCTAAAATAGTTTTTCTTATATATCTTCCATGTACAGACAGCGACCAGTTACGATTTTATTATATGTATTGATTGATTGATTAAGAAGACTAACAAAAGCTTTTCTAAAAATGACAATAAATATAAATTGTAATAAGATCGGTTTCCGTGCATAATTATGGATTATAAAATAGCATAGAATGGGTCATACCTTCCATCCTCGTGGAAGTCGTAAAAGGCGACCAAGAGAACTGAATGGTAGAGGGATGGTAGTAATGTCCCTCTTGACACATCACCAAAATATATTTTCAGTTCATTTACATATATATATATATATATATATATATATATATATATATATATATATATATATATATATATATATATATATATATATATATATATATATATATATATATATATATATATATATATTCTGTTATACTTACCAATAAGGTAGTGCCCCAGTTCGCCGAGGATGTACCCGACTGACACCAGTCCCAGCACGTACCACTTATACACGTTCTGCAGCTTCGCCCAAATACCACCTTGAAACATTGTGATTTATTCTGGAACAAATGAAAAATAAAGATTAACTGTTGTTACGCTACACAGAAGGGTAAAGGAACACTTTTATTTTTCATTACAGCCAGTAACTGTTTTTTGCTGATAAAGGGGTTCTGTTTTCCCTATAAAGGGGGATTTGCCAATAGTTGTCACGGTTGGAAGGCGGATTGGCATCCGCAGTTAGGGTTTTAGTGATGTTTTAAAAGGGACGTTGCTGCCCAGTCCTCCACTGTTAAGTTCCCTTAGTCGCCTCTTACGACATCCACGGAAAGCAGGTGCCGGCCCATTCTATATCAAAACTACAAGGCAAGACGCTCTTTTAGAGTGTGATTAATATGTAAAATATCTTATACACCTTAGGAATAATTTATGTAAAGTATAAATAACAGCCGTGTGGTCCCGGCATAGAATAGGCCACCCCTTCCTTTGCCATGAGTGTCGTAAGAGATGACTAAGGGAGGACGAGGGATGGGCAGCAGCGTCTCTCTTTAAACATCTCTAAAGCTTAACTGCGGTTGCCAATCCGCTTGCCAAACATGGCAACTACTGGTAAACCCTCCAAAGGGGAGGCTTATGTTCAACAGTGGACGATTAAAGGCTAATATGATGACGATGATAGTAATGAACAATTTTGTAAGTTACTACTGACTTCTATAGCTATTAAATATATATTATGTAGCTATTAAATATATATACCTAATAATGTGTATGTTCATTTATTTAATTTTTTGTATAATTTGAATATGCCCTTTTATGTGTACACTTTTGTACATCAAGCCGGAAAACGGCGTTAGCATTACATCTTCTCTCGACCGTAACAACCTTTGACGGCATCCCCAATTTGCGTCCAAAGCCACCAATTTTCCCGTCACACATAGTTCTATTTTTGGCAAAGTAGTAGCGTAACAAACATTTACAATGACCCAAATATGAACAATGACGTAATTAAGTGCAGCGCACTGACGTTGCGTGTCTGTCCGCGCTATTGTATTGTCGCTATTAATTCATGATGTATTTTAATCTAGCCACAACGTGACTTCTGCGGTTTCTGTTACCCTGGTATTAATTTCGATATTATTTAAATTGAATTTTAATTAAATACTGTCTTTGTCTGCGTGAGCGAGACAAAAAGTAGCTTATTTATTTATTTATTTAAATAAGAATTTTAATGCACTTATATAAGTGTAGGCGGTTTTTGAATAGAGGAAAAATAAAGCAATACTTGATTTCTTGAGCTTATGTCCTTCTTTATCCCATATAATACCTGTATATTTTTCATCCTGAGCCACTCAGGATAGGCGAGAGTGGAAACGGTTGGAGGAGGCCTTTGCCAAATGGTAAACAGATCTTCAAAAAATAAGTAAGAAACAATTATTAGAATAAGTTATGTTAAGTTTTTTTTTTAATTTTATGTTTGTTTTTAATGTACTAAGTTGATCTGAATAAAGGCTATATTATTATACTTTTCATAACAATTGATGAAGCTGTTAAAACGCTAAGAGGTAACAAAGAATTTTTTCCTTCTTTTCCCGTGGGTGTCGTAAGAGGTGATTAAGGATGGATAGCGTCTCTCTTAAAACATCACCAAAGCTTAACTGCGCCAAGCCGCCTGTCAAGCGTAGCGACAACCGGCAAACCCCCTCCCTTTAAGGGGGAGGTCTATATGCAGCAATGGATAATTAACTCCCGATATGAATCACCATCAGATGATGAACAAAATTTAGTGTTTATTTCACCATATCAAGTGCAAAAATAATATTCAAAATTAAATAAGTATTAACGAAGACAAAGCAACAAGATATAAGCAAATTAGAAAAACTCGCTACAGATAATGTTTAAAAAAAAATACATTCAATAAAACTGTCATAATACGGCGCCAAAATCACAAAATCAAAAATAGAACGTAAAAAAAAGTGGAACGTTCAACTCTGCAAGAGTTTTTACTTTTTAATAGACTAAAAACGAAAGAGGGTCTCAATTTAGTATTTTTTACATTTATTGCCTAAGAACTCCATCGTTTATAAACCGATTCGAAAATTTTACATGTACGAGTACACTTAGATTGCTCCTATAAAAATTTCATCAAAGTCGGTTCGGAAGTTTGATTTTTATATAAAACTAGCTTTTACCCGCGACTTCTTCCGTGTGAGCGGGATATATTTACTGATTGGGATAAGAAGTAACCTATATCTATCTCCATCGTGTATACCAAATTTCATAGTATTTGGTTAAGCCGTTAAGGCGCTGTAAGGTTACAAACAAACAAACTCACATTCACATTTATAATATTAACTGATTTTGACGTTCTTTATTTTGTAAAACAAAATCTTGTTATCAATCTATGCTGTACCACGCACACACACACGCACACACATACTCGTACACACAAGTACAAGCACACATACACGAGCACATTTCTTATCATAAACAGACACTTTTTCTTTTTTATGATATGTAATTTTTTTTTTGTATTATTGTGTAAAAGTAAAACAAAGAAAATAATTAATGCTGATTAAAAAAAAAAAAAGAAAATTGTAATGGTTATGAAATTTCATTATTGTTATGAAAGAGCTGTTTCTCCTAACACAAGCAATCTTTGCTTAACAGGAGATACCACACCCTGTAATGTAACTACCTTTGTATAAAGAAATAAATTTATTTATTATTATTATTATGCTGTCATTTAAAATTTGATCAAAAGACAAAAGACAGTTCTGTCTCTGTCTCCAATATATTCATCATCATGTTGACCTTTAACTGTCTACTACTGAATGTAGGTCTCTCCGTATTGGGGGGTTTGGCCAGTAGTTGCCACGTTTAGCAGGCGGGTTGGCAACTGCAGCTAGTCCTGGCGATGTTTAAATAGGAACTATTGTTGTCCATCACTTGACAATTAACTTCTCTTAGTCGCATCTTACGACAATCTCGGGGTCCATTCTATGCCGAGAACACACAGCAACCTATGATGGGTTTTTTTTTGATAAGTGAAAATGGTATGGTAACCCCGCCTGCGCTAACGGGATACGCTGGCGTAGCACCAGTGAAGGGTGATAGATGAGAATGAAAGCAGGCCAGTTAGCCCATCATGTTGAATTCATCAGGAATTAACCATGATAGTTTGCAGGGGGAACCGCGAGGAAGTCGACCTGGTTGGGTATATTGTTAGCAGTGGGATTCTCAGTCTCCATTACTAACAATCCCTTTCCCCCCTGTAACCTATGATGGGTTAAAATTACTTAAAAGACATAATAGTCAAAGAGAGAGAGAGAGAGATAGCCTGTCCTCGTCTCCAATATTATAATACTATGACAATATTCACTCCTTGTTAATTGGAGATTACCATTTTAAACATCAATACTGGTGGCACGGTGACCCAATTACATACAATTATTCCTCGCCTTTCCTCCAAAACACCTTGACTTGGAACTCCACCGCATAATTCTTTATTCCATCTATAATTAAGATATCCATCTTCATTATTTAGTATTGATCACGTTTGGCATTGATAGAATGTTATTGCATTTCTATAATTATTGTTAGATAATTATGCAAAACTTATTATTGGAAGGTTTTGCCGGTCGATGCCCTTTTGCTGATAACAACTTGTAAAGTTTTTTTTTTTATACAACTTAGAATGGCAAACAAGCTGACGGCCTTATCATTCCTGAGGACTCAGGTGTTATTCCTCCGTAACCAGTATTCACGCCATATCCCACCCATCAAACCGAAACACAGCCTTGCAAACAACTGATTTACGGTTGAGACACGAATGGGACAGAGGTACCCAAGCAATGTATACCGATAGCTGCCCCGCCTGCACTATCGCCTGCAAATGCAATGCGATAGTGCAGGCGGGGTTACCATGCCTAAATGGAACCCCATTAAAAAAGCAGTTCCAGTAATCTTTGAACGCCTGCATTACCAAGTGCATTACGTACGCGTTGCCGACCTCGAAGATAACACTTTACTCCTTTTTTGAAGAGCTTATTTTTTATAAATTCACTTTTTTACATTCATAACAAATTTATGCAAAACTATAAGATTAAATTAAATTGCCGTATAGTCCCGGCATAGAAGGGGTCACTATTTTCTTTCCCGTGGGTGTCGTAAGAGACGACTAAGGGAACTTAATGGTAAAGAGATAAGCTGCAGCGTCCCTCTTAAAACATCTCTTAAAACTTAACCTAACTAACCTGGGGGGAAAGTGATTGTTAGTAATGGGGTCAAATAGCCCCATTACTAACAATATAGGGTATATCGTTATGATATATTATCAGGTCGACCTCCACGCATGGTTCTCCCTGGAAACCATCGTGGCTAATTCTAGTAGAATTCGTCAGGATGGGCTAACTGACCTGCTTTCATCTTCATTAGTCATCTAACACTGGTGCCCCGCCATTGTATACTGATAGCGCAGACGGGGTTACCATACCTAACTTACCTAAAAGGCACTGCCAAAACACCCTTTACGGGGAATGCTTATGTTCAGCAGTTGAGCAGAGTATTTACGTATATTGCTTTAAGGTCAAGTTCACAATAGTAACTTGCACTTGTACAGTTCAATGAGTTCAAATTATAGTTTTTTTTGTACATAGATGTAACAAGTTTTATCAACAAATCAACAAGTGATCGTGACCAATGAAAACGATATTTCTTTGTGCGGTTCGCGTTATAACATATTCTTGTAATATGCAAAAGAAGTTTTTAAACATCGAGATTTCCAAAATCCTTAATTGCCTTTACGATTGATATTGACAAATTTATATACTACATACTATATGTTTTTTTATACTTTTTTTTGGGAGGTGAATGGGTACTGAGGGAAACCCCCCGTAAGGTGAGAGTGTACCCACCAAAAACCAGACGATATACGCTCGAGGTGCCATATGTCGGAGACATGGGTTCGCTTTCGCACTCACCACATCTCCGACGGCACCGACCCACCCCCTGATGGTAAGAGCAGGTCTCCTCTCTCAAGATAGGGTGGTTGGCGTGCTCACCC